GTATTTCTATCACGTTCGATCCTTTCATCATCGGCTGTGAAGCATCTACGGTCAATGAATCGCTTCTTCAAATATCTCGAGTGCAAGGTTTCACGGTGTTCCCCGTGCAACTTCCGAGTTCCATCTTCCACACAGCCAGAGTACCCCTCCAGATTTTATCTCTCTATTTTGTCTTCCCTCACTTTCCTTCATCCCCTCATCCTCTCCTAAAGAGCGTTCCCTTATTCTCCGCCTCACCTCAGTGGTCTGCTAACATCATTACTGTACTCACGATGTCAGACTCTCAGGATCCAGCAGATACTGTCAAAGAACTTCCTCTTCGCCCAGCTGCATCGAAAACCATCAACTATCCTCAGCAGACGGACCCGTTACCAGAAACCTCAGAAGATAAACAGGACTCGACCCCCAACAGTCCTAAATCTCAGTCACCCGAGGAGTTACCTATTGAAATTGACCAGGCTAAGAAGAAAAAGAAGAAGAGCAAGGCGCGCCCCAAGAGTAAGCGTGGAAAGGTGAGACTACTTACGAATGCGAAGAATTGCAGCCAGACTGAATTCTACAGAACAAGCCTACCGGTTTCGAAGAGTACTATGTCGACGCACCCATTACCCCCGAGGAATTTAGCGCTGAAAAGGAGCTCTACAATGTGTATGTTCCCAACACCCAACGTATAGCACCCGCTGACCGGCATTGGCGTGAAGCTCGCGACCTCTCACCCAGTAAGTCTTGCCACCTTATGGTTCTGGCTCTCATACTGACCAGTCCCAGCCGAATTGAGGACGCTCTCTTACGCTACCAAAAGAATCGTCGTCTGGAGTCAGACAGACGAGATGTTTTCCTGAAATATCTGGCATATGGAGGGGTGAACGTCGGTCAGAGGATGTTCGGGGGCTTGGATGGCCGTGACCTCCAGCAACTGGACAGCGAACAGATCCTACAAGCACGAGCAATGACTAGCGTAGGCAAGGACAAATCTAATCTTGCTGTTGATTTTGATGCAGTGGTTCGCGGCTTTCTGTAGGAGCTACACACGCCGTGAAACTGCGTTTGACTAACTCACAATAGGACTTCCTTCTTTCCATACTATTTTAACCCCGACACCGAAGATATGATTAAGCTAGCGACAGTCACCATTCGGAACTTTCTATCCTACCTCCTCTATCATGATGTATGCCCGGAGTACAACGATAACATCGACCAGGCCAGGACGTCGTGCGATATAGCTACAAGGGAGCTGTGGAACAACCAGCAACTCATGGCCAAAGGCCCTGGTGACTTCAACTCGTGCTGTTCCTTGCTTTTCGGTGGAGAGCTGCATGACACATATACGGAGGACAATCAGTGGAGAAACTCCAAGGATGATGCGCCTCGCCTGACCACTGAGATAGCCCGCAAAATCGTCAAGTTTGCCCTGGCCGGCGCGGGCGAGAATCGCCATGCCCTCCGGTTCCAGGAACTGACTGAGAATAAAACGCTGTGCGCAGTGCGTATCGAGGATATTGATGGGTTTGAGATTACCGCTGTTCACCACCCCGGCGAAGTCGTCCGCGAGTTCTACCAGACGCACGCCCCGGATCTTGTCCCCGTCGGAAAGCTGCTAGCAAGGACTTACCGAGATCCAGGTATGCCTGATTATGATCGCAGCCCGGAGGAGCGAGTGGCACAGCCGGAAAGGAACTTTGAATTATTCATGGAGGGCAATCTACTTCAGTACTGCTACCCGGGAATGAAAGTAATCGCTCCGGTATGGGAGCTGAATTGTGGATTCCATTATTTCGAGGATGCGTATAGAACGTATGGCTCCAATTACACCCCTCTCGTGAATGACTTGATGCTAGGATGGAAAGAGCCGAGGGATCTAGCCAAAGCAGAGAGCAAAGCAGAGAGCAAAGCAGAGAGCGATGGGGAGGATGACTCGTCTGTTACTCTGTGAGCATCTCCAGAGACGACCTGTCCCGTCATTCGATTCCTAGGATTTTAACAGCTACTATCACGCATTGTTATTTTAGTCATCTTCATTTCTAGATAGTCGAAACAAACATTCTATTGAAACAAGTACTCATAGCATGTGCTACCAGCTCAGGGCTTCAGCATCGACTTGCCGGTGGTCTTTCTACCCTCCAGATCGGTGTGAGCCTGAGCAACCTCCTCCAAGGGGTAAACCTTGTGGACCTTGGCCTTGAGGTTGTTAGACAGGAGAAGCGAGAACAGCTCATTGACGTAGAACTCGAACTCCTCACGGGTTTCAATGTAGCCGAAGAGCTGAGGCCGAGCGACCTTGACACACTTGGGGGAGAGTTTCCTATACGACCAACCGATCAGCATCGCACCTCACACCACAAACAAAGAGTAAAAAAAGAATAAGAAAAAACTTACTGCAACGGCAAAGGCGGCACCGGGCCACTAGCATTTCCAAACCAAACAATAGTACCCTTGCGCTTAACGCTCTCCAAGCTTCCCTCCCAAGTATCCTTACCAACCGAGTCAAAGACAACATCAACTCCCTTTCCACCCGTAATCTCCTTCACCTGCTTCACCCAATCCTTGCCCTCCTCACTGCGGTAATCGATCACCACATCAGCACCCAGGCTCTTCGCCAGCTGGCACTTCTCAGGGCCACCAGCCGTTCCGATGACCTTAGCACCAATGGACTTCAGCACCTGCGTCATCAGGGTTCCCGCCCCGCCAGCCGCAGCATGCACCAACACCCACTCATCCTTCTGCACGGGATACGTCTCCTTCACCAACGTGATGACCGTCAATCCACTCAGGAATGATGCCATCAGGTTCTCATCTGTGATTCCATCGGGGATCTTGACCGTCTTGGCCATCGGCACCGCCGTGTACTCGGCATATCCGCCAGTGCTGAGCCAGGCCACCCGATCTCCAACCTGGAAGTTGTAGGGGTTGGGACCGTCGCCCAGAGCGACAATGGTACCGGCACCCTCGCGACCGAGAATCTCCGGCTTTGCGGAGGGGTAGAGGCCTGTGCGGAAATACGTGTCGATGTAGTTGATGCCAGAGATGTTATTCTTCACGAGGACTTGGCCTTCCTTGGGCGTGGGGACAGGGTGGTTGGGCTTGAACTCGAGGACCTCGGGGCCACCGAGCTTCTCGACTAAGACGGCCTTCATGGTTTGGGGGACGGACATGGTGGTGAGGTTGCGGATGGGAGATGCGATGGTGGGGTGGAGGTGTGCGTTGATTGCGGAGAGTCGTTGAATCGCTGGGGGAGACAGGGTTGAGGTAGTAGTAGAAATGGATGGGATAGAGGATCGGATAAGACGAGGAAAGACGCGATGGAGGGGCATTGGATGATGGGGGGTATTTCTAGTTGTTCAATGAGGGGTGGGACAGCAGGTGGGTTAAGTATATCCGGATAATCGGGTGTGGAGAGGTGGAAGTTCTCCCCGGCTACGATTTACGGAGCTGGACGGTCTTGCTGGTTGGTTTTTGCCGAAAGTGGACCGCAATGTGAGGCAGTCGATTCCCGTCATTTGAAGCTTGATTTTCTGCGCTTCTTCCCCGCAGTTCTTCATTATTCTGCGTTGCGCTTGCGGATACTGGGTGAGGATGTCCGACGCCTCCGCACTGTATCACCGTGATATGAAGCAGTGTTTTTGATCGCTCTTTGCCTACTATGATTTTTGATATTGGCCGTTTCAGCTCTTCAGCGACTCTCTTCCTACGCTCTGGTGATATTTCCAGAGTCATAGAATGGCCACCTCTTCATCCGACGGAGTGACGCCATCGGCTGCAAGTCCGAACCGTCGGGAACATAGCTGACTAATGTCGGCTTCCTGCCGACGGACCGTGCCGTGCACAGCTGAGTCATTAGTTGCATAATGTCATTTTCCCCTCCAATGCATAACATCCCGATCGGGATATACTCTCGTGCTTCTCCAGAAGCATTTCGGATTGTTGTCATCCTTCATCCATTGGGCCTTCATCCTCTTCATCCCTTCCGCGGACAACTTCAATATGCATTATCTAGTTCAGCCAGACAACTCAGCCCCCCTGTGTCACCGCCTCGCTATGCATATTGCCACCGTTTGCTCTCTTTCACCGTCTTTCCCACTGATGTCATCCCAGTGTCCCTTCCAACAATGAATCGTATATCATTGGAAGCCACTGATCTTCCCAGCATCATCGGCCAGGGGGTATGCAGCTCATCCCAAAAGGTGGCACCAGTAGCTGATGACGCCCAATGTGCCGAGTTGCCCGGTATCCCTTGAGCGGAGGCTGTGTGGCTTTGCCAAAAAGCGTGTCAGGCTCACGACCTGCTGTGCCTGCTGTATACTAGACCAACAGCTATCCACGCCAATACTCGAAAGTGGCGCCTTTCCCGCAGACTAAAATCTCTTTCGCCCATCAGCGTACCTAATCGGTCGACGGAAAGCGGGGATGGCGAATGAATGAATGTGCCAGCACAGGTTGTCCCACAGTCTGACAGACCACACTTGACCTCACCTGCATAGAAATGGGATGGTTTCATGAGCGACTCCTTGTTGACATGGCTCAAGGAGAACCATTCGTTCCCAACGCTTGACGTCTGGCCACGATCGCCATGTTTCAGGGCTAGCGGGATTGATTCGTTGCCTGTTAACGCCCAATGTCTGAGCCCAGGCCCTGATAGGGCCACCATCCCCGGAGAGGCGCTGCCCGACCAGGTTTCCCATTGGGGTCTGTCTACTTTATATAGCCTCTCGAGAAATCTCTTCGCAACTCTCCAAATTTCTGGGGTGTGTACATCAGAAACTAACCTCTCTGTCGCTTAATACCTAATTCTAGCCGCTCGCAAAAGGACCCCCAGGCCATCTGACTGTCTCATCTGCGAGTTGATTGACTGTTTTTTGTTCCATTTGGATCACTCCCGTGCCAATTGCTGTTTGCAGAACACCCTTGTGTGTGTCTGCTATTTTCTTGCTCATTATTTCGAGACCCTTTCTCGAGTGAGTCCGATGCTCGACGGATATATGATGCCAACTGCCCGGAAAGTATTTCTGATCCACCGTACCACCGCAGGATAGCCCCCAGGACCGAATACTTTTCCGTTGGAGCTTTGCTTTTCTTTGCTAAAAGTTCTTTGTTCTTCTGTTTCTATTACCAATGTATTCTACCTCCAAGATGAGCTTGCGCTGGCGCAAGAAGACCCACTGGCCGCCTTCGCCATGTGTGGAAGACGAAGTTGTTTCCCTCTCCCGCGAATTACACGGATTGTCCCAAATCAGAGAAATGCCCGGACTCGAAGGTGTTTGCTCCCGCGGATCTGTCGACCAATACCCAGTCCTTGTGGATGTTTTTTCTTACTCTTCATATGAGGAGACGACCGTCATCTATGAGGACTTCAGCCGTGACAGCAGCTCCGAGGACAATGTAGGGCCGCCAACCCCGGTGGATGAGAAACAGGACCCGATGCTTTACCTTGTCGGGGATGACCAGGCAGTCTCGTTGTCCGCGCCACTTGCAACTCGAGAGCAATCCCAGGACCCATCCAAGACACCAGCTGATAATGAGCAGGGCTCTACGACACGAGGCCGCCCCAGAGCGGATACTAGAGCCCAGAGAGACAGCCCGTCTAAGAAGGATACAGCCCAGAGTTCCCGGGATGCCTCGAGAGCTTCGAACATACGCACCCCTGCTGTCACACAAAGCAAGTCTACTCCATCGTTGCCCAGACGATTCGGGAGTGTGAAACATGGCCGCTCCGCCGACGCCCTCACCACTAAATCCGGCTACCAATCCGACTCGGCTACAGTCAAGTCCAAGGCCAAGCCTGAAACCGTGGACAAATCTGCCGCGCCTCAAACGGACAAAAAGTCGCCCACTGGACTCACCGTGGCAGAAAGGCTGGAAGAGAAGATACGTCAGAGACAAGAGCTTCGTGCCAAGGAGAGCTCAGGCGATGCGCCGAAGACGCCTAGTCCTCCGTCTACTGATCAACCCAGTGTCCCGGTGGGACGTGCCGCGGAGCCATCCATAACCCCTGCAGCCACTGCAGCGCCTAAGAGCACCGCCCCAAAGACCCGTCCTAGGTCCACGTCGACGCCAAAGGAGCCAACTAATGACCATCGTGTGGATGGACCTGAAGCGTCCTCCTCAGCCGCAGCTCCGGCATTACAGCTCCCACCACGTCCGGGATTGGCCAGTAAGCCAGCAGGTCGATCAGTCTCAAGCAACGACGCTAAGTCAACCGCCCAGCTGCCAGCTCGACGGGCCGTATCTTTCCTAGATGACGTGCCGCAAAGGTCCTCGTCGCTCCCACGGACCCCCGAAGACATTCCTGAGCCTCCACCACTACCACGCCGACGGAGCTCATCACAGGACGCTGTCCGCCATCGAAGTTCATCGCAGGATGCTGTCCGTCAAACTTCGCCCAAACGGCCGTTTTTCCTCCCGCCCTGCCCTAGATCGACTCCCATCGCCGGATACCAGGACTGGCACACGGTCAAGGGACTACCTCATTTGAATATCTGCCCGTCGTGCATGAAGCAAATGCGCAAGTCGGAGTTCCGAGACCACTTCGTCTTAGCCAGTCCCCGGTCCCGTGGAGAGAAAATTCGCTGCTCCATGAGCGAGCCCTGGACCCGACTGGCATGGATGCAGACACTCAAGAAGCAGCTAGACCACCTCGAACTGCTACACCAAATCACGCGGCCACCCCTCAGCATCAAGCCGTGTCCGGGACGCATCATCACCGAGCAGCACTGGTACCGGATTGTGGACCCGGAAACGAACATGTACCTCCCGCAGTTCAATGTGTGCTCCGCCTGCGTGCGGAACCTACGGGTTCTGATGCCGCAGCACCGGGACACCTTCAAGCGGAGCTCCACCAAACAAGAACGAGCCTGCGACTTCTTGACAGACAGCCCACGGTTTGTCCGGTACATCGACTACCTGGATATAGCGGCCAACCGCGCCGACCAGGAAAATATGCTGCGCCCTGATGTGACTGAGTTCCTCTCGTACGCTCGACGCAAGGTAGTGCTGCGGGACTGTCGGCGGGACCGACGGATCCTCAGCACGTGGCACTACATGCCACAACTGCCAGAGCTGACGGTGTGCGAGGACTGCTACGATGACGTGGTGTGGCCGTTGGTCCGGGCCAAACAGCCCATTGCGCGCAAGTTCTCGACGTCAATGCGACTGCTTCCTGGCGACGGACCGTCTCGGTGCCGCGAAGCAAGCTGTCAGCTGTACTCGCCGCGCATGCGCGCCAAGTTCGCAGAGGCGGTGCAATCGAACGACCTGATGTACCTGAAGCAGGTGGCGCTGCGACGGCGCGACGCAGAGCAACGCTACCGGGACCGGGAGGAGGAATTGCTGGAAGACGCGAGTCGGGGATACGACGTGGAGGGAGAAATGCGGCGCAACGTGGAGGAGTGGAAGCGAAACGAGTAGTTCGATACCATGTATTTGTTTGTTTTTGTCAGGAACCCGCCTGTATGTTAGTGTTGATGATGCCTGTACACCTGATATCCAATTCAGTCCATCAATCATCCTCCTTTCCTCCATCAGTAGATGCAGCATTAGCAATCTCCATCGCCTCCCCCAAACTAACAACCCTATACCCCCGCTCTTTCAACACCGGCAACACCCTTCTCAACCCCTCCACCGTCCAACTCCTCCGATCATGCATCACAACAATACTCCCCTCCCTAACCATACTCCTCACATGCCACGCATTCACCCCCGCCCACCCGATCTGCGCATCATGCGGATACACACTCCCCAACACAATCTTATACCCGAGTCTCTGCACAAGCTCCTTCATCCACCCATTAAAGAACCCCGATCCAGGCCGGAACCACTTCTTCACAGCCCCGTCCTCATACCGTGGCCGCTTCACCCCAGATTGCTCATAAACCCTGTCAATCACCCCATCCACCTCCAACATCTCCCTCTCCAGCACCTCTTCCCCAATCGAAACAGACGGCTCATCGTGCATCGCATGATTACCCAGCTCCATCCCGCTCTTCACGAGCGTATGTAGAATCCCCTCCCGGCCGGGGATCTGCGATCCGATGAGGAAGAATGTCGCCCGCGCGTCATGTTGCTGAAGAAGGTGCAGGATGTCGAGTGTGTAGGTGCTTGGGGCGTCGTCGATGGTTAGGGCGATTACTTTTTCCGTTCTTTTCCCTTTTGTGTCCTTGGTGGTGGGGAGTGGTATCTCCCACAATGTATCTGGGTATTTGTTCGCCAGGGAGCGGATCAGGGCGTGCGGTGGCCGGTAGATTATGTATAGGGGCAGGAGGGTTAGGAGGATGAGGAGTAAGACGAGTAGAGGGAGGAGCATGGTTAGGGTGCGGGTGCGGCGGTGTCGAGAGCGGAGGATGGGGATGCGCGCGATGAGGGTTGTGAATGGGATGGTCAGGACGCGGAGGGGGAATAGGAGGATGGTCGTTGGGTGGAGGCGGGGCATTCTTTGCTTGCTCTCTCTGTGTTCCTTTTGTGGGTATGTGGTGGGGTGGTGTTGAGGGTGCGTGTTTAGTTGGTGGTTTGGTAGTGAGGATGCAGGTGTGCGGAGATGGGATGAGATGGGTTGGGTTGGGTGGTGCGGTGGTGGTTGTGGTTGTTGTTGTGTGGTATTTGTGGGGGGGAGGTGGAGGGCTGGTGTAACGAGTGGCTGGCGTCAGGCCATGGTGAATATGTGTTAGTGGGAGGAACTGCAAAGAGAGTTAAAAGTAGTATGTGGTGTTGTTGAGGTTGAAATTGGGGAAATGTCAGGAGGCGGAGCGGAGGTATGCGGCGATCCCGCTGGAGCAAGTCTGGTATGTATGTAAGGGATCTAGACCTTGCTGGAGTCAATGTACTTTTTCTAGAAGATGTAGATAGTTTGAATTTGACATGAATATCTTTCATATGTAGCGCTCATCTAGTTACGAATAACTTCTGGTATCAACTATCCCACCAATCCCACCACCTCCCCAGGCCATTTCTTCCCCCATACAATCGCCCGCGGTGGCACGCGACCTCCAACCGGCGCCAGCACTCGGATCTTGCCCTTCTCCGCGTCCACGTCCGCCACGTACAAGAAGCCCATGATACTGGCATCGCGCACATCCGCCGGGCTGGCCGTCGAGCTTGCATGTGTAATGGCCAGCAGCGAATTGGCCAGCGCTGTCGGCGCAGGAGGCAGTACCTTCTTCAGTGGCACGTTGGACGACCCCGCCGGCGTCACCGTCTCCTTCACCGGTCCAGCGATCCCAGGCAGCGTCGGTGCGACCGGAGCCTCTTCTTGCGGAGTCTGACCCAGGTCCACGTCGTTGCTTCCACCTGGGAGGAAGGCATCGCCGGTACCCAGCTGCGACGGGTCATATTCGTCTTCGTCCTCCTCTGCTGACGCTATGGTGTAGTTGTAGACCGCTAAAGCGTTGAAGTCTAGCTGCTGCGCATGCGGCGACAACGTAACATTCGTCGTTGACGACGCAGACAGCGACAGCGCTGCCGATGCCGTCGAAGGAATTGGGTTGCCGAAGAAGTATGTCCGGATCTGCGACTCGCTGACAGCCTTCATGAACGCCGCATCGCGATCCACACAACCCCCAGACTTGGACAACTTAACCACCGAAATGCGCTCATCCGACGCCGCTGCAGACGCACTAGCCGTGGGCTTGTTATCAAAGTTCTTCATCATAATGCTGTACAGTCGCTCGGAGCCAATGACCAAGATCGTCGTAACTGTGCCATAACCCCGTCAGTGCATACACCCTTCCAACCAGGATCAAGTAAAAACTCACTCGCAAACTCCGTCACAATATGATTAATCATCTCGACATTACCAGCCTTACTCTGACTCAAAATTCCCGGCGTATCCACAATAATTCCCGTCTCCCTTGCATCCTCATCCTCCGCCATCCTCCCCGTCACCGACAGCGCCAACCTCGACACAATAGCCTTATACACCGAGCCATCGGCCTCCAACGGGTTCTGCATCGGATAGAAATACACCAAGGGCAACTTCACCGGCACCGCACTCGGCCCGGACATGGGACTACTCCCCCATCCTTCCTCAACATCAATCATCGTCCGGAACGCCGTAGCCGTCAACGTCCCCGGAACACTTAGCATGCCCTCCGTAGGATCCAAATTAACCACCAGCGGCTGCCGGCCCACCTTAGTCGCATACGCCGTCAGGATCTTCGACAGACTTGTCTTGCCCGCATCCTCAGGACCGAGAATCAGTACCCGCGGGCCATCTTTCCCCGTCGCTTTGGCCTCCTGTCGTAGTGTCTCCAGCGCAAAATGCACGTTCGCGTATTCAACCATCGGTGTTTCCTCCGCCACATACTCGCTCTGGCAGCCGCCCGCGCCGAGTCCGCGCGCTGTTGTTCCATTCGTGCCTCCCGGGGCGAGGCTGTCCAGACCTGTGATGGCCTCTCCGGCGCTTACTTCTAGTGTGCATCCATGCCAGGTGTAGATTGCTGCTTTCGTGCCGGAGAAGGTGTAGGTTTGAGAGGGGGCTAGTTCGGTGCCGAAGAGTTCGGCGGTTCCGGCTAAGAGCTAGTTCTCCAGGTGGTAGATATGTCAGTCAACTGTCCTTTTTGTGATTCGTGAGGGATGGGTAGTGTGCTGAGGGGGTCACGGCAGCTCACCTTTACGCGGACGGTCGTGCCAAAGGCGACTTCGAACCGCCACTCTGAGCCTTTGGGAAGGCTAATCTGAGAGGGCGGGGCTGGGGCGAACTCGCGGTCCGCGGAGGGTTGTGTTAGATCGAGACCGGGGAGCGACATGGCATCGTCTGGATAATTGGAATTGTTATCTGGAAAGTGGTATGCGGACTGGAGTTCTGGTGAAGCTCCGAACAGGCGGAGAGAATGACGATGTTTAGCCTGTTTGCAGGACGGAACCGTCCCGACTGGTTCGCGTTCGCAGCACGCCCATCTGACTGTTAATTGATCTATACTTTACTTTTTTTGTTTATGCAACAGATCTACGAGGGTAATGATCAATTCATAGTTACTGCATATTCATCATCTGCAAATCTACCTAACAATGACATAACTCCGAACACAATCCAGTCAAACCATCCCGATTGCATCACGACTCCAGGGTGCAGCCCCGGTCCAAATGGTGTAGAACAGAAAATTGAAAAAAGTAAAAAGAAAACCACATTATAGAGGCGTATATCAGGTATCCAGGAGATAATAAGAAACGGCATAGATAATGAACGAAACGAACCCAAGGCTTTCCTCGATCGCCAGGACCTCACCGGCCAATCCCCCGTGCGAACCACATCACTCGCACCCAAATGGCATCATTAGTAAAAAAATATTCGCGGCCAATACGGTACATCAAGAATCACTTCAATTGGGACTTAGGGATCGTGATGCGCTCGGGTGGATTGGCCAAAGCCTGAACTCGGATGGATTCCAGAGTAGGGGCAAACTGTGAACGGATAAGGAACAGCTTCGGCTGCTTCTCCATTAAGCATCGTTCAGAACCATAGCAGTCGGGGAATAAGGGGGAGATTTTCCAAAGGGGCGGGGGAATCGATGGCGGATTTGTCCAGACGTGAGCTGGACGTAAGTAGGCCGACACGGCGCACAATCACAACAATTTGCTTCCAGGCCAGTAGTTAGGGTGTCTAGAAGAAATACGGAATAGAGGCTCTGCAAGGCAGGTTAGCAATGTGCACGGGAGATTTAGCATTTGGCATGCAAGACTTACGCGAGCGCAAAGGCAGCTGTAACACCAACAAGAGCACGGTTCCGCACACGCTCCTGCTTCAGCTTCTCCTCCAGAACCTTGGCCCTCTTCACCCGGAGGGTCTTGGCTTCTTCATCTTCTTCCTCGTCATCTTCGCTGAGCACTTCCGTCTTGCGCTTCTGGGCTGCCTTGGCCGACGATGGCTCTGCCGTCTCGGTCTGAAGCTTGACCGCTTCTTCTACCATTTCTTTCGCCTTGGCAATCATCTGCTCAGTATCGGCAGCAGACGGTGCCTCAGGAAGGCTGATAGGCATCTCAACGGAAACGGTGGTTTGGGTGGTTTTGGCTTCGTCAACAGCTTCCGCATTGGTCTCAACATCAACCTTCACCTTCTCAGGTTCCTTCTCCTCCTTCTCCTCGGGCTCTTCCACCCGAGCAGCCGTCCTCTTCGCCTTGGATGCTGATGCCGGTTTCTTCGGGGTAGGAGCGGGCTTCTCGTCGCCGTCCACCTCCACACTCTGATGAACGGTGCCGGTGACCGATTCCGACTCCACGGTGGAAGCCGTCAAGTCCAAAGAAGACTGGAGGCTGGCGTTGGCAGCACTGGTCGCCGCAGCGTTGGCCTCTTTCATGGCGCGAGTCTGGCGGGGCTTACGTGGGGAGGTCGACTTCTTGCTTGGAGAAGCGGACCGTCCCCTACGGAGACGTGGTGCAGTGAGAATGGCCGGGGCTTCGATCGGCGGCAAATCAAACCGAGGGGGAGGGGTAATTTGCTTCTTCGCGGACGAGGGACTTTGAACGATGTCGGTAGGATCGAGAAGGGCCCTAACCCAATCGTACATTTGATACTCCTTTGCTAGCTCAAGGGCTAAAAGTCATCAGAGCAACATTCATATCTGCGGAATTGTGACGCTTACCGAGCAGAGGCGAGATCCAAACATTGCCGGCGATCTCATCTTCACTAGTCTCCGTCCGGGTCTTCAGATACTCCCGCTCAGACCGTTCTTCATCGAGCTTTGCCCAAGGGAAGGCAATCTTGAACATTCCGGTAGCACTGACGAATCCATCTTTGCTACGTCTCTATAGCGACAGGTCAACAGCCATTCTATGACATCACATTTTGTTCGTCATCAGCCATCCTTACCATCAAAAAGTAGGTTTCGGGATGTTGTTGAGGTGAGTGTGAGGGGAAAATCTCGGAGCCCTTGAGGTCTCTAGGCAGCGGCGCGCGCAAGTGTGCATACTCGAAGGGGCCAAGGTTTTCAGGCTTTGTCGCATTTGACGTGCCAACCTGGGTGGGTTTCACAGCGAGGTTGGTCTTCCCCAGACGACGGCGCGAAAGAAGTTCATCGTCTGATATCGCGGAGATAGGAGGAGACAGGTTAGCCTGGCGCACGCTTTGGTGGAGATATCGGCATGCCACGATCGAGTCTGAGCTCGGGCGCTAGCTGGAATCACAACTTACAAGCAGGAGCCACGTCCGCAAGGATGAGAGGGTTGTTTTTCTTCGGCAGTGAGCGCACCATGATGAATGATCAGGCTCGCGAGCTGGGTCAATGAAGAAGCGAGGGGTATCAGTTGACGGTTGGTGATGAAGGAAGATGCGTCGCCAAAACGGCGGCCACGTTGCAGGCGCGTCTGTCGGCGCTCTCCAGGCGAGGTAGGTCGCGAAAGCAAACACGGCACCACAAGGAAGGGCGCACAGAGACAAACACCGCGGGTTGAGATGAGCGGGTGATGGACAGGAACGCTCAGGCAGAGAGCCGCGACGACCCAGGTGATAATGGAATGGAAGTCAGGGCGCGGGTTCGATAAGCAGGATCAAAGAAATGCGAGTAGGGGAAGGAAAATAATCAGGGAATCGAAAGCAAATTGGGGAGGGCGATTGCTTCCCACCGTGACCGGCTGTGACCGTCTGGGAACCCCCACAGTACCGCGCTACTGTGACACCACTGCAGCAGTGAGCCAATAATGTCGACGGAATTTAGTGGGGCAAGCCAAAACAGCAAGTATCTGCGGTGCCGGCCCATCCCCCGGTATCTGTTGTGACGTGTTTCGCTCATCATGGTATCGCTGCCTTGGCGCCTCACCGCTGCCGGTTGTCCCCGTGACGCCCATCCATTACGATTTTTGTTGTTTTCGGGTTCCTTGCAATGGGATCCATGGCTGCGGTCCGCGTAGAGAGTAACTTATCCTACCAGAAAAACATTCACAGCTTGATACCAAGACATAGCCTACCGTATTGAATCAATCCTTGACTGGTAGGTCCTGAGTTGGCCACCCGCATATACCGTGCATAATGCCTATGCGCAATATGCCTTGAGTCGGACATTCGGGCACTCGGATTTGGTCCATTCGGGACACACTGGACTCGAATGAAACATGCCCACCAGGTCTGCGAAGCATGAAACAACTTAACCACTGGCTTATATCTTCCGAGTGCTGGTTCCAAAATTGTTAACCGAGTGATTGGTAGTAGATACTAGTCACTCGAGCACCCCAACTCTAGACTTGTCTAAGACATATCGTACTACTAGTAAGTAAAGTAGTTAGTATATAGTAGTAGTACGCCAGCGATATATATAACCCAACTACTACGGCCAATTCTATAGTGGCACTACGGAGTTGTAGTGGAAAGCTCAGCTCAGCCATCTTCAGGAATATCTTAATGTCTAATAACAACTACGACAGTGATAGAGCCTCAATGGAGACATTATCATTACAATGCGCAAACACACATCTTCTCTCGCCCAATTGCAGAGTCAATATCCATCATTATTGGGATGTAAAAGTGCACAACAGCCATCCGGCTGAAGAGGCTCAGTTTGAGCAGATAACTGGATGGTAATCAAGCACTCTATGAGTATCTCCCGCCATTCAGAACAATTGAAACCGAGTGATATTGCCTCTCACGTAAAGTACTCAATGGTAGATGCTAAGAATGGAGCAGTTCTATAGTATCTCATCTCCGGGGTTCCATCCAGAGAGGTGGACCTCAGTGCTTGTCTAGCAACCTAGCGTGGTCTCATTTCTCGTAGGGATCGTGAAGTCAAGAGAATCATGAACCCCAATCTTCATCCGTTCCAAAAATACCCATTGCGTGGCCTGTTCCATGGATTGCTCTGGCTCCCCTTAATCTTCGGCGGACACAAGGCGAGATGGTCTGGCCCATCCACTCCCATCCACTCCTCCACCGCCTTTCTTCCCCCCACTTGTTACTTTAGTCCACTGCTTCCACTCCAAAACATTCCTAAACAATTCTCTCCTCAGCAGTTTCCTGTATTCCTACCGTCTGGTGCGTGATGCTCGATGTTCCTTAGACTCTCCTGACGAAGACTCACCTTTTTCTAGTCCGTATATCCCGTTTGCGAGGAGCAACATCAGCATCTCCCCTCCCATCTCCCCCTATCTCCAAATACCCCACCAACACCAACCATGCCTGAGCACGAAGAAGACCTCGTCGCCTCCCAGACCGAGGGTTTCAAGGTCGGAGAGAAGAAGACCATTGAAGAGTACCAGAACCTTGGTATGTGCTATCTACGCTGGCCTACCCCCTCCCGGGCAATCCCATACCCCTCCCACTCCCCGTGGTAGTAGCCTCGTGGCATCCAGCATCGCCGCCGCCTCCCCCCTTGCTTGCTGCCCAGTCCCGTCAAACGTACAGCGCGAGCATTCCTGATAACCCCACCGTTGAAATTGAATTTGCGTCTCTCTCTCTCTCCTCTCTCTCCCCCGCAAACTTGGCTTTTTCTTGGAATCCTCCACTTGCCTCAAATTTCGTATCTAATTCAAATCCCCCACAGACAAGAACGACGAGTCTCTCAACCGCTGGAAGGCCTCTCTGGGTCTGGCCACTGGAAATCCCATTGGCGACCCCAATGATCCCAGAAAGTGCATCATCAAGTCCCTTGCCCTGGAGGTGCAGGGACGTCCCGATGTTGTGATTGACCTGTCTACTCCCCATGCGCTCGAGACCCTCAAGGACAAGCCCTTCACGATCAAGGAGGGCGCCACCTTCCACATCAAGGTCGTCTTTCAGGTGCACCATGAGGTTCTGAGCGGTCTCAAGTACCTGCAGGTGGTGAAGCGCAAGGGTATCAGAGTTAGCAAGGACGAGGAGATGCTGGTAAGTACTCTCATCTCGACAATCGCAGGATGTAAGCCATGTACTAAATCGCTTATAGGGAAGCTACGCTCCCAGCACCACCGACAAGCCCGTCTACGAGAAGAAGTGTAAGCCACTACCCTACTATATGACACAAGTAGAAAGGAAAAAGATATAAAAGTACTAACCCGACGCAGTCAACGCCGAGGAAGCCCCCTCAGGCATGATGTACCGTGGCCACTACAACGCCGTGTCCAAGTTCGTCGACGATGACAACCACACCCACCTCCAGTTCGAGTGGTCCTTCGACATCGCCAAGGACTGGTAGAAAGAATGAAGTGAATTGTGTCTTTTAGAATAGTCAGTCGGACTGGCTCTGCTTTCTGGCTTTTCCCATCACAACTTTCTTTCTTTTCTTCCACCTCATATATGAAACTATGATCTACCTACCCTGCCTATACATATCATACTCCATGAGAAGCGCAAACACATCACGTCATATCCCTGCCTTTTCTTCGCAGTTTTACTAGCGTTGGACCTACCTACCCACCTATCTGCATCTTACTGTTGTCCGAATTCTGGAAATACAATATTATATTTTACAACCCTTCATTGTCTGCTACGCTCCTGATAACGGGCTACACACACACACTACATGCACCTACAGTATTCACATTAAGTAATCTGGGCTATGATTTCCTCTCCTTACGGAGTTATCGCCCTATCTACTATCTACTACCATCCCGATAACCGCATCATGCATTCATACTAAGGGCCGTTTGCATGCGGCTCGGCCCGGTCCTATCCTGTTCTGGGCTTTTTCTTTTTCTGTTTGCCCCCTCGAGAACCGAGATATCCTGTGTGACTGACTAATTTTCCTGATTTTCTAACTGCGTCTGTTTCGTACATCGCACCATGGGATATTGTCTATAAATGCCTGTGATATTTACCAAACTCCCCAAGAAGATCCATGAATGATGTAAGAGAAGTGGGTTTGAACAAGGGCACAAGAAATAAAAATGGAAATAGAAGAAAGAAAAGCAAAAATGACAGTAAAAAAGCAACCTCAGGCAAAAAAAGTAAAAAGAAAGGGAAAGAAAGAAATTAAGAAGGGTATCACAGAAAGTAGTCAATCACCGGACTCTGGCCATCCTTATTCTGTTGCGCCTGCTGTTCGCCCCGATGGATATCATTTTCCGGCGCGGCGTCAAAAATATTGAAATATCGTTCGCCTGTGTCACTCACCTCCAGGACACTAGCCAGGTTTCCGCACCGATAGCAGTAATTCGGTGCACTCCAGACCGTACTGAGTCGGTCATCGTAGAGAACTTGATATCCCTCCTGACACAGCTGGTGGGCCCGTAGGATATGCGACATGCTGTTGACCTCAAGGAATTTGCGGACCACCTGCGCACCGAATGTATAGCCCGCTCCACGGGGCGACAGGGAGAATTCATCCCGTTCGGTGTCGGGATCGGACCAAACCAGATCGGCCATGGGGCCTTCGTGCGGGATTTCGCGGAACCGGTCGATGATTTTGATTTGGTCGATGGAGTGGATGGACGGGGAAAGGCCACCATGTACGCAGAAGATCTGGTCATTGATGACCACGCTTAGGGTCAGGAAATCGAACATGTCCGTGAAGTAATGCCATACGTTGGCATTGCCGTATTTGCGCGCGCATTCCGTGTAGAATCCGTATGATTGCGTTACACCACGCGACTCGTGATTGCCGCGGATAAGGTGGACGCGCTGGGGGTATCGTAGTTTCAAGCACACGAGAAGGGAGATTGTCTCCACGCTGAACAAGCCTCGATCCACGTAGTCGCCTATTTGGATTGTAAGAGAACGCCCGTCAGCACTCATGTTCACACGTAAACCGGATTCTGTCTGGGGATCGGCACGCTTTTACTTGTGGCTGCCCCTTTCCTTTCTTTCCTCTCTGAACACTGGTATGATATCATGTGGAATACTAACCAAGAAACAAGTAATTCGTGTTGGGACAGAATCCTCCGATCTTGAATATCTCAATCATGTCGAAGAACTGCCCGTGGATATCTCCGACCACCGTGACCGGAGCCGCAATGTGGACCACATTGCTCTCTTTCATCAACAATTCCTTCGCCTTGGCGCATATCGCTTCGATCACCGAGTCTGCCAGCAACTCTTTCCGGTAGAGTCTCTCAATGCACTCGTCGAGGTCGATACTAGCTGTTCCAACGGTGAGGGGCCGCACAGGACGAGTAGAAGAGTGGGGACTAGATCCGGGGTCGGGGATAGATGCTTACCTGGTAATCCAGGCATTTCGGAGCAGATGTATTTATCAAATCAGGGATTCAAAGATATGTGTATATTCATGCAGCGCGCCAGCTTCGATCGCGCTCAATAATAGAAAATGGAGGCTCAGAAGTCCACCGAGATGTATGCACAGGTGCCCAAAAAGGAGAAGAAATGATCAACGGCTGATACAGCGCTATTATAAGCGAAAAGTGAATAGTAGGCGATTCGGTTCGAGAAGGGATATGTTTGTTTGAGAGGTTCCTGCAGTAGCTCGCATCATGGCCAACGGCACAGTACGCAGAAGCAGGAGTGAGCGTCTCACAGGGGGACCTGTGACCGGTGAGGGAAGAGCGGGGTCTAAACGCGAACGTGGAGGGTTGCAAGCAGAAATTTGAAGAGCTTGCGCTGCACTTAATCCATATTTCAGAAAGAATTTGTACTCTAACTGAGGGGGATGAAGCAAACCAGGATTATCGACAGGCACAAAGCCCATTCCAGCCCGCCGAAGGACTCCCGACCCCATTCTGCCGGGTGGCACCGCCTGCTGTTCCGTCCGCATCGTTGAAGTCTGGCGGTTGGAGTTGTGAACATCCATACCTCACTTGTATCAGTGGGCTAGCGGGTAAATAACCATCAGAAGGCTACATTTTGCACGACCTTGTTAGTTACATCCTGGTGCTTCGGAAGTGCAAGATATCTCTTGTTCGCATCCATTTTCTGTACCGGAGTGAAGTATCCGATTACGGAGTGTAAACCGTCACGTCTAGAATTGGAAGTATATCGCGTTGGTCTATGCAGCTAATCTGTACAAATACTCTTCCCATCTCTCCAATTGGGTATCACGGCTTCAAGAGTCCTGCACTCTGTCCCTGCTCTTCTTCGTCCGTCTCATATTCTTCATCCGTTTCCTCCTCTTCGTCCGTTTCCTCGTCCGTAACTTCCTCGTATTCAGAGTCAGTCACCTCTTCCTCTGTTTCTGTCTCCTCCTCAGTTTCCGTCTCGGGCTCCTCAAGCCACTGGTCGAGTGACTTCCCCTTCGCTGAGGAGGCAACCGCTACTCCGCGACCATCCCGTTGCCTGCTTGAAGTTGCAGCGGTACTTTCATGCTCCTTAAGGGCTCGGTCGAGCCTCTCGCCCGCAGTCATGGACGACTTTTCTACCACGCTTGGTTTGATATCGTTCTCCCGGAGGCGAGGGTCGGGTTCTTGTCCGAACTCAACCCATTCAGGGAGGTTTTGATAGCCCTTCAAGCCAAGCATGCCAGCGTCGGGACCAACCACGAGGGTCGAGGAGCCTATCAGCAGGTCCTTGCGTGTTTCTGACGGGCTCGGAGCGTGTGGAACAGGCTTTGGCGCAAGTAATAGCAGATTGGCCAGTTGTGTAGAAGAAGGAGAAGCGAGTAAAGCCTTGTATAGACGGGCTCGGTCGCGAAGATCGTAGGAAGTATCATATCGAGCAAGCAGAAGAAGGTACCGCCAGAGCAGCGTCATCCTGTCCTCTTCAGGTTCATCACTCTGCGGTTTCTCGTCGCCTGATTCTTCTTTCCGCTCCTCTTCGTTCTCCGTCCACTCGTTGACGATTTTTTCAGGCTTGGGCTCTGGTGGAGGCACTTCCTTTGGAGGGTTTCGCAACAGATGATGCAAATATACCTTAGCACCCAGAAGGATGATCTGCTGCTTAACGGCCTCGGATTCATTTGCAAAGTCTTGTACCAGAATGCGCAGGATGTCTGCCGCGATATTCCTCTCAGGCTCAACACCGGCAAATTCTCCGACCAGCCAAACAATGGTTGCTCTAGCATCCGGATTCTTCGTTAATCCCAAATGCTTGACAAGCTGAATCACCGTCTTCTCGTGAGCAGGTGGGTCCTGCTGGATGAGGTGTCTGATGACGGTCAAGGACTCTGAAACAAGGTTGTCGTCAAGACTCGTAATTTGACTCAGAAGGACGCGGAGACAATGATCAGCACTTCGAGGCTCACTCTGTGCGCAGCGTCCTATAGCACGCACGCTTTCTCGCACTAGGTCTGGGTCTGCGCTCTGTGAAAAGTGTTCCAGTTCGCTGAGAATCACACCCTTCAGGTGCAGCCCGCAGTGGGGAAAGAGTAAAGTGAGCACTTCCAGCTTGAGGCGCCAGATATGAGGCGGATCTACCGCGTGGACCAAAAAGTGCGTAGTGTATCTCGTAAACGGCTTAGGGTGTTTCAGGGCAACGGCGACGATGTTATATAGCGCAACATGCTGCGTATCTTGTGGGCTCCGAACCAGCGCAACCAGAGGACCAACGGCGGCTTCAAGATACTCGGGAGTGCCGAGGTAAAGGAAACACCGGACAACGCCAACAATGACAGCGGAGTTGCGATTTTGCAGCAACAGCTTGCAAGTACGTAAGAGAAATTCAAGATCAGGATCCAACACAAGCACTTCATGCTCGTTATCACCACCATTGCTCTCCGGTGTCTTATCGTCCTCGTAGAAGCCTTCAGAAACTGCCTGTTTACCTTTCTGGACCTTGCGAGGGAAGCACTTCCTAGCGTAAATGGTCAGAAGACGCAATGTCGAGAGTTGGCTCCACTCGTCCATGTCGACGAGCTTTTTGACGAGGCTTCGGTAATGCTTATGGATGAGGTCGATCCTGTCCGGACAAACGTCCAGGAAAGCGGCGACAGCAGGCCCAAGGACGAAGTACTGGCTATCACCGAGCAAAGTAGTAAGATATCCAATCAGCTGAGGGAGGGTACTTGGGTCCAGGCGATAGCACTTTGGGATTGCCAATGCTGCGGCTTTGCGAACATGTGGGCTCATGTCGCCGCAGCCTCTCTTGATTGCCAGGGACACAATCTGACTGATGACTGGCACTCTGATTCCCGACATTGTACGAAGCGCCATAGCACGCGAATGGGGGTTCTGATCGGTAAGGGACTTTTGGATAGCATTGATAGATAGGAGCGCAAGGTCCGGTTCCGCCTCCGCATGATGGACCAAGTAGATGTAGACCAACTTCTTGACCTCAAGGTTCGCACTAGCCACGTTTTTGACCACAGCCGAGAAGAAAGGGAGGGAAGGTTCGGATCGGTACATCAACTATGTGGCGCAAAATCAAAAGAGCGTCAGACAATGGACTCTTGCATGTAGGCATCTTGGGACCTTACCGTAATCACCCGGCGCATGCCATCCAGGACCTCCCGGTCATTTCGACTATCCAGAAGCTTTTTGATGTGAGCAGTAGCCAAATTCCGAGACGATAAACCCGTGCTAGACCCCTTACTCAGGGCTGCTGACTGGGCTGCTTCGAGGGTGAGCTCACGAGCTGCTCGCACGATCAGTTAGTCGATTTGTCCAGACGCGGAGGACAATTGGCGAGCAACTGTGCCCGGGGTGACATTACCTGTTTCCAGCATCGTGGATATCCTGGAAATGGTCTCCATTTTGGCCCCGGGGTCTTTCGCATAGGCGCAATAACAGATCAGACCTGGGGAGGGGGGGTTGTCCCTAATAGAGGGAGGGGAGCTGGAGGAAGTTGGGAGTTCCGCGGCGGCGGGCGGGCAGCTGACATGACGATTGGGTAACGTCCTTAACAACGGCTACTTTCCAGCATCCGCTAATCCCACTTGCTATCTTGGTAGCCATCACCGAGGCAGGAGATTAGGAGAACTTACTATTGTCTCCCCCTATGATAAATTATTAATTGAGAAATATCTAATTTCTACAAAGATTTACTATTGATTATGCTTGCAGCGAACAATTAGATCTCATGACAGCCTCCGATGGGAGGAGCTCATGCCTCGCGGCGTCATCTTTGCGTGACTGAGAAGTCGCTTTGGGGTAGCTCCATCTTTTATTCTTACGTTGTGTTTAATTTGGTGGAAGAATATTGCTGAATAGGACGACGTGATCAGCGAAGTCCAGCAGAAATTGCTCATATATCAGCACATATTTCCGAGATCAATAGCTTTCATCACACTATCCAATATGCGGAATGTCATGACCGGCCGCGCTTCAAACAGGAAATTCATGAGCGCAATTACTCAAGTGGGCTGGTGAGAGGCGACTTCGATACTTGACTGACCTCCAGACACCGGACATGCCTTTGTTGAAGATCTTGACTATACGTGAACTCGAGTACAGGTCGAATGTGCATTGAGAGGGGTGATTCTAATGATTAGCTGCCCGAGCGAAATTACTGCACCAAAGAAGATAAAGGAGCAAAAGTTGATACGGTTCAACTAGGAGGCTTCGGGTCAACATTAGGTTATGGATCATGGCATGAAACTAGAATATAGAGCACTGTAACTTTGCAAAACAACAAGGCCTGAAGCTTAATTACTCCCTGAAACGAAAAGGTTCTTGCCCGGTGGCACGTGGTTTACTGTCAGGAGTTTCAGAGACTTTTGTGCAGAACTAGCGTGCAGCCATGAAGTTGGCTAATTAGCTCCTATCTATAGAACGGTAGACTAGGATATCACCTTCCTAGACATCTCGGTCTACATGATTTATACCCTCGCCATCGTGAACAATCTTCTCACGATCTTCGCCTTACTCGTCATACTGGGTACTCTGCTCGTTGTTCTGGCCACGGGCCCTTGGAGCACGGCATCGTTGTCCCTACTTTGGACTTCACCTTTTAGAGGATCGCTGTCAGGGGCAGCATTTTCCAACTCTGCTACCTTCCACGCTCGTACAAGCCAGAGACAAATGCATGCTGCCATGAACATGAAACCGACAAACACTTGGGCATGCAGAAAGTTGGTTTCGTTATCAGTTCGTAGCCAAAGGGCAATCGGTTCAGCAAATGTGCTCGGGATGACCACCGAAAGCCAGAAGATCGACAAAGCAGATGGTAAGAGCTGTAAACCCACAACCTCTGCACCTACTGGAGCTACAGTAGTCGTGAAGGTTGCAGCAACCGGGCCGCTAATCAGAGCGTAGAAGATAAGGACCCCGAAATTTTTGGCAAAGATCCAGATGACGAGAGAAAACAGGCCCGCCAGAAATGTACAAGCGAGAGCGGTGTTCAGCCGTCCAAAGCTATCGCTGACGTACCCTATAACAGGTCGTCCAAGGCCTCCTCCAAGGTTGAACATGGCACCAAGAATCGAGCCTTGAGATGCTGTCAGGCCTACAGTGCTTGCGTAGTCGGGGATGGAGAACAGAAGGGCCACGTAGCCCAGCACGCTAAAACAACCCCAGGCCAAAGTGAGCAGGAATTCTGGTCTTTTCAAAAGCTCGGTATGGAAGGCGATTTGAACAGCTCCAATGGCTTTGTTTCGATCCTTCACAATGATAGCAGAGAAGCCGCACGCAGCAGCGGAGACAATCGCCAGGATACGGAAAGCCCATCCAATGCCCAAATTCTGGATCATGGCACTTGTAGCTAACGAGTAGATAAGGCCTCCAATTCCTGATCCCGCCGTTGCAATACCATTCGCAAGAGAACGACGGCGGGTAAACCACTGAGGAATGATGCCAACAGTAGCACTGAATTGCATTCCCATTCCAAATCCGAAACACAGAGCTTGACTGAGAAACAACTGCCAAATCTGACCCGCCCACGACGCTCCTAATAGTGCCGCGGTCTGCAATGTAATACCAATCATCAAGGTAGCCCTTGTCCCCCATACTCGGGTTGTGATTGTTGCGACCGGCGCGATGAATTGTGCCATACTGAGAGAGAGGCCTCCGACAAAGGCATAGTCGAGGTCTGATGCACCTGGGAATGTGTTCGTGTCCAAATAATGGGCCAAGAAAACACCGTAGGCCTAATTTGCAAAGGAAATTAGTGAATTAAGACTTGCCTGGAGGCAATGAGACCTTACACTGTTGATGCCCCAAGTATGGGCATTGACCAAAAAGACACACACCACACAGACCCAGCCATAACCACCATCAACTTCTGTTGGTGCTAGTGGTTGAGCTTGCTCGGTGTCTGAGGTTACCGGTCCGTTATCGACTGGGTCATTTTTAGACAGCGCCTTGTCTGACAAGTCAGTGGAAGGGACAATGGAGTCGTGACCAAGTGAAATTGTTGTTATTGTGCGACTTGAGTCATCATGCTTCTCTGACGACTGTTCTTTGTTCATTATCAACAGATAGGGGTTGGAAAGAAAAGAGGAAAATGATATGTTAGGAGAAAGAGAATAGTGCCACTGAAGCAGAATATCGCTTAGTTAGAAGGGATGCACTGCATAGATTAGTAGATGATGAGAATGCGTCAAGTCTCAGCTCAGAGGCCGTATGTGAGACCGTGGCCAAGGCCAAGTTAAACAACGGTGTTCGACTAACTAGCTACTATATTGGTTGAGTCATACCATCATGGTGCTCAATGTGACCATTGGCCGACAAAGGAATTGCGTTCACTGGCTTGGCGTGCATAAGCCTGTCTATGTTGTCTAGATAGCCCCGGGATCTCCAGCTATTGTTGGGATGGTAGACTTGAAGTGTGGAGACCTTTAATCCTCCAGTTATCAGTTGCTCTGCTACGGAGTACATCTCGTTAGAACTTGAACCAATGACTTTCCTACGTCTCAGTATGCTGATACAGCTCCCCACCTTCTTCGCGGGCCCCTTGGAAGGACTGCGCGTATTCAACTTGGAACTAGTAGTTTGTTTAAGGATGAGCACTGCTAGCTCCACTAGGCAGGAGGAAAGGAAGATGACGGAAATAGGGAGGGTCGGGAGCTATCTACGCCCTACGGTTTACTCCGTACCTTATCTGAGCTAACAAGGATCGGGAGCCAGTAGTACTATCTGTTTACTCCACACGGTGGAATCTATCAGGTGTTATCACAAAGTACTTTGTATAGCGAGTTGGGGAAGCAAAAGCGCCCCCAAAGTGGGGCCGAGACCGGAGGTCGGAGACCGTCGGGGGCATCTCTGACTTGCCCTACATCTAGATGGGATAGGACCTTTTTGCCTCATTTGGAGAATCGCCGACGACAATAACAGGGGACCCTAGTAGGTTTGCTACTTATTACGTAGATGAACACGTACGATAGTCGGGCTTTTCCCCCATTGGAATGACTCAGGACGCGCAGAGTTCATTGCCGTTACAGACGCTCAAGCCCTCCTGGGATTTAAGATGCTTAGTGAGACGGAGGGTATTATCCCGGCTCTCGAGTCAGCTCATGCTATCTATAGCGGTGCCAAGATGGCCAGGAACATGAAGAAAATCCAAGATGTTGTGATATATGTTAGTGGCAGAGGGTAGGTTTTTACTTGCACATTGTAATTCGTACCCTTAACTGACTTGTTTGCCAGCGACAAGGATATACAGAGTGTGGCGGATGAACTTCCCAGACTTGGACCACAGATTGGATGGGACTTGAGGTTCTGAAATAGACCTACTAAGCGGCGTGTCACTGTTGTCTGAACTTAATATTTTGACACCCCATAGTAAGTCTAAATGTAGTTGAGATAACTAGTATAGGGTCATTTCATTGCAGTTGACCAAGCTGCGTCATTGAATTCATTAAGCAGAAATCATCTAGTTTTGTTTGATAGATTAAAAAAAAACCCACTTATATAGATGAAGTCACCTTACTACATAGTCTCCCATACGACCAATAACATAAATGGATTGGTAGCAAATAAACGCACCAATCAAAATTACCACCACACCAACGATTCAACTTCATGCATCAATCCACCCTCTCCAACACCTAACCCAACTAGTAGTGTTAGGTCCTAGATAGCTTAGCGCAAGTAACGCGCTCCGCAAATTATCCATCTATCCATTTACATACTTCATAAATAACTTTCTAAAACTCCATCCCAATAATGATCAGAACAGCCCCAACCCGACAAATCTACACCACCAGCGACCGTGTAATAGATTTCCTCCAATACATCATCACCCAAGATGCTCCCACCACACTACTACTCATATGCTCAACAAAAGAGCAATTCTTAGAGCATTTATTACTCGCCTCCTCCTCTTCCTCCTCGGGATCAGGAACTGAAGAACACCGACATCATCATCAGATACTCACTAAAAATACCATCGGGGTGCTCTCTAAATCGAGCAGTATCAAGATAGTCTATTGTCCTACGCTGGAAAATCTTCGAGCGTATTTGTCTGTGATACGTTCGCCGGAAGGGAAAGCAGCAGGAGGAGGAGGCTTGCAAGGAGAGTTAATTACAGAGGAGAAGGAAGAGCAGACGAGAAGAACTCCATCTCTGATGGCTATCCTGGGCCCGTTGGCTTTACATGTTCCTACTTCGGAGTTCTCTGCCCAGGGGTTGTCTAGGACGTTTGCGGCGGCGGTGGAGGTGGCGGCTCGAAAGGGGATGGATCTTGTGCTGTGTGAATGTAGGGATGCTGTTGATTCTAACGGGGGTGGGAATGGGAGGGGGGAGGTGTTATGGCATACGCAGGTGCCGCTGTTGAATAGCTCTGTGCGGGTTGGGGAGGAAAGTACTTCGTATCGAGGGGGAAGAGTACCTGTTAAAAGGGTCCTGCAGCGGTGGTTTGAATTCAATGACGATGAGGCTCCGATTATGGACACTACAGACATAGACGTTTGACGATTTGAAAGGACAGCAATAGAGCAAAATATGTGCTATGAGACAATATAAACCCCCATAATCAACCGGGTATCCTTAAACCAGTCCTAAAACTCCCGATTTGACACCATAATGAATTTCCAAATTTATAGGCATTTCTCCATGTCCGTGATATAGAGTTTGATGTGTGACTCCAACTTCAAGTACTCATCGTGAGCGCTTTGGATTTCGCTCTCAATGTTCTCCTTGAGATCGGCCATCTGGATGGAAATTAGTAAAGCATGCAAAGCCGAAGGAAACAAGAGACATTTACCTTCTTCTCAGTTTGTTCGATCCGGATTCTCCTCCGCTCCATGTCGCGTTGCTTTTCAGCTCGCTCCTCCCGGAGTTGTTTCTGAACTTCCCGGAGTTCCTCCATGCGCGCCTGCGCTACTTCGGCTTTTTCTTGAGCATTTTTCCGTAAAGCCTCGATCCTCTCATTCCATCGTGCCAGCTGCCGCTGCAGCAACTTCTCGGTCTGCTCCACTTCCCTGACATTATTCCCCCGCTCTGAAATGGCTTCTCTATTCCTAGAGGCCCTTGACTCTTCATCATCTTCCTTTTGCAGTTCCACGGATATATCTTCGAGAAGGCGCACACAAGCTTGCACGTCGTTACTAACGACCGTAAACGTGTCCGATGATGTTTGCAGAGCTCTCGCTCGTTTCTCCATCGCGTCGATTTGCGCTTTCTCACGAAGGAGATTTTCCGACAATTCACTCAGCGACGACTGGAGAGAGATGGGGCTCTCCATAACATAGGGACGCAGTTTCTCGACTTCTTGTCGCGTACGAACGACCTTTTCCGTCTTCTCCTCAAGCTGCGCTTGCCGTCTTGCCTTATCCGCCTTGGCTCTTTCTAGCATCTCGGCCACTCGCTCTTGGTTTCGTCGCAATTCGAGTAGCCGTGCTTTCAACTCGTCATTCCGTCGTACCTTCTCCTTAACCTGTGCCTCGTTGGCCTTCAGAGTCCGGCGCATTTCCTCGAGGCGCTGCTCCATCTCCTGGTTCTCCGTGTACAGGGTGTCAATGCGCGACTTGACCTTCTCGCCCTTGTTGAAATGCTCATCAATAACGGGCGTTTGAGATTCGCGGAATCTGACAAAGTTGATGAGGTAGGAGAATATCTTAACGAGTCGATCATGCGTTGGCTTGGTGAGATCGGTAAACATAAAATCATTGACACCACACTATGTTTCCATATGCCGTGTTAGGTCCGACTGAGCTCATCTGTTTCAAATAAGAAGCGGGTTTATACGCACCTCCATCATCAACCGCCGTAAGCTGGTAAAGAACCCCATGAGGTTGCGCGTGTCGGTAGGTACAATGTCGGGGTAGTCGCCACAGATATCGTCCGCCGCCGCTCGCATCGCTGGCTCGACGGTTTCGCGTGTCATATTCATAAGGAGCTCGGCAAACCATTCAAAGACCATTTGAATCTGTTGCGGGTTTGGCTTGATCAAGTCGGCGGCGGTGAAGGGGATGCCTATGTCATTAATGCATCCTGCGATTTCCTTGTCCGGCTAATAGCAGCGTTAGATATTGTAAGCGAAGAGGCCTTGTTCAACTGCGAACTAACCAGGCGCATAAGAGCATCATTCTCATCCTCCTTCTTGCGACCTCTATTGTGGTGTTGCTGGGAGCCATGGAATTGCTGGCTCATTCGGCTGCCGTACGCCATTGTTTCTCACAGTCCAAGCTAAGATGGTGAGCCGCAGGAATCACTCGAACACGATCAAGGCAGAGTGGTGGCGAGATTGATGCCCGCTCGATGGATGTTATGATGATTGTTTACTGCGCAGGACTCGCATGGCAACCAGAAGTGGACTAGCGCGGTTGGAGAGGGGCACTACGGACAAACAATGCAAACCTACTCCACGCTTCCCTTTTTCGATGACTCTTTGCGGCGGCCACAGCGGAATTACCTGTGATTTGTAAATCAGTGTTAGAGAGAGCTCTTTTGCCGTGAACGCGAGATTTTCCAGCTCACGTCTCTCAGATCCTCGGCGTATCATAGCTTCTCGGCGATTTTCAGACATCATGGCAGCTCCCACATCAGGCTCATCGGCCGCCGCCAAGCCGTTCGAGTAAGTCACCTACTTCACAACCAGGAAGTCCTAGTCCTTTGGATCACTAATATATCTTCTTTCTAGCATTGTCGCGACATACAATGACTTGCTCCGCTCCGATCCAGACCTCACTATGCCAATTGCAGCTATCGAAGCTCTGGTACTACTCCTTACAAACTCTCCCTCCTCGACGATATCCGAGACGCTCGACCTTCTCGAGAAATCCACTGCACACCTGAAACAGTCGATCCCGAACCCCATTGGTCTCTCTGCTGGAACCGACCTCTTCCAGCGATACCTGATTACTACCCTGCAGAGACCCGGACAGCTCGGGCCCGCAGGTGATTTCAACGCGATCAGGGCGCATCTTCTGTCGAACGGACGGTTGTTTATCAGACGTGCGAAAGAGAGTCGGGACAAGATCGCGGCGTTTGGACGAGGCTTTGTACGCGATGGAAGCACGGTTCTGACGAATGGAGGATCACGAGTTGTCGCTTCGTTGCTACAGAAGGCCGCGGACGAGAAGGGCGGCCCGTCAGCCGTGCGGTTCAAGGTGATCTATGTCCTGTCATCGGCGAAGGGGACTGGCGCGCATCCCGATGAGCCGGAGGGTATGGAGACTGTGCGCGCTCTCCGGGCGAAGGGTGTTCCTGTCGCTACGATCCCGGAGTCGGCTGTTGCCTACTCGATGGGCAAGGCCGATACTGTCATCGTTGGTGCCGAGGGTGTGGTTGAAAACGGTGGTATCGTGTCGCGCATGGGAACCTACCAGATCGGTCTTCTTGCGAAGGCTATGGGCAAACCCTTTTACGTTGTGGCGGAGAGCCACAAGTTCGTCCGTATCTACCCGCTCAGCCAGTATGATTTGCCTATTGAGCAGCGCGTGATCGATTTCAAGACTGAAGAAGATGTCGCCGACGAGGCGAAGCAACAGCAAGCTTTGTCTACGGATACAGTCGATGCCAAGGCCGTCAACACGGCGGACAGCGCTGATGTAGTTGACTTCACTCCCCCCCATCTGATCTCTGCCTTGATTACGGACAGCGGTGTTTTGACACCAAGTGCGGTCAGTGAGGAGCTGATTAAGATTTGGTTCTAATTCTCCATTTCCATTCCGCGCTCTTCCATACAGGCATGAGACGTGGAGCTTGTGATGTCTTTTAAAAACTAAATGAAGCGGATTGGCGTTAAGGTCATGATATCTCCGGACGCTTAAGGTGTTTATTGGTTTGCAATGTGTTGTCTATCTGCAAATCTCAAAGAAAATACAACTGAATAGATCTAGAATTACACTTCCGACAGGAACCGTAGCAAATATCTACTAGTTCTAATGTACAATATGCGGAATCCCGGTACATTGGCTAACCACAGCCACACCCGCCGCCAGTGTTTCATGCAAGACTAAGATTATCATAGAACATCTCACCGCTTTGGTGATGTTTCTGTTTAAGGGGCAGATGTAGTTGGCTACTAGTAGTCAGCATACCTGGCTATGAATTACGTGAGGAATCTGACGCTGAAGCGTGAGAGGCACTGCTCGAAACCTAACTTGCGTCATAGTACTATGTTTGTATATTGTAAACTATGCAATTTGCGGGGGACATTCTGCCCAGGTTATCCTCATTCAAGGCAGCAGGCGGTGAAGGAGGCAACTGACTTGCCATATTAGGCTGGAAGTACCAAACTACGTAACTAGTAAAGGCTGCTCCCCTTATGATTTCATCCCGCGATGGGACATCCTATCCTGTTCATGAACTCCTACCATGTAGTTTGTCCTGCCCCTGCAGCCGCCATTGGCTTTCTTTTTCTTACTATACCACGCTCCAAGCCTTGTTCATGAGGTGTCATCTGTCTTACTCCCTACATTCAAGCCTGTACACCTGATACCGTTGATCGCAAAAGACTTTCCGCCCTACGCCTCCTTGTCTCTGCGCGGTTTCGTATTCGTTTTTGTTGATCGGCCGCTGCACGAGCCAGCCTTACCAGCCCGCGGTCATACTCCGTCTCTTGCTATAGGATCCACCTCAAACGTCCAGCAGTCAACCCCCTTCCTGTCTGTGTCAGCTTTCTGCATGTGTCAGATTCCGTTTATCTATATAACTATTGGGGTGCTGGCTCTCCGGTTCCTTGGATCCATGTGAAACGACGAATTTCTCCTATTGCTTTTGTCTCTGCCCGCAGCATGTCTTCGGCCGTTCAACCGCCTAATGGCTCCCCTTTACTACGGCCCCGTGCCGTTCCGGGGACGAAGAATCTAGACGATTTGACAGCAATTTCCCCCTTGGAGAAAGCTGATTCGAGGCGAGTACTTGCATATACCATTACTACGAATGCTAGAGCTAATGTCCCATACTAGTGGTCGCTCAACGCCGGTCCCCGACGATGCTCCTCCCTCCGTGCATTCAATCTCCACGGCAAGAAAGCAAGCCCGAGCCCGGACTCGAATTTTCTATACAATCGATTATGTCCCTCGAGTATCGCACTTTGACCCGCGGAGCGAGTACCGCGACTTCCGCGGCTTCTATACCCTGTTTTGGATTGCATTGTTTATCATGGTCGTTACTACGATGCTTCGGAATATCAAGGATACCGGATATCCTCTGAGGATCAGAGTATGGAGTCTGTTGTCTGAAAATGTGTGGTCCATGGGCTTCAGCGACGTGGCCATGGTGGTCAGTAGTGCAGTGGTCCTGCCGCTTCACCATCTCATACGAAACAGCGGTAGCTTGTTGCGCTGGGGAAGAGGTGGCATGGTCGTGCAAAGCATTTTCGAGGCCGGCTGGGCCATTCTATGGATCAAGTAAGATTGGCATCTCACTGTACCTTTAGCTAGATGCAGAAGCTAACCATACCCTAGTTGGCCATTTATGATGCGCTGGACCTGGACGGCCCAGGTCTTCTTCACCCTCCATACTCTAACCATTCTGATGAAGGTGCACTCCTACGCGTTCTACAACGGCCATCTGAGCGAGACGCAACGTCGACTAGCCTCGCTCGACAAGCCAGGGAAAGTCTCAATGGAAGCGCCAATCCCATACCCGGATGCATCCCCCCGTCGACGCTCGGTAGTTAGGCGTGCGAGCCACCATGCACGCTCCGAGTCAATCGCTGAACTGCGCGAGGACCTGGCCACAGAGCTCACCTCTCCATTGGGGAATGTCACCTATCCTCAGAATCTTACCGTTGTCAATTATGTCGACTTCATTTTCTGCCCCACTCTCTGCTACGAGCTGGAATATCCTCGAAGCAAGGAAAGACGGTGGATCGAAATTGGCTTGAAGACTTTGGCTATCTTTGGATGCATTTTCTTATTGACATTAACAAGCGAAGAGTTTATCCTCCCTGTCCTGACAGAGGCCAACATTCAATTGCACAGGGTGTCAAGCGCGGCCGACAAAGCCCTGATCCTTGCAGAGACCATCAGCATGCTACTGTTCCCGTTCATGGTCACGTTTCTTCTTGTGTTCTTGGTGATATTCGAATACGTTTTGGGCGCTTTCGCGGAACTAACGTGTTTCGCTGATCGTCACTTTTACTCGGACTGGTGGAATTCCTGCGACTGGTCAGTGGAGACCTATAAAGCCTCTTTGATGCTGGCCACTAATCTGGCCGCAGGCTCGAGTTCTCCCGTGAATGGAACATTCCCGTTCACCACTTCCTCCGCCGCCACGTATACTTCCCCTCGCTATCGAACTTCTCCAAACCGGTCGCCATGTTCATCACTTTCCTCGTCAGCGCTATTGCCCACGAGTTGGTCATGAGCTGCATCACCAAGAAGCTCCGCGGCTACGGATTCCTAGCGATGATGCTCCAGCTACCCATCGTTGCAGTACAGAAGTCCAAATACGTCCGAGGAAAGACAACACTCAACGTATTTATTCCCTCCCACTATGACTTCTCAGAAGCAGGTACTGACTCTTATTCCACAGAACCTCTTCTTCTGGTTATCTATGATTTTCGGACTATCACTAGTAAGTCAATCACCTACCTTACACTCCAAAGCCAAGGGGAATAATCATCCTGACCTATCACAGATGTGTGCGCTTTACGTCCTCGTCTAGACACACGAAGTCGAATTTTCCCGGTAGCTGTTGGCTACACTCAACTCCCTGACCTCTCTAGCACCATCATCCTGTCCCAGACCTGTAACATACACTATTGGACGGATATCATTTGTGGTACCTGTCTCTTATCATTTCACTTACATATATACTACTATACACACATACATGCATGTTCAATTCAGTTTTATATATACCCTGCTTGTTGTTTTGACATTGTATATCATCAGTTGGGTTTTTTGCACATATTTCATCCTTGGTATATCGTCTTATTTTTCTTTTTGCTTTCTTTCTTATTATTTTACTACCGTTTATCAATTGTATCCCGCGCAAGACTATCTTGCGTTAGGAGAAAGACACTAGACGGTCTATCCAAATGTTGATTCTAGAGATGGACATGTGTATAACCCCTATTATATTGATGGGTTTAGATAAACAACTTAGATACAGGATAAGAAGGAAACGCCACTTGATTAAGTTAGGTGGGACCATGATCACGACTTGAGTACTCTAAGCAGTTGGATCCAGCTATACCTAGCTAGTACTACGAATATTACTTTCCCTATATACCCACTTCCCAAATATACGACTTGTCGTTTAAGATTCCGAATAGAACAAAAAATCTTAAAGACACCAGCGACACAAGGCCCAAGCGATAAAAAGACCTAAAAGATACTATAGATTGTTTCACAGAAACAAACCCCACTCACCAGCGGCTTCGTGCCTGAGTGCCTGACTCTATATCCAATTTGTGTTCCTAGAGCAACGCAGCCAAACGCGAAACGCCGTTAATGAACCAAAGATCAACCAATGACAAAGGTGCGCCCATTCCAAGAAGCTGAAGCACTTGTATTGCGAGAGCGATAGATAACCAGTATCAAACAAAACCTGATGTGTCCGATCCGTCAAGGACAAGACACGTGACGTCACCGATCAAGGCGACGTACTCTTGATTTCAAGTTGGACGTATGATGTGTATGCAAGATGATATGAGCCGAACAACTTACATATGCTCGATCGGCTCTTCAGGGAGGAGAATTTCTCGGTCGCGGCGAGAACTAGGAAGGCAGGCTTTGAGCGGCGGGCGGACAATGTCGTTAAAGAGGAAAGTTCCGTAAACGAGGAGCGCGAAGCCGACGACTTGTAGCCATTTGAAAGTCTCCCAGCCCAGAGCGAGGGAGACGAGCCAGATGAAAAGGGTCCGGCAGGTGTCGATTGTGCTGCGGGAAGTAGCGGATACGGTGCGGGTGACGGAGAGACCGAAGAAGTTGAATCCGCTGAGGCAGTCGTGGTTAGTATGCTGTAGATGAATAAGGAGGAAGGTTAGGAGGAAACTCACCCAATGCTAATCATAATCAAGAAACTGGACATGGCAATTGCTCGGTTGTTGAAGACCTGGCTCCATCCTTCCTTTGCATCGAAGTAGCCGTAGCGGCCGGCCTCGGTGCGTCCAATGGTCAAGTACAAGATGATCGAGCCGATGACGGTGACAGAGAACCCGAAAATACCTTCCCAGCCAACAACCTGGAGGGGGTCCATTTCATAGTTTTCCAAGATCCACTCTTCCAGGACGAATTGGGACGCAGTGAAGATCTGGGCTGCAGCTATAAGCAGCACCCCAACGACAGCTTTCAGTGCTTCCGGAGACCGCGTTGTGGCCTGGATTTCCCTGATAGCATGGGTCATGACGGTGGCAGCACTTCCTTGGGTGACGTCGTGTCCTTGGTTGTCCGCGAAGAGGGCACCTGCAAGACCGACCAGAGCAACACCTAGGACCACAATGAACAGCGCCAGCCAATGATAGAGATGAAGTTTGCGGTGGAGAAAAAGAACACTAAAGAGGCCGACGAATAAAACGAGGGCGCCGCGAGTCATCTGGTAGACACTGGCAGCGACGAAGAGCAACCCGACGTTCATCAGAGTTGTGCCCGCAATGTCGCAGCATGCTGGTGCAGCAAGAAGAAAGATCTTGTATCCACGAAGGTGAATGCGACCGTCTGCTAAAGTGGCGGGCTTCGTGACATCATTTGAAGCTTCTGGTCCTCTGATTGTATAATCTTCCTCCTCGTCGAGTCCTTCAGTGTTATTGACAGGGTGATAGCCACCAGCCAGAAGAGGCGAAGAGTTGTTGGACAAGCGCGGGGCAATATACCGTTGATACAGATGGGTCATGAGGATCACCAGCCAGCATCCCATTTCTCCGGTGAACATCTGGATACTGCCGTCCAAGGGAGATTGTGAGCCGGAGCATGCAAGCTAGCACAAAGAGGGGAATGCCTACGTTTGGATGACAGGTTGCTCAAAGGTGCGACGGTATTTGGGAGAGGGCGAATCGCAATTCCATACACATTGCATGTCCTGTTCGTCGGGTGAGCCAAGAGGTGTGGTAGACCACAGTAAGGAAGTCCAACCTGGTATTTGTTGAGGATGGTGTTGCACACCCCAGTGACGAGCATCATCGTCACCAGGAACGGAACAGCAGCCTTGTTCGCCATGATGCCCGGAGCCTGATAAGAATATGGGGGGACAAAAAAGTGGTTGTTGAATGGTACGAAGCAGGGGAGGAGGTAGAGGAGGTAACTAGAGCGATAGATAAGCCACTCGGTGGCTCACGTGGGTGGAGTGATAAGGTGGTCACAGGGAGGGAGGGAAGGTGTGGGTTAGTTGGCCAAGTCCGGAAGCTGATGGTGGGTGGGAAGGCGAGAGAAATTCAAGGCACATTCAAGTCGATTGGCAATGTGAGTCTTCAAGAGCAATCTAGCAAACCGGGAGCTATTGAGCACCCATCCTGGAAGGCCGAGGATACAAGATGGGAGAAACACGGAACAAAGCAGACGAGGATGATGGAAGATGGAGGGAGAGAGTTCATGGGGAAAGAAGAGCCACAGCTTTCGGTGGACAGGCGAACCTTATCGGCAGCTGATCCCGGAGTGGGTCTTGTCACGGGTCCGTATGGGGCGTATCATTACGGCGGACATACGGACAACCAATAACTACAGGAAAATATAACGAACTGTAGTGGTGTATACCTGGGGATAACCTAAGGACGCAGATGCGAAACGTATACAGATGGAATATTGGTGTAATTAAAGCTAGACTAGATGGTGCTTCAGACCAGTCATGGGATACATCCAGTTACCCTCAGCCCTATTCTTCTTCAGGCCGTGGCAGTTCTCACTCTTCAAATCACCCCCGAGAGAGCCTTGCTCCCAGGGCGACTCAGCAAATAAACCCTCTTTTTTTATCGCTCGCTCCATCCAACGCCGCGCCAGAAGAATACCGACCAGTGAAAAGGGGGAAAAAAGAAGAAGAAAGAAACACACAACATGTCAAGCACTAGAAATGACAAGTCCTCCTCGGCTTAATGTACAGTAATCATTCGTGGTCCATGCCAATTGACATGGTAATCCGCACGCCTTTCGCCGGCTCAAATCATAAAACGCTTCTCATCACATGGTACCTTCCTATATCGCGCAGATCGCGATGCCACTATCGTCAACGTTGATCGCCCCGTCTTTGCGCTCGACCAGATCCCAATCAAATTCCTCCCACGGATCCGTCATCATAATCCCATCTTCCAGCCGGCCTGGGAAGGCAACCCAATCCGCTGGAAGCCAGCTGCCCTCACTCCCTTCGTTCTTACCACTGAGATCATCCGTCTTGGGAAGCTCAGTATCCTTGGGGGTTTGGGTCACGAGGCCGGTCTCAACGGAATCCGGCGTGTCTTTCGCTTGCGTGTTGGTAAACATCTCAGGGTTAAGGAATTCGTCCATGGCACCGAATCCAAGGCCGCCGTCATCGGCAAACTCCATAAAGGTATCCTGTATCGCGTCGAGGGAAATTGCGCTGTTTGCCCACGGGTCTTGAGGAGCTGCATCCACAGAGGGTCCTGGTTCGGCCAATTTAGCCGGCTCCTTCTTGCCGTCTTTGCCGGCGGTTGGCTTGAGGGGAGACGGCACTGCCGTTTTGGTCGTGGACGTGCGAGGCGTCAATTGTTGATTCGATGCTGGCGAACTAGGCTTTGGCCCTACTTGGCTGGTAGCTCGCCCCATCGGAGTCGCACTTGCGGGCACTGGAGTGGCCGCCTCGAGTTTAACCTCGTGCTTCGAAGGTGACGAGGTTGCAGCGGCCTTGCCATTCACGAGCGGGATGCTCTTCATGTCTTGAACCCCACTCTTATCTTCGTCCTTCACAAGGCAGTTGCGGAAGCTTTCCAGGGCGAACTCCAGTGGGTTCTCAATCGGCTCTTCAGCCTGGTGGGCCTCTGCGATGTGTTTGTCCAGGGCGTTTTGTGCCGCAAACCCTTGGTAGTGATGCTGGCACTCGGGGACACTACACTTGAAGGCTCCACCCAAGGCTGCTCCGTTCGCCCGTGCATCGGCCGGTTTTCCTGCCTGCGCCTTGGAAGTTGGCGTGACAGAAACGGGTGTGGCACCAGTTTGAGACTGCTTCCGTTTCTTCGGGGGAGGCAGTTTCAGCTGTTCCGGGGGAATACTACCCGGACCGTATGCATGGGGAACACCTTGAGGAGAAGGCGCTCCGAACGGCGCTTGTGGGATGGCAGCAGCGCCCGAAACAGTTTGGCTGGAGGCTCGGCGGGCCCGCTGAAGTGCTTCCTCCTGCTGTTGCAACTGCTGGAGATTGCTTGCGTTCAGGGCGGGCATGTTGGGTTGGCTGGCCTGTTGCGCAGGTGCCCCCTGAGAGACGCTGAGCCGCGGGCCTGGCATCTGTTGGCTGAGACGCGCAAGCATTGTATGGAATAGCTTCTTGATAGAAGAGGTATACATCGAGAGATATTGTGGCGATATTGTGTATTGGTCATTGAGAGTCCAATCAGGCCCTGCTTTGAATTGCCTCATTAAGTAGACCCGCTGGAAAGAATCGTCAGTCATAACCGAACCTCACATATAGTAGAAAGGGAAAGCAATCGCATAACTCACCATTGAAAGTAAGCTGTGCACATTCTTCTCTTGTCCGGGAACTTTAGCCATAAATTGAATAAGAGTATCCATTCTACTTAGGTATCCAACGATATCCCGCAGCTGCTGCGTCATGGTTGCCTTTTGCTCTGGCGTAATGGGTGCAGGCTCCCCTGGAGGAGTGTTTCTGGCAATTTCGTTGTACAACTGCTTTAATTTTTCTGGCATGTTGTTCCATTGCTCATCTGAAGTCGGTCTGCTGACGGGGCCCCGGCTTTGGAGTTGTTGCCTGCGCAATTGTGCCTCGAACTGTACGCGTTGCTGGGGCGTCATGGCAGCCAATTGCTCGCGAGAGAGAAGCATATTCGCCTGTGCTTGTGTAGGGGTTGCTCCCACCTGAGCAGGTGCAGGAGGTGCGGGTTTCTGCGAGGGGGTGGATTGAGGTTCTGTAGACTCATCATGTGGCAACTTTCTTTTCTGCGCCTGCTTTGCGACAGGCCCTTTCGCATTCTTGCCAGGCGGTACAGGCTGTGCCTGGGCCTTTGTCGTCGAACTTTGCTGGGACTGCTGCGCCGTTTGTTGGGAGGGCTGCGGCTCCGATTTAGCTTGAGGCATCGAGGGCGGCACAGTAACCGGTGGCTGCGGTGCCGATAGAGATTGTTGTTGTGCTTGCTGGGCGGCAAGGGCCTGGGCTGCACGGCCCTGGGCCACCTGTATTTGCTTCTGTCGGTTTCTATGAAGCAACTCGCGGAGTTGATCATCGCTCAAATTCTGTACCTGACTGCCTAAGCGCTGGCGGGCCAATTGAATATCTTGCGCGGAGATGGGACGCATGACCGGCATATTCATTGGCATCTGCTGCTGGCCAGCTTGGAGCTGTGGGTTCATCAATGGCTGCGGCTGCCCCTGGAACGGCGTCGGCATCCAAGGTCCTTGTCCGCCCTGTTCGGGGTTGCGAGCATTCTCTTTTGACTGGGCAAGAATCTGTGCGAGATGGAGTTTCTGCAACGCCAACAGCTTCGTGATGTCGGCGCCTCCCAGGAGTTGCGGGTTTGTGGCCGCCAAATGCTTCAGCTGACCCCAGGTCTTGATATTCTTCGGAACAGCCGAGGAGATGTTCGGGTTGTTGCTCAATATCGCGGGAGGAAAATGCAATCGATCCATCTCTTTGACCTGTTCGGGAGACATCTCCATACCGCCGCTATGCGCACGAAGAAGCTGGAGCTTATAGAGATCCTGCTGGCGCTGCTGTTGCTGCTGTTGCTGTCGTTGTTGGACGGACATCTGACCTGGCAGCATCTGATTAGGCGCTTGGGCACCACCCATTCCCGCAAGCTGTTGTTGCAGATTCAGAGACGCTCGTAGGTTCTGCCCATTCTGCATCTGGCCGTTTATCATTTGGCCATTGACCATCTGCTGGCCTTGATTAGACTGCGATAGATTCTGCTGCATAGGCATAGACTGCTGCGAGGCGTTTGCCCTAGCCAGGGCCTGGTTGTTCGCCAGCGCACGCCGTTGATGGTTCATGAGAAACACGCTTAACTGTTCATTGCTCAATGCATTGAGTTGCTCCTGAACTTGCGGGGGGAGGTTAGGTGGTATCTGTGGTCTTTGCATAGACGGCTGTCCGTTCATCTGAACGTTACCAGGCTGTTGTCCCATGCCCTGGGGTCGGGATGGAGGCCGGACTTGCGCTGTTCCTTGTGGCGGAGAAATCTGACCGGGAGCCATTGGCCGATTCAACATGGGCATAGCCGGGCTTTGTTGGGACATTTGATGCTGCATACGCGCGCCAGGTTGGTTTTGAGACATGGCGAATTGTACTTTGGCGGCTGCTTGTACCCGTGCTTGGTCTTGTGCCGACTGAGATTGCGCCTGTGGCTGCGCCTGGAATTGAGATGCTTGTTGAGACCTATCCTGCGGCATAGTCTGTGCATTCTGCACATGCTGCTGGGCTAGAAACTGCGGGCTTATTCCGGAGCCGTTCATATTTCCCTGCGCGCCCTGACCAAGCTGCTGTCCGACCTGGAACATATTCTGCGGTGTCGTGAAGGGTTGCTGGTTCATCTGCGAGGAGCTAGCGGGCACCACAAGTTGGCCTGCCTCCTGAGAGCGCAATCCATCCGCCTGTTGCCCCTGGATGTTCTCAACATTTCCGATGGACGACGACGGATCCAAGCCCTGCTGCCCGCCTACCGAGAAGGAGTTGCGTTGTGCGTTCATCATATTCTGGAACATATGCCGCTGTGTGTTCATCATGGGGTCGCCCATCATGGCACCGTTGGGATCAACCCCAGCACCTGGAGGGCGAATATCACTCCGATTCTTCTTATATCTCTTCAACTGATTAAGTGCCTGGGAGCGGAAGAAGTAGGTGATCGGGTCCATGTTTTTCCGTTGCAAATACCCCCGCTGCTCGGGCGTCATATTTTGCAGGTTCATCTTAATTTTCTCGAGATCCTCTGGCGAGGTCTTCGAAATGATCTGACTCGCTATGCGACACACTTGCTCGTACTCTGACGCTGAAAGGGTGTTTAAATCGTCCGAAAGCGCTGCGCCATTTGCAGGCTTTTGTTGCGGGCGCTGTTGCTGTAATAGGTTCTGATGTTGCTGCTGCGCTTGCTGGCGGTGTTGCATTGCAGCTTGTTGGTTCAGGTCACCCATGCCCATCGACATTTGCTGTTGTCCGGGCAAGGGCGATGCTTGCACGGGGCGATTCATTTGAGGGTTAAATGGCGGCTGCCCCACTCCAGGCATCCCCATGGCTGGCCCTTGGGGCATCATCCCACCTTGCATAACGGCTGCTTGTCTGGCACGAGTATCGCGAATATGAAGGAGCTTCTCATTGCATTCCCTTTCGTAGTCGGCCTGAAAGACACCGAGATTAGAGCCCACGTCACACAAGGTCAAGGGAAGTAACAGTATCTACCTTCTGACCAGCTTCTTTGAATGCCTTCTGTTCGAAGGTCAAGGCAGCATGCGCAGCATTCTGCATGTCTATACGAGGTTGTATTAGACGCAGTGAGGTAATCCTAGGAGGTGACGGATTAGCGCGGGCACCAGTCACTTCTCAGTTGGAGGAGGGGAGGGGTCCAGGTGAATTTATTTTGAATCAGGTCAGTGACGACAGGGATGCGCATGGTGGGAACCTACATTTGGTACACCTTGAGTGCTCGCTCTCTGATGGGAACTTCCGCTCGCCATCCGGAATATTGGCCCTGTGCCTGCAGCGCCTGTGCGACTTGCTGGAGGATTATTTGATTATTCTCAGGCTTGGCCGGAAGTTGCATTTGGCCATGCGGCTTAACTCCGCCATTCATGGCCCCGCCAACATTGGGGAAGTTTGCCGGATTCATGTCAACAACCCCCCTCAATGGGGATCGAGGAGTAGTCCGCGCAAGCCGTCCGTGGGTGTCAGCATTCGCCGGCGTAGATGCCAAGCGCTACACTATGCGATAGAAGAAATTGTAAGTCAAAGTAGACGGGCGCTCTTCCAGCAGATGTTCGTCGGTGCGAGAGATATGTGGGATGAGACCGGCGGTGGGGCCTTGGGGAGGCACGAGAGAGAAAGGGAAACGGGTAAGACGATGCAGATGAGTCTCGTCGCAGGTTGATCGCGTCTGAGACGGTTGAGTTGGTTGCGGCGTGGGCTTTGCTGTAAAACCAGGTAGATGGGGGTGAAACGAAAGAGGACGAGCAATAGGAACAAGCACGGGACGGCAGTAGAACACGGGGGACCAACGCAGCAGGGAAACAAGGCGTTCGGGCACCAGTGTTCAGACAGAGCGGTTTCGTTGGCAGATGCCCGGGGGGAGTGGCTTGGGGGGGGGGGGGGGGGGATGTCAGACTAAGCAGGATTGAGTCCGGTGGATGCTGGATCAGTGACAGGGATGTTGCAGTGGCACTGGGCCAGTGAGTGCAGAGCCGTTCGTCTCGATGACTATGGAGTCTCCCGGGGCTCTAAGAGGTGGGAGGATGGGTGGCAGGACGGGGAGAAATGACGAGGTAATTTCGGAAACCTAAGCGGGAAGGAGGAAAAATGAACAGGTTAGGATGTTGCTTCCGAATTACAACAGAAGAACAAGAACGAGAAGGCAAAGCATCCCCCAGGGCAGTAAGTTCCCAGCGTTCTGCTTTGGCAGTGAATGAATGCAGAAGTGCGCAAAAAGCCGAACGGTCGGAAAGAGGAGGACGCTAGAGTCAAGAAGGGGATCATCATACCTGAGTTTACAGTAAGACAGGTAACCCGATAACCAGCTAGCTGCACGGTGGCGTGTTCGGCAAGCGTGTCAGCTGGGAGGGCAGGATTAGATGTAGAGAGAATGAGACCAGGAAAGAAGGGGGGAAGGGAAAAAAAAGAAAGGGCCGAAGAGAATAATAGTAATAGCAATAATAACAAAAAGAAAAAGAGAGGAGGTGTGGTGGTTAATGAGAAAGGAAATAAACAGCCAGAGAGGAATCGGTCTGAGAAACTCGAGTGGTAAAGAAAGAGTGAGTGAGGGTGGGAAAGGCGGAGATCGCGAAACCAGGGAATTAGACTAGGAAGGGAGGAATAGCCGGGTTATGAAGAAGGTAAAATTGAGTGGGTAAAAAAAAAAAAAAACGAAAAGAAAAAGAAAAATATAATCAGAAAATAAATAAAATGAAAAGATAATAAAAGAAGGGAAATCTTTTAGAAAAAAAAAAAAAAAATTGACAGCAAAATATAATAACCACGACCAATCCCAATATATGGGTAACAAAGGGGAGAGTTGAGGAAGATAGAGGGAGGGGGGGTGTGGTTAAGGGAGATTGAAGGTGGGAGGAGGAAGTTGAAGATCCCGCTTGAAGGAGCGCGAGAAAACGAGCGGGCAAGAAGGAGGGCAGGCGATGCTGGCTGGGTAAGGAAGTCTAAGTTTGGGTGGTGGTAACGGTAAGGTAATTGATGGATGAGGTATGCCTAAGGCGCGAGTTTGGCTTAGTGTGGCCGAGAAGAGCCAGACTAACAGACTAACAGGTACTAGACTTCCCAAGGCCCTTCTTGGGGATCTGCCCGTTGGTGCTCGTCGTCGGTCGGGCGAGGTTAGGGAAACTTAATTAGTCCCTCAACTAGGACCAAGTGGGTATCTTTTTCTACTGCCGTAGGTCCAGAGTGGGCTGCCTGCTTAAGGTACATCCTCTTCCCGTCGCTTGGTATTTTAAAGAGAAGTAAGTAACTAAAGCAATAGATACTTCTCCAAAGATTAACTACTACTAGTTGTCTGAAGTCTTGAGTAGAAGTAATTAACTAGTACTTTGTATTAAACCAAACAATACTCATATTCTTTCATCCAATGACTCAATGTAGTGAAGGTCCCTTTCTCAGTCTTCTGACCCGGTGCTCCATCCATGGATTCTTCTCAAAAGGTAGATAGAAGCAGTGAGTTAGTGTCGTGCGAATGACGGCTGCAGAGATGGGGGACCGAAGCGGGCCATCTTTTCCTTCTCGGTACCCGCCCATTTTCAGTTCATCATGACTGGCTCTGACTCTTGACTGATTGAGTGACCGACTGAGGTGACTTGACTCCTACTTAGTACTATCTACTTACTGACTATCTGTCTACTTACTAGTACCGTATTGGCCTGGTCCGGGTGACTGGCTGAAAGGGACGCAAGGTCTGTCAGGCCAAGAAATGTTGGTTTCGCAGACTTTCCGGATCGAATCAATGCTTCATGCTTTCCTTTCTTTTCCTCTCATTTCTTTTTTTTTCCTTCTTCTTTTCTGTTCTTTTCTTTTTTTTTATTCACCCTACTCTTCCAATGGTCTCAATATCCCGCACAGGGGCCGACCATACTTAGTACACAGCCTGAAGGAGTAGTTGGTCAGGTCCCCGCCCCCCTTCCCCCCCTCCGCCCCAATACCTGATCCAATTAATGTGCATGAACCTTTGGAAATAAAAAAGCTCTTTTTCTTGTCTTGATGTTTCTGCATTGAATACGGATGTCCTCGCGCCTAAGTGAATTATCCACCGAGTCGGTAAGTCGTCCACCAAATGGGAGGTTGTCTCTCCTTATAATCTGAATATTACTACGAAAGCGGCTGCCTGGTTCCATTCATAATTCCTACCGCTACTCAATCGGACTTTCTAGAGGCGCGTGTACTCTTTGCCCCACTACTAACAATCCCTCTGGTTCCGCGGGACGATAGCCTCCCCAGGGACTAGATAGCAGTCTAGTAAATAGCCTGCACTAATATTAAAGAGGGCGAGCTGAAGTCAGAAGAACTGCATTCATCCTCAGGTTGGATCCACTGCATTATATATCCCAAGTCGTGTCAACTGAAATGATGTTCCTGCATCCAACCAATTCAAGTAAAAATCGTAATAGGAGCCTGAACCAAGCTGCCTGTCTGTGCGGATGGAAGTGCGGTAAATAGTACCGTCCTACAATACTTGATCTTTACGTTCCGGCTGTTGCTTTCCGGTCTATCCATTGCTAGCTCAATAAAAAGAGTGTCTACCTTGCAGACATTGGACCAAATGAAGTAATAGCACATAGCGTCCGTACGCGGCAGACCAAAAAAGACTACTAAGTTCCGATGCGCAAATCGAAGCCATGGCCATCTGCCAGTCGACCGTACGACCTACTCACTAGGGTGACTGTGGGTGTCAATGCTGTCCCCCCCCCTCTTTCCAATCCATTTCTATTGTTTGACAACTTGATCCTCTACCCTTCAATCAATTTGCTATAAATGTAAACATGTTCCACTATACTCTTTTCACACTACAGTTCCCTTGATCAAGACGAAGCCATGCTAAAATCGATATCTCTGCATTCAAAAATCTGATTTATGAACCCGGGGAGGAGAGTTGTTCTACTATGGACAGAGTTTGGGTGGCGGGTAGTCTTGAAGGTAAGGCGTTCCTTCAAACTTCAGAGTAGAAAGAGGAACGAAGTGAGCAGGGAAAGCGGCGGCTGAAACACGCGGTGCTTCGGAGTGGTCCGGATCAGTATTGTATTCTCGATGTATTGACCATGAACTCTACCACTGTAGATATGGGGCAGATATATCATGGCTTAAGTTTAAAAAGCAAGAGCTATGTTTTGAGAAGAGAAATCAAGCAATGAGATGTGATGATATATCTCACAACACCAGCGTGAGCCATCCATCCTTCCCGTTTCACCCCCCCCACGGGTGACCGACCAGGCACGGAGTCGATCGCAGGCACCGCCGTGATCATCCGTCCGTATCCATCGGGCTAGTGTCGAATGCGGGCAAAAGCGTCAGCCAAGTGGACCTGACTAAACAGTGCCTTAAAGTACTCGTCCGCCTGTTGCTTCTTTTAGCAGCGGGACACGTCAGGTGATACCACGTGACGCGGGTGCTGTCGTCACCAGATGGATGCACTTTGATTAGCATCGACCAACAACGACGAGCTTTGGGAAATGAGATGATCCATAAAACTGTCCTCGTTTCCATTATCGACTCTCTGTCTGTCCGGTCCCTTTTTTCGCGTCCTGTCTAACTTCCAAAACCTTCTTTGCATGCTTCTGCAACCCCCCTGGATCTTTGGGTCAAAAAGTCCCTCTTTTAGTTGACTTACGATGATTATTATTGATTGACTGATCCGATCGATCAAGACCCTGGATTTCCCCGTACTAGTTACTCCTCCTACCTCCTTCGTCCACTGCCGCATGTCGAACGCCCCTCCAGAATCGCCATGATTTCCGCATCACCTGTTCCCGTGGGGTCCAGCGTCTTTTTTACTTTGGCCCTCCTTACGATCTCCGTGCTAGTTCTGTTACTTCTGCGGCGCTTTCTCACTCTCCGCGCGACTCCGGCCTACCTTTCAATCCCCGTCTTCCTTGCACTCGCGCTTCCGGCCAGTGTAGTTCTTCTGGTCCCCATTGACCTAGCATCAAGCTCACGCGATGGCGGAGGCCCCACGGCTATTTGGCTACCCGACCGCCTAATTCTCGTCTCCTGGCGCATTGCTTACTGGCTAATCTTTGTGCTGACATGGTAGGTGATGTGCAGCACGATGTATCCGGTCGCGACCGTCTCAATTTAGATCAACACTGACTCTTTACTTCGTCTCAGGGCCATCCTTCCTTTACTCGGAGAATACATTGATTCGGGTTACCGTGAGCCGAAGGGTCGCATTCAATACTCCATTCGTTCCAATGCGCGGTATCAACTGATCGTGCTGTGCTGTGCAACGGTCGGATTAATCTACATTTCGATCCAGAATGGCTTTGAATTCACCTCGATTAAGACGCTAGTGATGGCTCTTGCATATGTTTGGGGTCTGGTTCTGGCCATCTATCTGATGGGTCACGGACTTGTTTCCATTCCCCGCACGCTCTTCCGTAACTCCAACGTCAGTGGTCGTCTGCGGAGGATCCAAGCACATGCTCCGAAGCTGCACGACCGTTTGATGGACGCGATCAATGACCTGGAAAGCCTGGAATCGCAAGTCGCCCAACTGCAGCGTCGCAAAACGGGCACCGCTCGCGATTTTCAAGAGTGGATTGATGAATTGGCAGAGACGTCGAACCCGCCCGAGCTGCGTTCGGGGCTCTTGGAACAGGCGGATGGGCCCGGCACTATCCCTGCCGTCATTACTGAACGTTACCTTGCGGACTTGACCCGTCGTCTTCAGCGCGCTCGGCATCAAAAGGCTCGCTTCGTCGACGAGTGGGATCGCTTGGTCTTATCCGCAGCAGACATGCAGGCAATTATCAATTCGTCGGCTTCTAAGAAGCTCGAGTTTATTCACTCCCCCCATCGATCATCTTGGCTCCCGAGCCTTAACTTTCTGAGTCCATACATGCGATACCATCTCTATGTGCATGTTATTCCAAACGTGCGACTTGGACTAGGCGCGGTTTTCTCGGCGGCCTCCGTGTGCGTTGTCTGGTCGGAGTTGGTCAAGTCCTTGGCGCCTCGGCTATCCGTCGTGACGCTTTCTGTGGTTTCCTACCACAAGGAACCGGCGCCGGTCGACTTTGGGCGCCAATTGATTGCCTCTGCTTGGCTGCTGTACATGTGCTCGGCAGCATTGGTGGGTGTCAACGACGCCAAAGTGTGGGGCAACCGTGCTTTGGTCCGCCGAAACACGTACGGGGAGAGTGCCTGTTGGTATGCGGGGCTAGTGGCCAGACTGACCGTTCCCATCGCATACAACTTCTTGACCTTTTTGCCTGCGACCGTCCGGCAAAGCACCACTTTCTACAAGTTCTTGGGCCGGTTCATTGACCTTACCCCGCTCGGAAAGGGCTTTGATTACTTTTTCCCGGTCTTCATTCTGGTTCCTATCGGTGCCACCCTTTTCAACCTCTACGGTCGCGTCCAGAATATCTGCAGCTGGGGTCTTCTGGAAGAGGATGATGATGACCTGGAGAATAACCCCGGTGGCTACGGGCTAGGCGGATGGCGAGAGGGACGTGATCTTATCGACCGGGAGCTCAACGGCCTCGGTTCTTTGGGACTCTCCCCTCGTGGCGGTCGGTCACCTCGCCCGTCCAGTCGCATTGACGATGACACGCCAGCCTTCTCCTCCTCCCGCACCGCACTCCTAGAGAATTCTCGAACCCCTCGAGCCTCCAGGGGAACACCAGCCACCACTCCTTTAATGGAGGATGAGGATGAAGATAACTTTTTCCAGTCCTTTGCTCACCGAGTAAGAAACACTTTCGAGACCGCCAGCAAGCCCCAGTGGCTGCAGGGCGACTCCTTCCGTCTCCCCAGATGGATGGGCAGCGAAAGCAATGAGGGCGATAGCGGACTGGCGAGGTGGTTTGGTGGTCGACCAGCACCTGGCGGAGTCCGACTGTAAGAACACTGACCGGTCGGTGATGTAACCTGACTTGCTGCATGGCGAAGGCGTTGCTGGTAGACACTCTTACATGGTAATGTTTATAGATGTACATAGTATATATAGCTCTGAATGACAGCTTTGCGCTTATCCTGTATACTCTGTAGACTATCCCAGCCGCTATACATCTAGCCATGGGAAATACAGTGTCTGCCATATTATGTACCCAATGAGTGGATACTAGTATTACCCAACAAACACCATAAGTACCATGGATACCATTGACATTAGCATCTACTCTTGCCTGCAACTATTGGAGTCAAATACCATCTCATCTCATCTAGTATCTCTCCCGGTCACAGCGGCTGCGGGGAAACCCAGATAACCTGCTACCCACTCAGCTACTTAGTGCCATGTCGATCACACTGCAGGCGTCAAGTAAGCAAGCTAGTCTACCATGTCCAGCATGATACAGCAGCTAAGTAGGTACCTGACACCCTGCTGGTAATCTCATATGCATATGCATATCGACTTGACTAGACAAGGGGGCTCACGCAGGATGGATGGATAAGCCTGTTAGGCATTCTAGGGAAATGGTAAGAGGAAGAGCACTACTTCTATCACTGCATTTGGTTTATTGGTATCCTCTCAAAGAAACATAACACTGTTCCCGTTGACAAGTAACCCCAGGTGAGGAACTCAACACACCACATACATACGAGAGGAACAAGTTCTCTAAACCCACTATGTGAAACAAAGTCTATCCGGTCGCTATTCTCAAGCCAGAGTGTTATGTAACTACTGTATTCTGCTGGTATTATACTGAATAAGTTCTGACTACTTCTGACGAGCGGGGTCGACGCCCTGTCCTCGTATTTGTAGCCGTAGTCTGACATGGCCAGACTTGATCTGGAACGTGTCGATCGGCCAGTACACAGTAGGTAGTTAACTTTCATTGTGACCTCTAGAAGTGTTTGCCACTCAGCAGCTGAGAGTTCGCTGCCTATAAGGCTCCAGGGGAAAATAATAAAGATAAGCAAGTGTGATAGTTGGAACCTGACCATACTGGGGAAGGAATCCGCTCTCAGATTAGGCGGTGGATTTGTGCGATAAAATAATAATCAAACCCAATCTGACGTGCGCAGTGCATTACCACGTGTGATCGATCAAATGGGCTGGTAGCCTATGAACAGGGGATAATGTATGGTCTTGTGTGCAGGTTGATTGTGTTTGGTCTGTTAGGTGGGAATTTAGTACTCTGATGTGGGAGATTTCTACAGTGATGCTTTAGTAGGATAGTATATAAGTATGTCTGGGCGGGGAAAATATAAATTGAGTCACTGGCTTGGCAGATTACGCTTTTCCCCTGTAAGCCTTGAAGACCACATGGTGTGCTCGTGTTGTTATTTATCGCGTGAGGAGGTAGAGAAAAAAGCAAAGAGAAAGGCACAGCGGCCTTGTCAGGAGATCATAGTAGTAACTACTGGACAGTAAATAGGGACTGTCTGCCTTGAGCACAAGTAGTATTACTAACACCAAGTAAGTTGACTGCGCAACTCCGATGCGGGCAGCTGCTCCACCGCAGGATTTGCGGCTGCGGCAAAAAATAACGCCCTCTCCGCCTTATCTGCCTGGTCCGGAGCTAAAGTTGGCCATCTTCCATGACCTCAAACACGCCCTTCCCCTGTCGTCATCCCCCTTCATTGCCTCGTGCCCTGGCCGTCAATCCATGAGCCAGCTGCTCTCGCACATTTCTCTGTCCTCGCTGGGCGAGACGTGTGCATCCTACTTAGACCACGTCACCACCAACCTTCCTCCGTCCTTGCACTCTCTCCACCATCAGCTCCTCGCCACGCTCTCATCAGCCAAAGACTCGACTCCCCTGCGCCTGCTTACGCCTTTGCCCGATCTACTAGCGGACCACACAGACGGCGCATACACCACCCCCGTCGCTTATACCCTCCTCGTTTGTACAATTGTCGTTCTCGTCATGTCCTGGCGCTCTCCGTTCGCCAACTTCTGGCGCCGCGGTTACACCAACGTCGATAACACTCCCCAAGTCACCGACAACGACTACAGCTACATCACACAAGATGATATTGTCGACCCACCCGCAAACACGTATCGCAATCAATACGCAGGGGCAGAAGATACCGAGCCCGACACTCTTATTCTGAAACACCGCAAGGAAAAGTACGATCTGCACTTCCCGGCTTACGCTATCAACGACGGCGCCCTCAGCGTGGGTCAACTGAGACAGCGGGCAGCGGAGGCGACGCGCACCCCTGATCCGAAGCGGATCAAACTCCTCTACAAGGGGAAGTTGTTGGACAACGACTCGCTGCCGTGTCGGTCGGAGGGTCTCAAACAACAGTCGGAAGTGCTGTGTGTGGTCTCCGGAGTGGAGCCGGGGGAGAGCTCACCCAGTGAGTTGTCCGAGGCGGAGGCTGACAGGAACGCGGATTCCGCCCGTCAGGAGGGATCTGGTCGCAAGAAGTCGGGCAAGAACAAGAAGCGCAATGGCAAGAATAAGAAGAAGGGTGGAAAGCAGGCCGACGGCTCAAATACCCTCCCACCTCCTCCCGCCGCCGCCGCTGAACCTCCACGCCCGTCCAACGGAACCGGCATGCCGCCCCCGGCGCCCAATTTGAAGCTGTTCAGCAACCCGCTCGACCAAGTGAACGCACTGTCGTCGTATCTGCAGCGGGAGCTCGTCCCTCTCTGCGAGGAATACATCACGAACACACCGGCGGATGCCAAGTCACGCGAGTTCGAGTATAAAAAGCTGACCGAGACGATCCTGGCGCAGGTTCTTTTGAATGCGGACAACATCAACCCCGATGGTGTGCAGGAAATCCGCGATGCGCGTCGGGCACTTGTCAAGTCAGCTCAGAACGCGCTCAATAGCCTGGACCAGGTGAGCAGGTCTTGAGAGCTCGCGGCTGGTAATTATGCAACTTTTGCTCTATTCAATTTTATTCTTTTTTTTTTCTGTACATGAGATGGGAATATTCCAGGGAAAGATGATCATAATAATACAACGCAATAGAGAACAATAACCTTCTGCTGTTTTATTTCATTTGCTTTGCTTGGGTCTGTCGGTGCCATCCAGGGGTACTTATCTAGAACAGATAGATCCCCTCGTGCATCGAGACCGACCACGACTGAGTTGATGCTGCACATACATACAAATGATGCGGATTTACCTATGATTTGCATGGGACGGCGTCCGGATGATAAATGAATGGGCTGGTGGTTGGGGTGGTTCCTTGCAGGATATTGATTGTGATAGTCCGTACAATATCACTACCTTTCTACCACTTGCTTACACACATTTTACACATACATCAGTAGTTACTGTACATGTGGACCACGTGTTCAAGAAAGTAGCGTTCGGATGCGGTGAACTAGATCATGAGCGCAAGATACTCTCCGAGCCAACCACAGTCTCATCAATCCAGGATATCCTGGTTGAGTTACACCCTCAAAGTTCAGGATGACCTTGGTCAATCCAAACCTTGACGTGATGTTGAGCCTGTCAGCACCCGTGGCGTAGATCAGGCTGTTGCCACGGAGCAAAGCCAACTGGTGATTAGAAAGTTGCTGGTTGGTAATGGGCGATACTGGTACTGTCTGGTCAGACAAAGGCAAGGAGGTTATTACAGGTAAGTTGTGAATCTACCTGACTTTTGGACGGTGAGGCTAACAGAACCGAGCTGGGACTAACACTGCTATTTATGTGTATTTTTCTTATAAGGGATTGAGTTGTGATTTCTGCTGTGCAAGACGCATATATTCGGTATAAAGGCATGGTTTCTTCTTTTTATCCCGCGGGACTGTAAATGGCAGGGATTGGGCAGATCATACTAACGGTGTTTACTTGAATACAGTAGTCTAGTAGTGAAAAACGTAGCTGGCGATGGGAGATCTACTTACTACGGAGTTAGTACTTACCAGGCGGATCCTGAACTAGTGGCCTCGCTTAAAAATGCAAGATGGGAGAGATGTATCACACTCGGATCGAGAAAACTGGAAGATGTGACTTAATTAAGTACGAGAGTTGGGGTCCCCCTCCCCCTTTAGCCTCGGTTGGCGTTCTCGATGTCATATCGACCCGTCATTGGGGAAATTGCATATTGTATCTATCTAACTACTACTACTTGGTGCTTAAGGCAGACAGGCAAACAATAGGCTGTCCTTCTTTTCAATCTTAAGAATTGCCTTGTAGATATTATTTACTCATGAAGTAAGATGGAAGCAATGTGAGGGCTCAGCTGCAGGGCCTTAACAAAAAAAAAGTCCAGAATTAGATAGACTGCACATGGACGTTGACGGGGAAGGGAAGAGACAGTTTTGGTGCCAGTCAGTTGGGAAACGATGGGATCGACAGCGAGATGCACTCCTTTTGTGTGTTAGTTTAACACAGTTTAAGCTAGAGGCATTGCTGGGATTTGTTCTTTTCTTTTTCTAGTCGGCGATGGTCGGAGTGATTGGCCAGACCAGTTCTAGGCTTGTCTGATAGTCGCCGGGAAGCTAATCCTGAAGGAGATTGGGGACTTTTTCCCCCCGTGTCTCTCTCTTCTCTCTCTGTCTGGCTGTCTGTCTCTCGGTCTTGGTCTCGACATTATTCTCTTTCTCTCTCTCTCCCGTTTCTCCTCTCCTCTCCTCTCCCCTCCCATCTTCTAGTCCTTCTTCTTCCCTTCCATTCGGCTTCTTCTGGGTTTGGTCCCTTGGACAGTGCACTTCCTCTATTCTTTTCTTCCTCTTCTTACCTACTTATTATCTATCTCTATTGAGCATCTCTTTAATCAGCTTCCCCAGGTGTCAACGAATCGATCCTGACGCCACGGGTCCAGCCACATCTTCTTGCAACCACTCCTTTTCCTTTGGGCTTTCTTCCCCTCCTCTTCCTCCTCCGCCTCCTCTCTTTCTTCTCCTCCTCCTCCTCCTAGTCGCTTGACCCTCGACTCTTCTCTACCCCTCATCGAAACTCATCATCCTCTCTCCTATCCATTTATCTTCTCCCCCCCTTAATTATTCCATTTTCTTCCAATCCCCCGAACGGTTCTGATTCTCGGATCCCGACATTGCTAGCCGTCTGCCATCCGCCGTCGGCCTATAATAGTGCCCAGCCCGGAGTTACGTCCACGGTTCCCATCCCGCCGGTCCCTGACTTCCTCTTCCACCCCCGGGGATTACATATTGCGCTGCAATTTTAAGGCTCCGGATTCTCCACTTCCCTGGCTGTTTACGATTTCCTCCTTTCGGAGCATCTCTCGTGTTCCGCTTCCACCACCCCCCCTTTCCCACCGACTCGTGCCCTCTCAACCGTACTACATCTCCCAACCACCTACCCCTCACATCGTACATACAGTTGTTGGAGTCTCGGCTTAGGGGGTATTCGAGACAAACAGTTCGGCACAATTGGTGATTCTGGTCTGTGCGCTACTGGGATGGCCTGATCGGGGAACAAGACGGGAAGGGCAAAAAAATTATTCACCTAGTGACCAGACTCTCTTTAATTATCCTGCAAGCACGTTCGCCGCACCACGGGTTCCAGCTGGCCTGGCCTTGACCGAATCTTAATAATAGCTGTTGGAATGGCGGGGACAGCTACCGCGACTTACACGACAGATGTTTGGACGTCACCCAGCGTAGATGGGGGTCAGTGGGAGTATGCTGTCCCGATTCGACAGGATGTAAGTGTGTTACAATCCCGACATACCTTTCTGCGGTGCTCTGGTGCAATTGCGCCGATCGTTCTGGCATCTGCGGGCTAAAGCCGGACTGGCATGCTAACCTGCGATTCGGTAGAGTACTAAGCATCGCTCAAAATCACGGTCCTCCCACGATTCACACGCCAGATCCAGGGAGCGTACTTCCAAGGGCTCTCGCAGCTCCTCACTGTCGCGACACGCCTATGCTCACGAGCACTTGACCTCCCGGGGCCGCCCACAAGCTAGCCACAGCCGACGCGGAAGTGAGGCAGGCAGCTCACGCTCAATCTACGGACACGATGTAGCCAGTCGCAGCGCCGGCAATGTGAAGGACTCGACGGATAGTCTTTATCGAAAGGGGTCGGTGAGACAAGACGAGCGGAACGAGGGAATGGGGCTGTATATGGACGAGCTGGACCAGGACAATTGGATCCATCGCGACAAGCTGGCCAAAATTGAGAGTGAGGAGCTGCAGCAAGCCGCTATTCTACTACAACGTCGGGCGGGTGAGGGCAACAAATCGCGCACAAAGAACTATGACTTGTATGGAACGCCTGCCACCTCTCCGCCGACCGAGCAACTGGAGCCATGGCCGAGTTTGCACGGCGATTCCCAGCTCCGAGAACATAGCGGCTCTCCGACCTTCCCAGAAGAGGGTGAAGAGCGCGACAGATGGGATCCTCGTCGACCGGAAGAGAGCACGGCTAATGGAGCGGCTGGCTTCTATCGTAACCCCGGACTGCGCAAGAGCTCGTCGCGGATACCCATTCCCTCGGGTATTCCTGTACCGATCTCTCCCAATCCCGAGAACGGCGGACGGGAATTCTCCAAACAGCGCAGCCGCGCAAATACTAACGGGGATGACGATGCTTTGTCCTTCGGTATGCCCCGTCGGGCCAGTGAGCCAATGTCGGTGGACTCTGCCCAGAACATCACTCCGGCCGGGAGCCGGCCTGGCAGTCGTGGGAACACCCTGCAAAATGCGGCGGGTAGAAAGACCACCAAGGGCGGTGCTACCAATCGCAAGACGTCGGCTCCTCCGTCAACTACACGAAAGGCAACCCCGAGAAGCCGGGCACCGTCGAGCACGTTGCGGGCCACTAAAGCCGCAGAAAATCGTCCCATTAACCGGCCGGAAGGCGACCCTCCATGGCTGGCGACGATGTACAAGCCCGATCCACGTCTTCCGCCTGACCAGCAGATTCTTCCCACGCATGCCCGACGCATGCAGCAGGAGCAGTGGGAGAAGGAAGGCAAGACGCCTACCACGTATGATCGGGAGTTTGCTCCGCTAGCCATTGGGCCAGACGGGCCGAAGCCCACAGAGAAGCCGGCACCGAAGGAAGTGGAGCCGGAGCCGATCGAACAGAACGAAAAGGAGGAGAAGAAAGAAGTGCAAGAGCCACAGAAGACCCCGAATTTGGAGACACCGTCCAAGGAGTCGGGACGGCCGAACTCAGGCACCGGCTACAGCACGATGCCGCGGGTACAGGAACCACCACAGGCGGCACTGCAGCCGAAATGGAGCCCGCCAGTGGTGACCGCGCAGGAACCGCCGCCGAAGGAGAAGGGCTGCGGATGCTGCATCGTGATGTAGGGGGAGGACGCATTCGTTTTGAGTGGCATATGTCCGTCATTTAAGATACCTATTTCCTGCATTGTGGATTTGTTTTTTCAGCGAGCTGGGTGGTGTTTGATCTGACTAGGATTTTAATTGCTATCCACCTTCTTACTTCTTGTCATTCCTTGGAGAGATTTTTATTCTCATTTGATTCCCTATTGCTGTTGATTCCTGCATTGAGCGGTCATTACGACATCACGCGTCTTTCCTTGAACAAGCATTGTTTTCTTTGTGCATATCGTTATAGACAAATAGTTCACCACAATGACTTTATATATCCCACTACAATCAGTATACAGCAACCCACTCAATACTTTACACCAATTCTAGAACCTCCTCATAACCTATCATTAATAAGCCACCACCAAGCACCCCCTCATTACATAATCACCCTAGCGCACCTTGCGTAATCCGACCATCCGCTCTCCTCATTCATCATTCATTCATTAATTTAATCCCATCCTATCTGATCGATTCCATCATCCCGCGAAACCTTGATCCATTCCACCAAATCTTATAAATAACCCCACTTTCCCCCCTCTCTCCCCTCTTTCTTCCTTTCTTTTTAGAATAGACTACCTGTCAATACCGCCACCATTTCCTCCATCTTCACTCGTCTCTTCGGCTCTTTTGCCGCTCCTTCTCCCACCATGTCCGCCGCCGCTAAGACTAAGGCCCAGACCTTGATCAACGAGAATGGCGTTGGTAAGATACCTCCCTTCTTCTTCTTCTATTTTACATAATCAATTGGAGATGAAGTATATGAAAAGAACTCATGCTAATATGAAATTGATGATGGTTGTTGTAGTCGTCTTCTCCAAGTCCTACTGCCCCTACTGCACCGCAAGCAAGAACTTGCTGAATGAGCTCGGCGCGAAGTACACTACTCTCGAGTTGGACCAGCTGCGTAAGAAACACTTCCCTCACCTTACCCTACACCTTCTATCCATTATTCTTCTTGAGATTTGTTTTTGATTTGGGGAATCGTGCTGATATGGGGTCATGTAGCCGACGGAGCCGACCTCCAGGACGCTCTCCAGGAAATCTCCAACCAGCGCACCGTCCCCAACATCTTCATTAGCCAGAAGCACATTGGTGGAAACTCGGACTTGCAGAGCAAGAAGAATGGAGAGTTGAAGGGGCTGTTGGAGGCTGCTGGGGCTTTGTAGATCCTTTGTCTATGAGTTTTCTGCGAAGATAAGAATATGTGATTGGGGAAGTAATGATAGATCGATTGGTTGATGATGATGATGATGCTATTCAGCTGGTTGAAATCAGATCATATATAATACATACACTACACTACATAAATCCTTGAACCACCAAAGGAAAAGAGGGGATTATACAGTCCCAACTGGCCTCTCCACCACCCCCATAATCCCATCCACGACACTCTGTCTGGCCCCCTCACTGGAGACAGTCTTCCCCGCCAAATAATTCATCCACACCAACCGACTGATCCTCTCATCCTTCACCCGTCCCAGATACCGGTCCGGCACTCCATCCTTCCCACTACCACCACCTTGTACCAACACATCCAACTGTCCCTTCGCCCCTCTCGCCAATACCAACACCTGTCCCTTGGGCACACTCTTCCTCTGCCCACCTCCAAACAGGCCCTTAAACTCCCCCATCGCCTGTCCAAACTCCTCCCCTTCAAACTCTCCCCCACTCTCCTTATTATACTTCTGCGCCCTACCCGTAATCCCCCTCACCCACCCATCCCTCAGATGCAAGAAATCCGTATTCCTCGTCGGCACGACCCGGAACGCCGTCCTCAACCCATCCTTCCTCAGCAACATATCCCACGCCTGCTCCCCCTTCTCCGCATCCAACAACAACTCCCTCAACTTATCCCTCTCCATCGACACCAACGACGTCGCCGCCGTAGCTCCCACCTCATTATCAATCACCGACTCCGTCCCCTTTCCAGGCGGATGCACCGCCGTGCGCACAAGTCGCGATTGCAGCTCCGCCAAATCCTCCTTCGCAACATACAACCCCACCACATACACCTGGAAATTGAGGAATGAGACAGTGCGAATCCCCAACCCTAGAAGATGATATTCCTCCCCTTCTCCTTCCCCAGTACCAGTACCACTCTGCGTCGGCAAATCCGTCGCAGACGCAGGAGGATTCTCACTCTCCAACCACTTCGGCAGATGAATCACCGCCGGGAAATGTGGGATCGTGCTCGTTCCTGTCTCCACTTGGTCGGTTGTGCCGTCGGCGGCTTTGATGTGCGTTAGGGTGGGTTTCGTCGGGAAGCCTGTGCTTGGGCCGTCGAGTTTGGTCGCACTGCTGTTGCTGCTGGTGGCGTTTTCGATGTCAATGCCCTCGGTGGTACTGGTGGGGGTTGCTTGTTCCAGCCCGAACACGTCCGCTTTGATCACCCCGTACATCCCGATTGCGCATACGATCATCCCCGTCGCGGAGATGTACATCGAGCGTTTGCTCCGCGCGAGGTCCTGCTCGCGGCTGCGGATGGGCCGGGCGTTGCGGAGGGGGTTGCTGCTGGCGGTAGTGGTGCTGCTGGCAGTGGTGCTGGAGCGGAGGGTGCGGGTTGTGCTGTAGAGGCGGGTTTTGGGGGGGTTGGTGGATGCGTGGAGATGTTGGGCGCAGGTGCGCCATTGAGCGCGGGCGGCGCGGAGGGAAGGGGGTATCGGTGGCATTTTGTGTGTCGTGTTGGGTTGGGTTGGGTTGGATTGAAGATGGATGTAAAGTCTAGTCTGGAGTAGTATGGGGATGCGGTGGAAGTGAGCGGATCGGATGATTAGGAGCACGTGATTAGAACTGCCCTGATTGGACGGTTGATCTAGTACAGGATTTGGGGGTGAAATGGGAGGCGAAGTCATGCTATTTTGCTACTTTGTTCTCTTGGTAGTGATAGTCACGTCTGATCTGCTACTGCACCTCCACCTTGTACGTTCCTCCTCCGCTGACCGTCACGGTCGCCGTCGAGTTGGCATACTGCACTCCCCGGCTGATCTCCGTCCCGTCGATCTTGATAGATGGCTTCGCGGCACTGACGAACGGCAGCGTGAGGTTCCCCTGTGTCCCGTGCGGAACTGTAAAGTCGAGCGTGTACCCCTTGTCTGTCTTTGACCATCCAGCCTGAAACTTTCCAAGCGACGTCGTGAATCCACCTTCGGCGGACTGCAGATCGACAAACTGCGGGGCAATGCGCCAGGTCGCCCCCAGTGGAGATGTGACACTGATCCCCACGATGTAGTTCGTCAGCGCCGACGTCGGTCCTGAAGACCAACCGTGCGAGTGTGACACATATGCCGTGTCATAGTAGTACCCGCGGTCAGAGCGGTAGCCGAACGTGCCGTTCTGTAGATAGCCTTCGATGACTGTGCTCTGTGTGCCGTTCGCATTGTTGTAGTACCATCCCCAGCTGCGGCGGATTAGCTCCAGTGCTCGTTGTGGCTGCCCCACGGTCAGATGGCCCTGGATCTCGAACGATGAGATGAACGGCGAGATGTTCTCTGGCAGTTCGGGTGCCACGGCTCCAATTGGGGTCCAGTTGTCCGTTAGTCTTTCAGAAATGCTGGCGGCCCGGTCCGCATCCACGACCCCGAAGAGCAGGGCCATGCTGTTCGCGTCTTGAGGGTGCAGGGTGGTGTCGGTGGCGTTGTCTTTGAATGCGCCGTACGAGTCATCCCAGCAGTATTCGTTAATGGCTTGACGCAGCTTCTCCGCCCGGCTGGTCCAGGTGCTGGACAGGTCGCCTGAATCTCCAGCCCAGGTGGCGAGCTCCGCGCCTGTGTTGAGGGTGTGATACAAACTGAGATCATTAGATGGGGATAAATGCAAGGGTAGGAATGACCTACATCATCTGCGCCTCGGAGTTGTTGTATCCTTGCTGCCATCTGGCCCAGTCGCGAGTACCCGTGACATTCAGCAAGCCGCTGGGATAAGTCACCTTACCGTAGATGTAGTCCATGGCCTTCTGATATCCCTCCCAGTTTCGCTCGAGGAAGTCGCTGTCATTGGTAAAAAGCATGTAGTTGTAGGTCCCCACCATTGTCCACATGTGGTATGTATCCGAGTCTTTCTGGCTCAGCGGTGGGCCAGACTCGTCGAATGCACCTGTCGAGTTGTTCTGCATAGCGTTAGTATCCGAGCAATAGTACTGTCGTTTTGAAGTGATCTTACCTGCGTGTCATACATAACCTGCAGCGCATTCTTGACACTGTCCAAGTCGCCCAAACTCACAAACGCGGAAGGGACAGCAATCCCCATGTCACCCGGCCACACTGCACGGTCACGCTTCGCTCCGTCGACAATGATCGTATCGCCAGGTCCAAGGGTGCAATTATTCGCCCAGCCTACGGCCATCGCTGGGATCTGCCGTCCCGTGTCGGTCGGCACCTCGTTCGTCTGCAGAGTGTAGGCACCAGTGTACCAGATCTTGTTGAGCAAATCGTCATTGGAATGGAAGTACCCCTGGTAGGCCTTCAAATTGGACCAGGTAGGCTGAAAGCCGATCTCCAAGTTCACATCCTCGATTTGGATGGTGGAGTTGTCGCTGGTGATCAAGAAAAGAGTCAGATAACGAAATCCACCACGCAAGCTCTTATCCGGCATCACATAGTAGTGACTTCCGGCCTCGGTGAAGTTGCCGTAGAGCGCACCATCAGGGCCTTTGAAGCCTCCATTCGACGAATCCGACCACTCGCCAATCCAGTTCTTCGCTTCGGTAAATGCCACTCCTAGTGCACCACTGCCTGTGGAGCTGAAATTTACGGAGACAATGCCGCCAACTTCTTTTCCGAAGTCATAGACCACCAATGAACCGTTTCCATGAAGCGCAAATGGGGAATACTCTTCCGTCTTATCCGGCTGCGTAATGAGAAAAAGCTTCTCAGGGTTAACGGTTCTCGAGGACGGCGCGAAAATGTTTTTCTCCCATGGCCCGGAGAAAGCGCTTTCGGTCGGACCAGAACAAGTGGTGTTGCGCCAACAGCTTTGAGCAACTGAGAGAGGGAGCAGAGCGAGCACGCCCGGCAAGAGCTTGTGCCAGCGCATGGTTGCTGTTTTGTCTGTTCCGCAGACTGCAGCACCCATTACCACACAGAGCAATATCCATCTCCATCCGACACACAGGCCCATATAAACATCTCAGCTCGAGATAATGTTCCCCCGGGTTTTTGCCCAGAAAGCGAAGAGGGGTCGCTAGCTTCGAGGAGTTAATATCGCTGGCCGGCTCGTGCGGGACGGATCGATTGGCTTGAGGGACACTCTGGGGTAAATTAGTCAGGTCAGTCTCGGCTGAATGGCAGGATGAATCAATCAAATATAAGCGAACAAGCAAGCTTTCTCACACGTTCAGGGGTGCGGTGTTGGTTGGCTGCGCAGCAGTAGGCTAGTAGGTATGCCGGCGTCATTGGTGGAATTTCCTACAGAGAGCCCGTCGATCGTGCATGAAGGCGTCACTCAAACGCCAGTGCATGGAGTCCTCCCCGGGTTTTCTCCGCACAGGGAAACTGGCGATATTACTTGGATTTGTAGTTCGGTAGAAGTAGCACCGAAGTCTGGTCTGACCGTCTATCACCTCTAGTGGAAGCCCCGGTCAGCGTTCATTAAAGGAACTCAATGCTCCCAGGCACTTACTTCGCGCATCACCCGCATTCACAATGCAACTAAGAGCTTCGGTTTTGCTCTCTTTCCTGGGGCTGGCCTCCGTTGGCCATGCAGGTAATGTGGAAAACAACCACAATGTCTGCACCGTCCGAGCAAACGGGGGACACCAAGATGACGTCCCCAATATTATGGCGGCGTTCAAAGAGTGTGGCAATGGAGGTACCATTATTTTCCCCGAAGACCAATCGTACTGGATTGCGACGAGACTGCATCCCACATTGAAGGACGTCGCAATCGAATGGCGGGGGAAGTGGACAGTAAGACTCCCTCACTATCCATCTCGTGACTTGTGAAACGCTGATTCGGTCCAGTTTTCCGACAACCTCACCTACTGGCGTAACAACTCCTACCCCATTGCGTTCCAGAACCATCATGCCGGCTTCATTATTAGCGGCGACAACATCACCATCAATGGCTATGGCACCGGCGGCATTGATGGCAATGGCAATACTTGGTACACAGCCGAGAAGGGCGACACGCAGCCGGGGCGTCCGATGCCATTTGTCTTTTGGAACGTGTCTGAGGTTATTGTTGACAGTTTCTACGTCAAGGATCCGCCCCTCTGGAGTGTCAACATCATGAACGGGACTAACATGCGTTTCAACAATATCTACTGCAACGCCACGGCTGTAGATGCCCCCTGGGGCGATAACTGGGTGCAGAATACGGATGGTTTCGGTATGATTCTTTTTGTCCGCGCTCTAGTGGAATGGGTTAGGTTCTGACTAGCACTCGTATCCAGATACCATGGACGCTACCAACATCCAGCTCACCAACTTCGTCTACCAAGGCGGAGATGACTGCATCGCTATCAAGCCCCGCTCCTACAACATCGACATCCAGAATGTTACCTGCCGTGGAGGCAACGGCATTGCCATTGGCAGCTTGGGTCAATATTTGGAAGATAGCAGTGTTGCTAACATTCGCGTGGACAAGGTCAATGTACGTGATTGTTTCCCGGCCACCATCGCCATTAGTATTAACCGTAATCCAGATCATCCGCTACAACGAAGACATGCACAACAGCGCCTACCTCAAGACCTGGGTCGGAGCTCTCGTCCCCCAAAGTTCCTACGAAAGCGCCGGCGTACCTCGTGGCGATGGCTGGGGCAGCATCCGTAACGTCCTATTTTCAAACTTCAATGTACAAGGCGCAAGCGCTGGCCCTTCCATCAGTCAGGACAGTGGAGACAACGGTTCCTATGCGGGTACAAGCAAGATGTCTATTTCAAATGTTGCGTTTGTCAATTTCACGGGATGGGTGGATACTGAGAAGTCTGTGGTCTCGACGGTCTCCTGCTCAGAGGTACATCCGTGCTACAATATCGACTATGACAATGTGGTGTTGTATCCAGGGAAGAATGCCACAACAGCTGGGACAGGGTCTTGTAAATATACAGCTGATGGAGGAGTGCATGGGTTGAGTGGGTGTTGATTTGTGGATCGCTAAGGAAGCGATTTGGTTGATATGTGTATATATGACTGCAAGTAAGAAGGATCAATGGGTGACAGTAATACTCTAGAAAACCGAGGTAAATCTCAGCAATATTTCAGAACCCTAGCATAGATAGTCACGACGTACTGCGTGAAGAGGGACAAACAAGCAGCTAGCAAAGCAAACCCCCAAAGCTTGATAACATTCGCAAGGCTTGCACTAGCATCTAAGTTCAGACACAACCTAATGCAACTTTCCTCGCTTGGCTGCAATGTCAATCATCGTCGTGACATTTGCCTGGATTGATCAACGGCGGATCCCTGTCAATCATTCCAATCCTTGGGTCACTCACGGCACTTGCCGCAAGGTAACGAACCACAAGGAAGGTGGCTCTGGTAGATTTCGACAGATGAGTTTCACCCATGGAAATTCCCCATCCTTGACGGTGGGTTGTTCCGAAGGAAGTGCTGCCATTGAGATGACTTCCCAACCGTCCTGGTGGACTACACTTTGCCAAGATGGGATGGAGGGGTCATTGTACGACCTTCATTTAGGCATCAGTCTGGCCGTGATGAATAACTCGCAAGATAGGACAGGTGAAGCACATCTGCCTGGTGCGAGTGACAGTTGCGTACGTCACTGGGTAGGACAGGCCTCATTCCCAGCCGATTGAAGGTGATTCAATCGCCGTTCGGGTTTCTGAACATGATGCCTGCACTGTCTCCTTTCACACTCGGCATCTTCCGAGTGACTGGGGACCCAGAACGGCGACCTTTTCGGGTATAAATAGCTGCCCATCTCTCCTCCTTCTTCTTCCACTTCCTCTCCCCTCTCAGTGTGCTATCTCCCGCTTTAGTATGTTCCACAATGCCCTTTCATCATATATTTTGAGAGTTCATCCCTTTTTCTATCATGGTGCTCATCTTTTCTTCTAATATATATACTCCTACTTCTTATATATAGAAATGCATCGGCTACATCGAAGTCGACGCTATGATAACCATCGACCGTCTTCATCAAACCCTATAATGAATCACGGGTGGGGGAACACCTTTATCGACGAGGTCAATGATCTCTGTCAAGAAATCAGCAATCGGAAGAATGATGAGTTTCAATGCCAAGAGAAACACCGTGGCTAAAGCTGCCCGGCTTTGAATCACTCATGACAGTTCCGATGCATGACACCAAAGAGCCGGCATGCATAGCCAAATCATCTACCAGAACAATATAATCTACTTCATGAATATGAAAACCTTTTGTATATACGCAATTCAAGAATTGGGCTTTTCAACGAGGGACTCAGTGGCCGTCGGAGATATCAAAAATCATCTCTTGCAAGTCAATGTAGGTTCATACCAGCCCACAAATTGCTAATGCACTGGACTCTGACCATTGTTTGCACTAGGCATCACTCATGTCAGTACAATGTCTTAAACCAAGACCTTGTCCCAAGGACTTGCCAGTTCATTGCATTGTTCAAGATGCCATGGCGCGATGAACTCAGATGCAGAGCTCGTCAGTTCTTACGTCCGATATCTTAGCTCGCAGAAGCAATATACTACAACGCTTGGAGCACACGCACCGAAATGCCCTAAGCATCTACACAACGCATGTGTATATAAAGATCCTAAGCAGGGCTTCAGATGGTCAGGTGCATGCACATGCACGCATTCGAGCATGCTAGAGTAGCATCGACCCCATTGCGACCCTAAACAGGGTCCCAGTACCAGCAAGGCGCGGACGAGGAAAGCACTTTTCATTGAAAGAAACCGAGCAATGTACAGTGTCGATCTTCATCTCATCCCCAGCAAGGACGAGTCAACGACCGCGGACGAATCTACGACCTCCGATGAGTCGACCGAGGATGGGTTGACCGATGGTGGGTTGATCGCCGATAGTGAAAGTGAAGATGACCATGCCCTTGCCTCAACCAGCGAGGCGAGCCCGGTGGACAACCAAGATGACTGCACTTGGGAGTACAATTTCTCAGAAAATGCTTTCCACCCTCTTAGGAAGCAGGGCACGAGAATGGAGAGCTCAGATGCAAGAGCCAAGCGGCTGGCTGCTGTCGAGAGACAACGGCTCTATCACAAAAAGTGGAGGGCCAGAATGTCAACGGAACAAGTGCAGCGCTTCCACGTAAGAAAACAGGAATACCAGCGGAATAGGCGCAAGAACAACCCTGGGATTGATAAGAGACTAAATGAAGCACGCTCTGAAGAGAATAAAAGGAATGTGCGCGATCGCAGAGCTGCCTAACAGCGGAAGCGAAGAGCTAAAGCAAAGCAATCCTTGCCAGAAAAGAAGCCGGTGTCCGCGGACAATGTTCGAAGAAATGCTCGACGAAAGAGCAGAGAGCAGCGGATCCGGACTTCAGGGAGAAGTCGATGAGATACCAGCGCATCTCAAGGGCAATAAAGAAGCTTGTAGACGCCAGGGTGAGAAAGTCGGATGACGAGATCAAACAGGCAATGCTTTGTTTAGCGATTGCCGAGGTCGAATACCACGAAATGAATGAGCGGCTGGGCATAGTCAGCACATATCCGCCATTTAAGGAGGAAATCGATCTGGTCATGAGGCATCGGGAGGATAAAGTCCAGCAAGAGCTCAGGAAGGAAGAAAGAGGCATTTGTCTACAGCCTCTGCACGTCGGTTCTTGGTACCTGAGGTCATTAGTTTGCTCGTTTCATTCCCACAACCATATATTTCCACGTCCAGTTAGGTTAACTGTTTCTATGAATATCTTGACTCATGACCATACCGAAAGGAGACTTAAGTATTTCTGGTCATGATCGTGTGTACAAGCTCTGATATAAATTGTTGACAGCTATTGTCATATTTCCATTCACCAGGCTTTTATACCAACGTATAGATAATAGTGGGTTTGAGTGGTTCAATGACCGACTATATAGGTTGAGAAATAGGGATATATTGGCTACAAATTTAGTTGCTGTTTGGGTGGCAAGTGTGCTAATTGCAGTCTTCTGACAAGATAGTAGATCTAGTAGATGTACTTGTGGACCTGGTCTATGCTGGGAGTATGAGCTGTGAAGTGTTTTCCACAAGCTGAATATTCAATCATCTCGGAAAAAGTGCTTGTGATACCTGATCCATTATTGTTGCAGTGTGAGGCTGTGAAGGATGTCATCAGGTGTATATTATAACAGTTAATATATGAACACGCGACCTTGTGAAGCTTGAGTTTCATACTTCATGGGGTCTGTCTTACCCTTCAGAAACTAATACTTAGTTGGCCATAAGTTTCATTACATTTTGTCGGGCTATTTACTGTCTGCAGAATATAAAGTAAACTTCAAAATTTACAGAAACCACTGCTAGAGCTATATGTATATAGATATATACTGATTTTACAAAGTTTTTTTCTATTCTAGATAGGCTGTGGTGGTATTATACGCAGATTCAACACGGCCAGGGTGCTCTTGCTGCGTCGCCAACGGCCAGAAGGAGAGAGATCGCTCACCCCTCGCACCCGCTAGCAATTCTATCTAACTATTACATATCTGGAGAGGTCAGGCATGGGTACGCCGTTAGGCATTTGATTTGCAGTTTTGACAGTGATGGTAGCTTACGTAGAGGCTTGATGAATGAAGGCTGGAGATGGAGATAGGGAGGATATGGGTTTAATGGGGAGGGCTGGTTCCCATTGCTTTCAGAGGAGAGGGGTTGTGAACCAGTCTTGTACACTCAATTCCCTCGTCATCATCTGCATCACATTAGGATTATCCGATACGTCCTTTCTTTTCCTGTAATTCAAGATTAAACCCGACAGCCAGCTGTCGATGGTTCCGGAATACTCCGCATCATCCCACAAATGGCTTTGAAGTGGGTAAGCTCAGCGTACTAGGGCTGAATTATACAAAGTGCAAGGGTGGATTCGTCAAGATCCACGAGTAGGATGCTGCATCTGGGGTGGGAAGAACGAGGAGTCGCAGAGAGGAAACCTTAATGCATGGCTTTCAATCACCACCGTTCTGACTCGAAGTAAGACACTACCTCCAAGCCCGAGAACCACGCTCAGCAGTGTATCGCATTACAATTGGAGGATATAGTATGAGAAAACATGAATATGCATCTTTTACGTCCAGTGCTACCTCCGCCTCTGCCTTTGATGGTTGATGACCTTCGAGAGTGTGTGGATGTTGTGGTTAAACGACATGATATTGCTCGAGGGATATGGGGACTGAAATGATTCTATTCGATATCTTAGATTCTTAGTGCGCTTCTTATATTTACTTTTGAGGCCGCTATTCTGTTACACCTTTCATATTAGATGTGGTTAACAATCTCCCATGTCAGTGTCATGCCGTATGCTTTAAATAGCGACTTTAGCTATCGCTTCAATCAACTTAATCCTTACTTCAAATCCTATCTTAGACGACAGCCCTGGATGCTGAATCATAATGTTCACCAGATCGACACTCGCTTCTTGAGACGCGGGCCTCAGGTTCATTCTTCGATGGCTGAAAACTAAAGATTTCTAACCACCCGCTGACGACAATGGTCTTCACCCGATCGCAATGTCACCCAGAGCTGATAGCCAAGGTGGCCGAGAATAGCATTTCCGGATACATCATCCCTATCCTATCTGCGTTGTTTCCTCTAAATTACCCGTATTCTGTCGTAGTCCCTACATCCTTACAAAGGGATATTGTTCTTCCAGAAAGCCGGCAGTGTGACACTACTTAAATAACTAGGCTATCAAAAAGGGGATCCCTACGTAAACAAGCTATCTGGAATATTATCTACTACCTCTCACCATGATAAAATTAGTTTATGGCTACCACCAAAAAGCTATCAGTAGTACTACAGACTTAGTTTATCATAAAGAAGCGCCAATCTAAATCCACCGTAGGCGCCTAGGAGCCACTATGACAGACGAACAGTGACCCAACTGTTAGTGGTTTTGTTAGTTACATTCCTACATCTTCATCCATAAGCATGTCTTGTTTTGCCGGCCAGCTTCAACTCAGGACTGGTCACGGCAACAGTCAAGATCACACAGTATATAAGCAGACTACGTGAGTCAGGTACGGGTAGCGACTACACTTGTCCCTTACCATACCCATCGATGAAGGAAACAAGTAACATAATAATGGCTAGCTCGAGGCTTCGTTCAGATGGATTAATTAATTCATATCGTAGTAAATGGATTCTATTAAGAAACCCGACAATGTTTAAGGTGATGATGAAATGGAGTTGAACTGGTTGCGTTGGGCTACATACTTGGATGGCATGTCGGAGATGGTGATTTAGCGATTTGGATGATGGCCCCAGGGTGTGTACTCGTAGGGTAGTCGTGGCATCATAAGGCTATTACTTTGTAGATGATCTAAAAATCATCGGTAGGTTGGAGCAGAAAGTTCGTAATACACCTACGGAAGACTCAGCATGAGCCCAAGTTGTAGATGGGCATCTCAAACATGTCGTGTTGATTACTGTAACCAACAGCATTGCTAAGTCTGTCAAGTGTGGAGGACGTCGAGAGAGAAGCAGTCTGGTTGGTTGATGGTCCGCTTAGTCAGCCGCCGTTGGACGCTTACTAAGATTTTGATATAGAACTACTTCCGGCTTCATGTCGCCGAAAAAGGAGATCTCTACAAGTTTGCCTACAATGCGAGCCAATTGAACGAAACGAGTCGTAATTCAAGTCCTGTAGGATCAACTACATAAACTCAAAGTCTAATTCCGTAATTCCATTGTTTTGTTTGATCATCAAAGGTTCATCATGCCATTTTCACCCTGCACCAGCTTATTTCTTACCGGCCTTCTGGGCGGCCTTGGTAACCTTACCGGAACCACCCTCCTTCTTCTCAACAGCCTTGATAACACCGACAGCAACAGTCTGGCGCATATCGCGGACAGCGAAACGACCAAGAGGGGGGTAGTCAGTGAAAGCCTCAACACACATGGGCTTGGAGGGAATCATCTTGACGATGGCAGCGTCACCGGACTTGATGAACTTGGGGGAAGATTCAACAGACTTTCCGGTACGGCGGTCAATCTTCTCAAGGAGCTCAGCGAACTTGCAAGCAATGTGAGCAGTGTGGCAGTCCAGGACGGGAGCGTAACCAGCGCCGACCTGACCGGGGTGGTTGAGGACGATGACCTGGGCGGTGAAGCTCTCACAGCCAAGAGGGGGGTCGTTCTTGGAGTCACCGGCAACGTTACCACGGCGAACCTCCTTGACGGAAACGTTCTTGACGTTGAAACCAACGTTGTCACCGGGGACACCCTCCTTGAGCTGCTGGTGGTGCATCTCAACGGACTTGACTTCAGTGGTGACGTTGGCGGGAGCGAAGGTCACGACCATACCAGGGGCAATGATACCGGTCTCGACACGACCGACGGGAACAGTTCCAATACCGGAGATCTTGTAGACATCCTGGAGGGGAAGACGGAGGGGCTTGTTGGAGGGACGGACGGGGGGCTCGATGGCGTCGATGGCCTCGAGGAGGGTCTTACCGGTGACCTTGCCGGCCTTGGTCTCCTTCTCCCAACCCTTGTACCAGGGGCAGTTGGGGGAGGGCTCGAGCATGTTGTCACCGTTGAAACCGGAGATGGGGACGAAAGGAACACCCTTGGGGTTGTAGCCGACCTTCTTGATGAAGTTGGAGGTCTCCTTAACGATTTCGTTGTAACGGTCCTCGGACCACTTGCAGGTGTCCATCTTGTTGAGGGCAACAATGAGCTGACGGACACCGAGGGTGAAAGCAAGCAGAGCGTGCTCACGAGTCTGGCCATCCTTGGAGATACCAGCCTCGAACTCACCAGTACCGGAGGCAATGATGAGGATAGCGCAGTCAGCCTGGGAGGTACCAGTGATCATGTTCTTGATGAAGTCACGGTGACCGGGGGCGTCTATCGTGTACGTTAGTATGTTGATTTGATCGAGAGAACTCTGTAATAGTACTTACCAATGACGGTGACCTCATACTTGCCAGTCTGGAACTTCCAGAGGGCAATGTCGATGGTGATACCACGCTCACGCTCGGACTTGAGCTTGTCAAGAACCCAAGCGTACTTGAAGGAACCCTTACCGAGCTCAGCGGCTTCCTGTAGGATGTTGTTAGCACCATGTCTTGATGTTCTTCTTTCAGATGTATAATCCTCCTTACCTTCTCGAACTTCTCGATGGTACGCTGGTCGATACCACCGCACTTGTAGATCAGGTGACCAGTGGTGGTGGACTTGCCGGAATCGACGTGGCCGATAACGACGATGTTGATGTGAGTCTTGTCCTCCTTACTGTTGTAGAAGATACCCGTTAGCCCATGTCCTTCCTTTGTCAGATGATGATCGTTGTCTTAACTCACCCCATGATGACGGTTGTGAATGAACTCGAAGTTCTTTTTTGGAATTAGATAGAAAAAGTCTGTAGAAAAATTGCTCAGATACTACGGCCAGAACGCGTAGAGGTGCTGAGCAAAGAAGTCAGTTAGAGAGAGGATGAATCAAGAAAGAAGGAGAGAAGAGTGAGAAGGAAGAGAGAGGGGGGGAAGATATACGTACTGAAGCGGACGAGGGAGGAAAGGGAAAGGAAAAATTTGTGGGAGGGGGAGGAGGGGAAATACTTATATGGAGGGGTCAAGCGAGAAGGCGACTAAGCGGGCGGGCTTCAACCCTTGGCTTTGACTTGAAATCATTGGACATGGAGGGGTAATGCCCCCACCGCGCAGGTGCGGGACCAACGCAGAATCTTCACGGCGGAGCCTTTTCCAGACTCAACTGGACACGCTTGCAGCCCAGCAACGCAGCGCGATCAGCCTGTCCTTTCCTCGCCTTTCCTTGGTTCCTCGCCCTCGGAGCGCCGAACTACGACCCCACCTTGACCACTCTTTCATCGAAAATTTTTCATCTCGGTCCCCTCCCTCTGGCCCTCCTGTCTATCTAATTCACCTAGCTCTATCCGTTGGTAAATTGTGGATTATTGGACTGAAATCCTGGGCATCAACGCAGCGGTGGGTTGATGATGGCCTGGCCTGTTGGTCATGTTTGCAACCGAACCCCGCGGCAGGCGGCTGTTGTTATTTGTCCGCTCTCAGGCTGCTGTGGCACGGCCGAGTGGCGCCCGCCCGGTCCACTTTTTGGTGGAAATCCCTGTGAGGTCAACGACCAACGTAGCAAACTAGATAGCAGCACAGCAGCATAGCAATGTTGGTATTTACTCGGGGCTTGTACTCGCTATCATGGGATGATGCTCAATAATATCCCAAATTCTACTAGCGATTCACACTAAAAGATGTGGACACCCGACAATCTCAAACATCATCGCTTTTTGATAGTGGGATGGCTGGTGCGGCAAAACATGTGAGGGAAAATCTTTTTTTCTTGCCCACGTCTTTTTTTGCCATCAACACTGCCCCTCACTCAGTGTCTTGACCTGACAGTACGGTTAGGTATCTAGCCTTTCTCTTTTCTCTCATTTTTGTCTTTTTTCTTTTCCCACCCTTGACCAACCCCTTCCTCTTTGGGACCCCGACAGTGGTTATTAGAGGATAAGAGAAGAGAGGAGAAAAAAAAATGACTCAAGATTTGGTACCGTACCAGAAACAACACACACAAAGGATCCTTCCTACAAAGTACTATACTCCTACTAACTTGGTAGCTTACCTGGATCTGGCCAATCCCAATCGGGCCATTATTTGCCGTTGCCAGGTTACCATGAATAGTTAGTACGTAGAGTATGTTCGCGGCGGCAAATTTTGTAGGAGGGGGGGGATAGGAACCGAAAAAAATTAATCAAAAAATAATTAAGTACTAAAAAAAAAAAAAAAAAAAAATCATAAATTGGATCAACGAGGCGGGAAGAAAATTTCTTCTTTTGCGCTTAATCTGACATACTTTTCTTAGCTCCCTCAATAGGGAGTAGGCGTGTAGTTTAACCACTCTTGTATAGTAGTGCTATGGATTGGTGTCATCATCCATTGAGGGGTATCTCTAGTAATTTAGATGCAAATCATCGCAAATGGGAACAATCACAATCGCAGGGGGCCCAGATCATCGTCCTAATCATACACCGTAGCACCAGCCTTCCTTTTTCGTGTCCCCTTCTACCCTTCGCGTTCATCCTCTACGTTATCCCCCGCCCCTCTATTATTTGAACAACACACATTGTTCTCCAGGGATTTCCAAAACTCTAATAATGGAGTAGCTTCAGTTCTCTCTCCATCGGGCACCACACGTGGTACACTGTCAACCGCAATCAGCAAAGCATGTCAGGCCAGATGCATGAGAACCGCATAAGCCGCTGGTGCGCACCCACCTTTAGGAATGTGGTCATCGGCTCGTCTGCACTCCGAATCTGCAGCTGGAAAAAGTATGCGCGGTCGCCATTACAGTCTTCTGCGGGGCATTGAGCTGCGGGTAGGAGAAAAGGAAGAGAAAGCACAACATTAGCCCCAAGCCCCCAAGTTTATTCCAACAACCGTAGGGAAGAGTGCCCCTCAAAGTTCGTAACTTACTGGCCATGCTATCCGCATTTGCGAATTCTTCCTTTCCTCCAAAGACATCCTCCACTTCTTTTTGTTTCATAGGTGTCTTCTCAAACCAGCTCTGGTCGAGGGCATATTGGTATGGGCATGTACGGCACTCGAATCGATTAACGCCTAGGGGATGCCTTGTGGTCGGCTCCGCACGAGAAATCGTGAGCGCATTGCTGCAATTAGGGCAGACTGGGGAGTAGAAAGGTGACAGTTAGCCAAAAAAAAGTACTGTAGATGTAGGGACTGCAGGAGAACACTAACAGGTCAACGGCATCGTGAATATTGCTTGTTTGCTCCTGGAGTGAAAGTCTTCAAATAAACAAGGGATCAATCAATCAGTCAGTCTGTAGCACAATTCTCGCATAGCATAGCCTTCATAAAGGCGGTTACGGGACTGGTGCAGCTGCCACTGTCCGGCGCAAGTAAGGGTCGCAGCGATCTGGACGATAATCGCCGGCTAGCTGCTGAGGCTCTTATCGACCGGCGATTTCGTTGGCGGAGAGATTCACCGCCGCCGATTGGACGCGGGGCTTCCTGGCCCGGCCGGAGTAACCTCCCTTCCGAGTGGCCGTCCGCGGCGGGAGTCATGCATCCATTCCACTGTACTGTATGCTCGGCCGCGGGGAACAACAATAGGAGACAATATCCTACTGGTAGTACTTTCAAACGCAGCTGCAAGGATTTTATATCGATTAAAGCTTTCGGTGTTTTACTCAACATCCAGGGCTACTGCTTTACTACTCTGAAACACTACGTCGATTGTTTCAGTTGCTTTGAGGCATTGCTGATCCCCAGTCCTCGTTTCCGACACCGCCTCCTTTACCACCTTCGCGGCTAACCCGGCCCCATACTTGCGGCATTTGTTTGACCCCTCCGCAACCACTTTGACTATTCAAGATACAGCTACTCGTCATACTCTGTACCTTCCATTTCTCAAGAACAACCAAACATGGCTGACGAAGTGAGTGCTGCGGTACCCCACCCCCGTAGCGTTGCTAACAAGCATTGCTTGCATAGGGCGCTTCCCCCCGTGAACTAGTCGTAGAGGCTTGCCGTCGCGATCAGCCTCATTTGATAGAGAGTGTCCTGGAGGGCATGGAAGGGAAGTCGAATGAAGAAGTGGCCGAGTTTTTCAACAGTGTGACGGATTCGATGGGGAACCATGCTCTTCACATATGTGCTACGTACGGTAGCTGTAAGTTGAACCCATCCCCCTCATTGAGACCATAGTCCTATCACCTTGGCATAAGCGTTGCCTTATAAACATGCTAATCCAATGCCATTGTATTGCAGACGACGTCATGGACGCCCTCTTCGATATTCAGTACTTCGAATGCGACCCCCTCACCCGTCTGGACAAAGATACCCCGCTGCATACCGCCGTGCGCTATGCGAACGAGAAAGACGCCGAACTAGGCGAGGCAATGATCAAGATGATGTGCGAAGCCGGTTGCGATCCGCGTGTCAGGAACAAGCATGGTCAGAAGCCGGCTGAGCTCGTCTACAATAACCAGGAGATCAAGTCCACGCTACAGCAAGCAGAGTACATCATGGCGGAGGGGCTAAGGGAGGATGCGGACAATGGATCGGTTCACGACAGCGCCAGTGACAGCGAATAGACGTCAACAACTGTATATAGCGACTTTTTTTCGATCATAGATATACCACTGATGATTACTTTGTTCCTGTATTCGAAGCATAGATGGCTGTTCAGATGCATGCGGCAAGTCCGCGGGTCTAATACGAATCCTTGTTTAAACCACCAGTGGTGTTTTGGGCCGGTACCACATATGATTTTCTTCCATACCAGGTGAGCAATCTATACAAATCAGGAGCCATAATCAACGGGTATCATTCAGACAGTGTATAGCTAGCAACAAGACAACAAACGGCAAGTCGTCACATAAGAAAAAAAGCATGGTGGTTAATCATCACTCTCCTCTTCCTCACTCTCCTCTTCAGGCTCAGATTCAGGCAGCTGCCTATTAACCCGACGTCTAGGCTGCTCCCGCCTCTGCCTCTGCCTCCCGCCCTCTTCCTCCTCCCCATCACTACCACCACCCTCAGCCTGCTCTTCCTGGGCACGCGGTTCCGGCTGCTTAAGCCCGAGACTCCGCGCCAGCCGGATCTCAAACTCGTCATCCCTCTCACTGTCATCAGACCGTCCATAGACCTCCCGAACCAACCTCGCAACCCCCTTAGTCCCCACTTCGATCTTCCCCCTCGGGCCAAGAATATACTCAATCACCTCCTCCCCACCATCCACATCGCGATTGCGCACCAGATACCCCTCCTTACACAACCGCTGCAAGAACCGATCCGTCCGATCAATAGGCGTCCACGCATCCGTATTAGTCCGCTTAAGATACCTCTCCAGCTTCTGCTCGTGAATCGTGCCCCCATTAAGCACAATCACCGCAATAATAAAACTATACAGCCCTGTATATGTACTCTCCATCGGCGCTTTACTAGGCAGCAAAATCTCAGGCTTCCGGTACTTTGTCGGCAACGTAGTCGTCACTATCCAGGACTTGTTCGTAGATGACGGCTTTTCGACTTTTTGCGCAGCTGTTCATCCAAATCCACCTGTTAGCCAATACACCACAGACACGATCCAAAATCTCGGTAAGAACTTACCTCTCCTCTGCTGCACCGTAACCTTCTCCTTAACCGGCAACTCCATCATCTCCATCCCAAATTTCTCCTGCAGCACGCGCTGCGCCTCCTCGAACACCGTCTTGAACTGCCTCGTCCCCTGCTCCCCCAACACCTTGACACTGATATCCGACCGTCGGATCGGCAGCCGCGAGAACTCGCTCGCTAGCGCTAATCGCACCATCTTCTTCACCATCACGTCTGTGCTACTAGGCGCCCGGGTATCGTACGCATCATCGTCTCCAGCATCATCATCGTCTTCGCTTTCTGTCGCTTGGCGCGCCGCTACTCGGCGTCGTTGCGTCTCGGGCGTAGGGAGGTCATCTTCACTGGGGGAGTCGGGGACCTTTGCAGTTCATTGTTAGATTTATGTATGTGTTTGGTGTAGAGCTGTATGGGTAGCATACCGCGCGGCGTTTACGGCCAGGTGCCATTTCTTCGGTTCTTCCTCCTTCCTTTCTCTCTTTCCGGGTGGGGGATGTGAGGGATGTAGCTGTAAGCAGTTGCTAATTTGGCAGTCTACATCGCAATGAGCGTCTTGTCTTGTCTTGTCTGTCTGTAGGGCCAAATAAGGTTGTATCGATTGTTGCCGAGGGTTTCCTTTGTTCGGTGGAACGCGCGCGCGACCAGATTTGGGTGGGGCGCGCGGGCGTGATTTATCCTATTCGGGTAGGCTTACTTGGCGGGTACGATAAGGATTCGATACTACATACTAAGTTAGTACACGCTGGGCAGCAATTAATGTTCTTTCAATGAGTTCGTTGGCTAGTACTTTGTAAAGGTTGTTTACGGTGTGTCTTGGTATGTTGTTTGATGTGTACAAATAACTCCAGCCACAGAGCAGTAGTACCCAGTTTGGAGGGTTTCAATGTACGGATCTCTTTGTTCTACGAGGCCTTAGCGCAATCAATTATATATCACTTTTGTAGTGGTACCATGGACGAGCTAGTGGCAGATATGCCAAATACGAATGTGAAAGAAATATGCTGCGCCCAGTACTGAGCGGCAGAGAGTGGTAATGGATTACAAAAAAATGAAGATGGAAGAAAAAAATACCTCCCCGACTGGGAGTCGAACCCAGGTCTCCCGCGCTTGTTCCCGAAAGGGATTGACAAGCGGAAATCATGACCGTTAGACCATCGAGGATTTGATATGTTAGGTTGACTATCTTTGACATTATGTTTGGGGCTATCATTTGTAGGTACATGTTGCATTTGGATGAAGTTTCGCTGGCTTTGTTTGTGGTTCTGGAGTAATCGTCTGGGGGGGTGTTGGTTATGGTGCTTGAGTGGCCTGATTCACACTAAGTTTGTGTACTAATTTGATTTTCAAGCTGCCCGCTGAGTGGTTAGGTTGTTGATGCTGGGGGAACGGCTTGATTCGTTTATTCGGGCCAGGGCCATTATATATTCACATCTACATACGGCGCTATCACCGTAATGCCGGTTTGCTGCAGCATCGACACTCCAACGCTGATACTAGTACACCCCTATGATAAAGTAATGTTGACTCACTGGTAATACTAAGATCGCCGAACAGGGATGCCACGAGAAAGGATGTAATCGATAAACCACAATGTTAGAGCTACCACCACATACCCAGACAGAGACTCAGCATCGCCGAGGACCTGCTATTCTACCTTACAAACACCGGCCTACATCATAATAGGAGGGTTAGTATTCTTGTCTTCCGGCCTCTAAAGTCCACAAAGATGGCAGATTTTCTACTATATTCTATGCTTGTATTGCTCGGATTAGCTCCGGCGGGATGCTAATTCAACTGGGTCAATGCACCAATCACGGTCACTATATTTCCGCGCAGCCCTAACTCGAGGTATCTGGCCGCATCAACGGCCAAGAACTTCTTCAATACCCCCCAACAGAGTGGCATACTCGGGGGTGAACACATCCAATGAAAGAAGCCCACAAGAATCAAAAAGAAAGAGAAACCCTAGTTATGTCCCATTACCAACATAGCGCCAAAATATGTTTGAAGCACCGTCGAAGCTACCGAAATCGTGACAGTATTGTCGAAGAAGACACGAAAAGCCGAGAATAAAAAGCAAACTTTTATCGCTCAATGCAATAATTCAGACTCACTCTAGTACCTCGAGGCTGCCTCTTTCAAAACCTAGATTTTAGCCTGCCATCGCCATCGGTAATTAAGGCACGACCACCGCGCCATGGAGAACATGCCCATTGCGATGACCAGAACGGCACCGAGAAAGGCCACCATGGCCTGCTTTCCGACCGTCTCAATCATCTCACCACCAATCGGGATACTAATCAAAGTGCTGTTATATGTTAGTAACATGCACTCTTACAACAGTTCGGGCGGCATACGCAAAGCTGACGGTCAGATAGCAGACCCCGAATCTACCCCCCACCTCGCTGGCTTTGGAAATTTGCCCGATGCAAGCTGGCGCAAGACTAATGAAGGAACCGGATGCGAAGCCGTACACGCAGCTGAAAATATAGAGGCCCGCCAGTTTGTTTCCGAACGGTAGCCAAATGACAAAGACGGCCACGGCACCTAGACCGAGCAGTCCTATCTGCGTGTTGATTCGGCCATACTTGTCTGCGACGCCGCCGGCGACAAGGCGACCGATGGTAGAGAACCTAAAACATTGTGATCAGATTTGGACCGGATTATTCAAAGCCATGAGATCATGTCGGCCCTTACACGTTCAAGATTGACAGAAGTATGATGCTGGTGGTAGTGCCAAATCCCTGCATTACAACGTAAGTCGGGTAGAGACCCAGGCAGCCAAAGACTTCCAGCTCCATGACTACAGATCATTAGCAGACTGGCATTACTCTACCAGACACTCAGCAGTATCTTCGACTTACTGAATGTTCCCATGGTCAACCAAGTAAACCTGGCGTCCTGAAAGGCACGCACGTTGATGCTCGGCTTACTCTGGCTTCTTGGTAGACGAGAACGAACAAAAGCAATTCCAATCGCACACATGGTCCCCACAATCAATGCAAGCAGCCGCATGGTCCACTTATACCCAAGGTCCTTAAGCCCTGCTCGGAGGACCCAGGGAAACGCCACTCCCCCAACTCCCGCTCCGGCCATTGCCGTGCCCATGGCCAAGCCAACTCGGCGATCGAACCAATGAGGGACAGCAGAAATGGCGGCTGTGCTCAGTAGAGCGGCGCCCATGCCAGTGAGTACGCCAAAGGTTAGGATAAATTGCCAGTAGAGGTGGCATTCGGCCATTAGTAGCAGACCCGCGACGTAGCAGGCCGTCCCAGCAATAAGGATACCCGTAGGACCGTACCTGTCGAACATCGGACCAATTTGGGCACCCAAGCCCAGGCCACAGAAGACAAATAGACCTGGGATCCAGCCGATGACACTACTGGTGTAGTCCGAGAGTTGGTTGCTGGCGAAATAACTCTGTAGGACACCAGTAGAGTTCATCATGCCGTAACTGCTCATCAGTAGGAAAAATGATCCCAAAACGACAAACCATGACCGGGTCCCACCATCTGGAAAGACATCGTCGGGGACAGAATCACGGATGTGAAAGGTGTTTGTGGAGAGCTGGGCCGGCGGTTCAACGATGTCGAATGATCGGGGTCTTCCATAGCTGGCAATGGAATGCGCGGTGCTGAGGTCAGACGGGCCTTGCAAGTCTGTTGAGCGCCAGGGCTGCTCGGCGATCGAGGTGGCCGACTTTTGCTCGATGGCCATATTGATAGTGTTGTCTGCTGGCTCTGAGAGCATCTGTGCACGGAAGAGGCCAAAGAAGCGGGGTGCTAGAGATATAGTAGGTCAGGCATACGGCGGGGGCCAGATTGGGTTACGGGCCTGGGCTGAAGGATCATCGGCGGGTTAGTCCTATCGGGCCTCTCAGCGAGCTCCTCGTTCAACTTCGGCTCGGTTTCCGAACGCGGTATCACATTTCATGACTCAGTGACCTGCAACCAAAAACATGCCGTCGGTGAAAATTGAGTGTTCCCTCATTAATCCGCAGTGTTAACTCGAACGACAGCATCTTCGGCATCATGCTCGGGCATTGCACAAATGGTAGAAAGTTCATGGTACGGCCGTATAGGTGTTCAATCGACAATTCCAACCCGAAAAAGGCTGTAAATGTATGAAGATCGGAGGAAGACGTTGTTAGAAGGACGTTTGCAGTGGACTGTGTAAAGGAGGGAGTACCTTGCTTCGTATCTCGTATTGTCAGTAAAACAGTCTGGTTTGCTTTATGGATAGCTTATCTCCCCCTTGTCGATCCCTCCCAGAATGTAACAAGTCATGCAAAATTCTGGGCTCAACGGATTGTATCTCCATCAAAGAAAAGATGCGAATTGCGAACTCACAAGCGTTGATTGCGCAATTTGCATGGATGTTGACCAGTACGAATGAGCCCGTCGATGAAGATCCCGGCTTTGGATCCCGTGATATATCGAAACCTGACTTGACAAATACGCATTGCTGAGTAGCGCCACCGATTCTATTGTGCTGTTGACTGTGTCTCTAGAAGAGGATTGCACGGTGGTGTGGACGGAGACAGTCAATGAGGGACACACAGAAGCCGGGAGCGAGGATCCCCGGCCTTCTAATCCGGTATTTTGCCCTGGGGCACGTGCTCGACGTACTAGTCGGTTGGCCATTCTGCCTTCACATCACAATCCACTTAACTTGATTTCGGAGCCATTGGACAAGAAAATTGTGGGTGTCAAAACTGACCGTATCCGGGATGGACAGGAAAAGACCTCAAGAGCATCTGTCAGCCTCGTTTCGCTCCGGTTACAAGTGCGTCGAGCCCCAAAAGACGAGGCCAGTAGGTTCAATCGACGTACCAAGTCAACAGTGATCTCATGGCAGTTGTTGAGTCAAAGGGGGAATCCTGTAGTGACACAGACAAGCCACGGCGGATTCAAAACTCAAACATGCAGACGCCCGAAAAGCTTCTCTTGACGACCATGACCCGCCCGTTGAGGAGCTTGTTGGGCAAGCGGCTACTAACATGTCACGAACAATGCTACAGATGCTTTCCAGTACTATTCGAAATACATCACTTTATCCTTGGCGCTTCTTTCGGCATCGTTTCGGTGATTCATTACGTACACGCCCCTTACGGGTTTCTGGAATAAAAGAGACCGTGAAGGAGGGCCATCAATCTATTCAATTTAATCTTGGGAAATATTTTGATATTTCAGTCGTAGCCAGATTCAATATGATCCAGCGATGGCCATGTAGTAGAGGAGCGAACCCTATCCATGTGTGTATTCGCTGTCGGTAAAGGCCAGAGTAGAAACCCGTCCAGCAAGCCCGATACCACTAAAGAACACTGGGAGGCCAAAAAGGTGCTTCGATAGAAGGCCACGCCAGCAAGATGTGCAACATGAAGCCAGAGTTCGTTGACGGCTCCTGCGTGTACTGAAGGTCAGAGGGTCACGGACCACCGAAGTGTTGGTATATCGATCCGACCTCTCGTCAAGAGGGTGGATTCCATACATACAAGATATCTGGTTCTACGAGCCAAAGCGCATTAAATGGAAGTCAAATTGGAAAGATGACTCCAACGCTGCAGCGGCGCCAGCATCTACGAAGCATATCGCGGAGATGCCTGCTCAGCACGCTAGTGACTTTAAAGATATGGCGGACAGTCATTCGGACTGACCCACGACCGTGGACAACTAACTGTCCGGTCTAACCTTAGATCACGAAGAGAGTGAGGCGGCGTCTGATGACCCAAATGCGGTGTCAGACGATCATAAAAATTCGGAAACAACTTCCGCCTATCCGTCTTCTCTACATACACGAGCTGGCTGGTGCTATCTCAAATCTCCACAGAATCGATCGCACGCATCAGGAGCAACAATGCACTGAAAAGGGTAACAGGGCACTACAGTAATGCCAGGCTCGATCAGAGATTAGCAACTGCCCCGTTATAGCGTCAGGACAGCCAACATTAGAAAACTACAACTCTCTTGAGAACCGTTCCAGATGGGATTGTTGATAGAGGAGGAACAGGATATGTTTTCTCGAGAAGTGTCGTTATCCAGAGCGTGTTGTGGGGTACAAAATTGACTCGCTTCGCCATCACTTGTTTGATAACTTTTCTTTATCTCGTTCTTTTCTTTTCCAAATTCGATGTAAAGGACCATGGTCCAACAGAACCATGGTCTGCGAGTTTCGTCTGTATCACGTTTTTACTGACTGTGGAGTTAGTTCTCGATGTTTACCTGAGATTTTCAGAGCAATAGCGGCATTGATGTTTCTTTTAGGGGAATATATAACGAGCCCGAATAGTTGTGTGATGCTTGGCTGTCTGCGGAATTGTGAGAAGGCGATCACCTTGTCTGAGACTTGTTCTGTGTCTCCTGGTTCGTAGAAAGGCGGTCGACTTTCTGTGAGCGATATGTTCTTCCTTATAGCGGACTAGGGAGACGGTTAGAGCGATACCTTCCACGTGCCCTACATGGCTAGCCTCAAAGGTAGCTATATCTTGGGCTTGTTCTAAACAATGTCGGGTATACAACCTTCCCTGGGTCTTCTTCAACCGAAGGACATCCGATACCTGTCACCGGGGCTTCAACGTACGGGTGTAGTCACGCGGGATGCTCTTGATCCAATGTAGCTGAAGATGTCAGCACGCCAACTATAGGGTAAAAACGATACAAAGTGTTTGTCTACGGGATAGCAGAGACAGAGATGGGTGTTTGCAGACAAAAAGAGACAGATAATAAGAAATTAAAAATTAAAAATACATACAACAGAAGGGATTCGCTGGTGGTCACCCACCCAACTACTAACCTCCCGGCGTGTGGCTTAAGTACGGCTGAGCGGACGGGAAGCCCTGTTTTCCACACCCTGTGGTCGTATGTATTTGTTGTATTCTTGGAAAGGTAAATATAGTGTGAATCAAAGAGCATAACCATCTTAGACAAGTATATTAAAACGCTAGGGGGTATGACGGTGTTGTGGTTCAACTGCCCTTGCAGTTTTACAGGTGTATAAGGCAGTGCGGAAGCTGGGTACTATAGAAATGGGTTTTTACTGTTTACGTTAGTTTGTGTCGAGCTTGTAGTCTCGAACTGAAGGAACGATATGTCAGAGTAATTGCACTATATATACTGAACATCAACTTCATGGAGGATTTCCAGTTGAATGAGCAGGGTCACTTGAAAGTAAAGACTATCCATCAACATCAACTAAACAATAACATACCAGCAAACTACTAAAGATGTAGATCCACTAGCCCACTAGGCAACGCTTATCTTCCCAATCGCTATCCATACTAACCACTATCCAGTATGAGTCTTAACAAGCAGACGACTCTGACGTCAAGACACCCTCTGCATATCAGCAGCATGACACATATACCTTCATCTGAACCGTTTGGCCATTGTCCCGCACTTTGTAAAAGGCTCATAACCAGAGAATCGTAGCTAGTAAGCCATAAAGCCTTCGTGGTATGATTTGTCATAAATCCCCCCAACACCCAATCAATCATTTTAATATAACGTCAAAAGGACTGCATACCCTAATCCACTGGCACTATGTGTACGTAGTCTATCCACCCCCAATTATCCACATGTATCAATAGATGGGATAAAGAACAATGTTATGGTACATCCTCATTTAGAGTTCCAGATACAGACTCACCCACACAACAAACCATCGCAATCCCGTATGCCATTAAACCATAACCCCCAAACACAATAGTCACAATATCCAAAGAGAAACCGAGTAACTAAACATGAACATACGCTCCTCCCAGAGAGACACGGCACGGGTCTGCAATACAACTACAATGAAATCCGCTCTCATCTCCCCAAACAAGAACCTCCCACCCACAATATGAACGAACCACAAGTACTCTCGCCAACGCCAAATACACCACCAAGCTCACTAGCATGGGATACAATGGCAAACCAATATACCTTCAACACCCCCCTTCACAAAACCGGCAATGAAGACAGCGCCTACCGAATCACCAACCTCCCCAACCAAGAACAACGTCCCTACCTCCTCCAAAACACCATCTATCGCTCCGACCACGTAGTCAAAAGCCAACTCCAGCACGTCATCCACGGTAAACTTAATCCTGGCGACCATGTCTCCAACAATGCAACTACCATAGTCGCCAAGTTCGAGTTCCTCGGACAAACGGTCGATCGTCGGTTCAAGTACGCGCGGATCAAATGGGAAACTGTATACGCCGATGGCGATGACAATGATGAGGACACCGATGCACCCGAAGTGAGAAAAGTTTCACTGGATGGACAATATGTTATCCATGAGTCCGTGCTTTCGGTTAGTAAGGAGGTCCATGGTGATGCTGGAGTACAAGGGTGTTGTGGCTATGGCGAGTGCTGGAACTGGGTGGTCGCGGTCACAGACTGCAGAGGTGAAGGATCACATTTCGATCTTTGGGGTGAGTGTCTTTACGAACCAATTGTGCGGGGAGCCGAATGGCGCTCAGTAGGTTCTGGAGGAGAATGCTAGTCAGCGGAGTGGGATTCCTGGGGCGATCACGACGGCGGTACTGTTGCGGAGGGATCCGGGGAGGCTGTTTACTGGAACCATTGAGGTTAAAGCTGAGGTGGGGAGATTTGATAAAGTGGAAGCTTGGTTTGGGAGGAAGCCTAGAGGGCGTTACCACCTACTATTACTACGGTGTTCGATGCCCAGCATCTGGATGCCGTTGAGTTAGATAATATCCCGGCTGTAGTGCTGCATACGTCTCTGCCAGTCGCGCAATAGGTTTATGTACGTATTTCTTCTGTAGATAGCCTAACCTAGCTACAATATCTCAAATGCTCAGTCTCACTTCTTCTTTGGTGCCAATTCTTCGTTCCAAAAACAACTGCCTACCTCAAAGAAAAACCCATTAGGACCAAAATTCGTAGTGGCCGCAGTCCCATTCTCGCGAAAATACAGTGTAGGTTAGTAGTAAAATTGTGACTCACATGAAAACGTACCTTTATTTCATGTCAGACATATGGCCAGGAATATCAGAGGCAGTTGATACTGAGCGACATACCAATGACCTTTCCGTTGCAGGTGAAGAACGCACACTGTGCATCGACGTCAACACCACATCCCACTACATCTCCATTTCCATACTTCGGTCCAAAACCCTTCCGCTTCCCCCTTCCCGCATAGATATATCCGTTATTCGCGTAATAACCTTCCGAACGCGCCCGCTCGCCATGCAAATCGTTCTCAGGGCCTTCCGCGCAAAACCCGAAGCCTTAGCTTCTACCCATCAAACAGACGTCAATCAGCAGAGGCGAGATGAGGTGATTCACGGAAGGTATAACCCACTTATGTGTTGTGATACTAACACTCGTCAGCTCGTAAAATTATACATAAGTTCCGACGGGCATTGAGTGGTCTGCGAGGACATGAATTTGCCTACGAGGGCGGCCGATTCCTCCTAGCCGAGTAAAGAGAAGCCGTCAGCATGTGCCTTAATGTCTTGTTAGAAAAGGGCCTACCGGTCATGACTCTCAAGCCATTTCCAGCTAGCAAATATCCAGTAGATGCATCTCCTCCTTCACTCCACTTACGCCATCGACTTGGGAGGTCGCTACTTGGCCCATCTACTAGTATGTCTGGTAGATATTTCCCAGAGAGGATGGAGACAACCTCGGTCCTTCCACGCACTTGAGCAATGTGGATAGGCAGGCGACCATGAATATCTTTCATGAATGCGCACCGGTCATTCTTCAAAACCAGTGCCTTCACAATATCTTCGTTCCCTCGTCCCGCTGCCATATGCAAGGCAGGCATTCCCCGCTTGTCCTGAACCGATGAGTCCACACTCAAGTCAAACAGCAACTTTGACGCTTCCAAGCCATCCATGCGCCCCGCCCAATTCCAAAGCAGTCTACCCAAGCCTCATGCCCTTATCCCCGATATTAGATGGATGCTCCCTAATAAGCCCCAAATCGCCCACCATTGCGGCGAGATGCAATGGGTGTCATTCTGGTCTCAGCCTCCATCATGTGAATCCCATATCGAACCATGAGATCCACAAAAGTTGGATTGTCATATACCGAAGCCCAATCGAGGATCATCTTGTCCCAGAAAGTCTGGGAATAGTTGGAAAAAATTCCACCTCAGCATCCAACGGGTAGGTATACGAGCCCTTTAGGGATCTGTAATTTCCGCTGAAGTAGGCTAAAACTCACTATTTAGGGAGTTGTCTCAGAGGAAAGAAGCAGCATTTATCTAGACCAGTTCAAACAGAGGCTACGTAAAATCCGGCCGAATAATGAGATTGTGGAAGAGAGAATGATAAACCGCATATCGCCGCAAACTTATCTCCACAGTCAGGCGACAGCCATCAACAGGTAGCGCTCCCCCCAGTTCCCCTTTGCTGTTGACACGACGAACTAAACCATTCGCTATAATTGCAAGCATCACTAGCTGGATACGATGGACCAATTTGCGCTCATCGTCAAGAACTACCACCGCCACCTGGGGAAGTATTCACCCACTGTGAAAGTGGCTATTATTGATGACGGAATCGACCCTCTCCAAGCAAATCTGCAGGAGAACATCGATGGTGGAGCTTCCTTTCACCACCGGCCTGGTCGTCCTGATCGCCCCATTTACTACTGGTCCGCACCTGGTGGTCATGGTACGGAAATGGCCAAGCTGATTTGTCGTATCTGTCCCAAGGCGTGCTTATGCATTATCCACCTCGGCGAGGGACTTGGGGAAGAAGAAGCGCGACAGATCAAACCAGAAACAGCGATTGAGGCGATCAAATGGGCTACCACTGCCGGTGTGCACATCATCTCTATGAGCTGGAGCATAATACAAAGCAAGATGTCCGGGGACCCATATAGTGCGGCCACCATCGATGATGAAAAATGGTCCAAGACTGGTGCACAGAAACTGGACTTTTATCCACCTGGTGAAAACCTACCGTTACGGGATCAGCTGCACCCTCATCAGTTTCCACTGCAGTCACTGTCCGGTAGTTTATTAGCGACAGCTGTTGCAGCTAGGCTAGCCGCATTACTGCAGTACTGCATGGGAACTGCAGCGAGAAAGCCCGAGAACAAGCCGGTATTCCCAACAGATGATATGTAACATGCCTTCCAGGAGTTGAGTAAGAAGGATCCCGAGATCCCCGAAATCCACAAATACTTGGCGACACGCAATTACTTGACACGCTTAAGAGAGTTGAGGATCGGTATGCTTGGGTTGCCTCTAAGCTTCAGAGAAGTCATCGATGATGGTGCGATATACCGGGACGAGATCCTTGCTACACAGCCCTTCAGCTCTCTAAATCATAACGACGAAAGAATTAGGATTCGATTACGCTTGCTCTGAAGGTCTATTAGCCCACCGGGGCAATGCTATGCCTGTGCTCTTATCACTGTTACACAACGAAACATGAATAGTATACTGTAAATCGTGAGAGAATCTAGGAGCTACTCATACACGTTAAGCCAATATGCGTATATATTTGGGTACAGTGGATACTCGCCCTAATGAATCTGCAGCTACTTATGAACGAGAGGCCACCCCTGCATTGCTTCTGTCTTGCCCGGTCCGATGGTGAATAATGGTACCTCTGGAGTACACTCCCAAACAACGATACCTGTATACCGTAGTCCATATACTACCGCCCCCGTAATAAATGATCTGGCCGGCACCAAACGCTCTATGCCAAATAGCAACCATCATCACCAGAAAGCAACGCTGCAATTGAGTACTAGTACTCATCATCTCATACACCTTCATCGATTCCAAAGCTATCCATAACCTAACATCCCAACCAATGTAAATATCTCGTTCCCACACGAAAGACACCAGAAACAATCACAACCAAAAACAAATTATAACCAGTACTTCAACAACCCAGATTAAAACACCAAAAACCCACATAACCAACACTACCCACCCACCCAAGGTATAAAAAAACACACTACCCTTCCTACCCTCAACCCCCTCCCCAGAGGGGAGGCAAAACCAAAAAAAGAAATCTCCCCGACTGGGAGTCGAACCCAGGTCTCCCGCGCTTGTTCCCGAGAGGGATTGACAAGCGGAAATCATGACCGTTAGACCATCGAGGATTTGATATATGATGTGGGTTAGATTTTGACTACATAAAGCTAAGACTAGTGGGGGGTTGGGGTTGTGGCTGTTTTCGGACAGGTTAGGGCTATTGTTGGGTGGGGCGGTTGCTTACCATCTATTTACTCCAGTGGATATGTGAGTATGTATAGTTATAGTTTGGTTCTGGGTTGCAGGACCTGGGATTCTGGTTGTTTCTGGATGTGTTTGAGTGTTGTTGGTATGGTATGAAGGGGTGGATTGGTGGTGAGAGGTTTATGGGGGAGTATCATGTATTGGTATTTACTAAGGAGTATGGGGGAACAGGGTATCTATGCTGTTTGAGGGTCGTCGGAAGTATGATTGATGTTGGGAAACTTGATTGATTTCTAAGTGGGGAGTTGTTATTGAATTGCTATGTTTTTTTTTTCGTAAAAGTGCTCCTGTGGATGAGCCTGGGTACTTTTTATATAGACTGTTAGAAGTATAAGTAATTGTTGGCAAGAAGTGGTCTATGTATACCATTGGCATCGTTGAATTGTAGCGAATCTTTATAATCGAGTTTAACTACATTGCTGTAGCTCTCATTTATCTAGCAAAATATGGCAGTCTTATATAACGAAGATCCTCGATGGTCTAACGGTCATGATTTCCGCTTGTCAATCCCTCTCGGGAACAAGCGCGGGAGACCTGGGTTCGACTCCCAGTCGGGGAGATCTTTTTGTGATATTATTTTTTTGCTTCTTTGTTACCGATGTACCACGGACCTCTAGCACGGACATTGCATAAAAAAGTCAATTAATCCTTAGCTATCATTATTGAGCCTGTGTATGTATCCAATGCAAGCCGCATGAGCACGTGGAGAATTGAACGCAACCGCCTATGTCCAAGACAAACCGAATAAAGGAGACAGGCCTCCCAGAGCAAAACGATCTAAACGACAAACACGCAAAACGATTACAACATCGCAAGACAACAGACCAGCTGAAACAGGAGTAAAGATTTTCCAATTGCAAGCGTTTAGTTGTCAGTCTTCTCGTTGACTGCATCCTTAACTTGGGCTTTCTTGGCCTGAAGCAAGGAGCTGATATAGGCTAGCGACTCCTGCGAGAGCACCAAGCCGGTGGTGATCACGGCCTTGCCGCTCGCAACCACTCCATCCCCGCCACACTTCTTGTACTCCGAACTGTAGGTGTCAAAAACATGACCCTTGAGGTCATAAACGAATCGCACTGGGAATGAGACGCCATCTTTGATCGAACCCTTGAGCGTGGTTGTATCATCCCTGATAAATGGAAATGTTTCATCAACCTTGCTCAGACCTTTATCTCCGAGGGTATCTACGCGCGCGACATATGGAGCAACGAAGCCGTACGGCTTGGAGAAGTAAGGGAGGAACGGCTTGGCTAAGCGAGAGTAGCCTTGGTCGGCATATTCCAGAGACTTCGCGGCGTACTTGTTGGTCTTGATGACGGTAATAGAGTCGGAAACAACAGGATAGGACGTCAAATGCTAGCATAGGAAATAGAGATTAGCGCATGTTGGAAGCGATCGACAGTCGTGCATTGGGGTTACTCACATCGAGGAATTGGGAGTGGATAGTCTCCCCGTTGACAGAATTCTCGCCCATAATGCCGTTTTCTGCGTGAGGCATAAGTTTCTATCACATGAATATCGCATTAGTATAGGGAAAGGCAGTGTAGAGTAGCGGAGCGATAAGATAAACCCTTACCCGACAATAGAACGCTCAAAGCTATAGGTCCTGGTGAACAAGACAAGCTATGGAGGGTCAGACGTGAAGAAGCGGTGACAAGAAACGGAAAGCGAGGAGGATGGGGATGTTGAAGATAATAAAGGAAAGGGAGGGGTGATGGGGGGGAAAGGGCATCACTTACATTTGCAGAAGGAAAGACGGAATACGTGAGCAGTTGGGATGGACCGGAAAGAGGTGAACCGTAGTTAAATTTAAGGTAGGTTCAAGAAGAGAAGAAGAGCAAACACGCCATCAGTCGATCCGATAGCTAGGATCCATGAGGCTTGTGATTTGATTCGGTTGAATTTTTTTTTTTTACCTGTGCTAATTTTATTTTAGTTTTAATTATTGCCTTTCTTTATGTTGGTTTTGATTAATTAGAAAATAACAAATTATTCTTCTTGGGTAAGAGGGAGAGAGAGCGAGCTGGCAGCATGTGATAGCGGGCCCGTTGATGAGTGAACAACTCGCTTGGAGCTTGAATGGAGGGGCAAGCCGTTGGTTCCAGGAGGTTTTAGACCGTCGTAGGACGGAGTTAGTTGTTGCGTGCTCAATCCGGCGGCTTCATCGTCATTATCATTTCACCTGCAGGGCCTGGAACCTGGGATGAGCCTGGAGAAACGCGACCCAAGATTGGATTGACCAGGATCGTGCATCTCCTTCCGTGCGCTCGCGCTCCCCGACAGCCCGCATCCGAATTCGCAGTGAATAAGAGCTATCGCGGAGCAGCGAGGATAAGGAATAAGGAATCAAAACTGGACAGAGTGAGTTCAGGCCCCTCGGAAAGCAGTGTCGAACAAGCCACCCGCACTTGTGCCTAGTACATGGTTCCCTCTTAGTCATGTCGATATCATGTAGTCATGGCTTGAAGGGAACGAGAAACCGAACGATTCATGATTTAGGTCTCGATAACGGCGGTAACGGTTGCGTTGTCGAAGTGGCAAGAGCCAAGTCAAAACAAATGAACGACAGGCATCGGGCAGCAAATCAGGACTGTGATTCGGAGCAACTGGCTGGAAGTACTAAGTAAGTTGCAGCACAGTGTGGATGATGATGGAATCCGGAAGTTGCGAACAGTTGACCTGGAAGGTTTTCTGGCTTGCATCGCGGGATGGGCTGATAGCATGTGATTGCGGGTCGGGCGCCCTCGTTTTCTGTCGCCCGTCGGCTGGTCTTTCTGCTACTACTAGACTACATGCTGCACTTATGGTCATTATAGTTTATCCCCGAACACTCATGATGCCTAATGCCATTTTTCCCTATCCATCTTGATCTTACCCGCGCTTTATAATATGCCATTTATTCATTCAGTCATTCATTCAGTGTTCGTGTAGACGCATGCAAATTGCTAATTTACGCGAATTCCTCGTGGCTCCCGATAAGAACGGGACTCCGCCGTGGTTCGCGCCGCATGCTTATCAGGGCGCCTACTTACGGGAATGACTGTCACAAGGAAACCGGGTCCCCCCAAAATCACCCCAACGATCCGGAGTACTACTAGACTCAGGAAGCAACCGGCTGGAGGGTAAACGTTGAGGATCAGTACGTCCGGCAAACGGACTACTGCTTTCCCCCTGCCTTCGCTTTTGTACCAGATGGGTAACCGCTCTCGTTGATCTCCTGCGGGAAGGTGCAAGCATCATCTTTGCGCCTGGACCTCGTCTCAGGTCCGGGGTTAGAGGCATCTTTGACCCTTTGGCCCTCTGGACCATCAACCTTCTCCGTGGAAGATATCTTACTATCCAGACTGCTCCGTATATTCTGGGCTAGAGAGGGGTTTAGCTTGATCCACTCGTCTTTTGGGCGCTAACAACGCCAACCGTGCGGTGGTAGTCCTGCAAGTGCTGTCCAGATCTGAGCAAGCTTCTACAGAATCTGTCCCCATTGGAGTAGCATCCACGGTCTTCGCTCTCCAGCCCAGTCTCTTCTAGTGCTGACCATGTGCGTCGTACTTCTGTCCATGCGAAAATGGTCGCACCGTGCTGGACCTTCCAATGCTGTCCGAGTGTCCTTCTGCGGCATGTCGGTCGACGCTAGTCTTCCCGGAGGTCAGTTCATAAACCTCGATCCCGATCAACTTTGACGTATTGAAGCACACAATGCAGTGCCTTTGTGCTTAGCGTCTGTTTTAATCGTTGACACACAGTCTGGACGTAAGGTCCTTCCTTCCTTCAACACCACCACAGTTTCTCCTCAACCCCAGCGATCGGAAGCAGATTGACATAGAAGGCGCCAACAACCTGGACGGCCAACTCCTGGTGGCTTGCTTGCTGCATTCGCCGGCCGCGTAGATTACAACAACCAATGGCTTTTCACATGTCCTGAAGGATTCTCATTCTCATCGGCAGCTTTGACCATCCTAGCTGGTTACTATTCTGTCAGGACTGTAAAATACCGGGCCATCATCGACAGCCGGAACTGAGGGATTGTCGCACGCCTAGACGGCTACTCCCTCTCTCGGGTAAGGAACGACGTGCACAGATCGCGACCTCTAATTGCACCTCCTCATTTCCAAGGCTACATGGGGCCCCATGTACCTTGCCAGCACCGGTTGGCGCTACACCTACCTTTCTGGTACCTAGCTCGTTTGGTTCAGACGCAGAAGCCGGTGCTACTGTCATTTCGACTTAGGGCAACCTCATCCGTGCTACATTCGCTAGTGAACATGGTCTCCTTGCAGTAAACCGCCACTACGTATGTTGGACGGAGCCAAAGGAGGAGCACCGTATCTACGAGATATGACATAACCCGAGACCTATCTTAGGGGCTATCTTTCTTACAGGTGGGGGTTTGTGCTCCTCCATGGAACTCCGCTTTTACCCCAACAATGTGGGATAGGCTGGGATTTCATGTACGGGGAATATCGGCCGTGCGGGGATGGAAGCACAAGCTCGGTGGGTTGACGGAAGTAGGTTTCCAAATCTAGATCAGACTGACACACATGTACCCTTCCTTACCTCGTAAGACTAGCCAACAGGGGAAAATTGGAAGGGCCCATGATGTCGGATGATTCGATAGGATTCTTTCGTCCAAAGGTGATGGATAGTGTGCGTTCGATTGGAATGATAGAGCGATCGTGGTGTTTTCGGACATTTGGTAATCTTTTCCGACCTGACCGGTTGCTGTAATACGGACGCGGCCTTTGTGTGCGCTAGGTTGTAGCATGCTTTGTTGTAAAGGAAGAAACCCCTGGAAGCCGAGAATTCCGAAACACAAAAAAAAAGTTGAATTTGTTCATATTTTCCATTTCATTTCGAGACGGACGCCAGATCTGAGTGGCCTCCCTCATGATAAGAAAAATTGGTCAAGTCCTGGACCTGTACATCGATACATTCCCATTCTTCTCTCGTGCTATGGTATACTTCACGTGATCCCATGCTTTTGAACCGGACGTCCTCGATGCTTTTTCTTTTTCCCTTTGCCTCATCTAAGACCCTGCGCGCTCAAACGACAAAACGCCCCATATTACCCCGTTTAGAAACCTGTAGAACCGTCAGCATTGCGAACCTTAATCCAGCCAACGTAGGCAAAAAGCAATGGATGGCAAAACGTACGCAGAGGAGTGAAGAACCAACGGTTCTTGCCGCTGGTGTAGCGGTCCTCAAGGGCCTTCTTGACGTTCTTCTTGGCGTCCTCGCGGGTGGAAACCTCCTTGAAGGTCTCGGTGGAGACGGCACCCTTAAGACCCTCGAGCTCAAGGGTGTAGCGAGTGGGCATCAAGTGGTTGTAGTTGACGACCTTGATGAAGGGCTTGATGCGGCTGCGCTTCTCGACGGTCTTCTTACCCATGCGGCGGGTGACCTTGAGGGGGTAGCGCTCGATACCGGCGACGATGGCGTAAGGGAAGGGGTGCGCCTTGGAGCCAGTGTCGTTAGGCTGGACAATGACGACCTGTCATTCGCGAAAAGAAACCCTCGTCAGCACATATATCCTTGCACATTCCGTTCGCTTTTGCCCCCATGGTAGTTCGCCCATCATTCGCGTTTCCGCTCGATTGTTTTATTCCCATGCAAATCGAAAATTCATTTCCTTCGAGTCGGCAAAAAATCATTCCTTCCAATCCATTCCACCTCGGGGTATATATATATGTATCTCCTCGCCAGAAAATGAAGAAATCGGTTGTCGTACCTTCTTACCGGCGTAACGGCCACGGGTGATGATGGCCACACGGCCCACTTTCATGACTATCGTAACATCCTGTCAGTTTGGATTCGAAGACGAGAAAAATCAAGAGTCGAGGTGATGCAGCATTTCACTAACACTTCATTGTGAAAGTCCCGGTGAGCGGCAGGTCGATGGGGTGGTTGTCGATGTGCTTCGGTCGAGTAAGTGAGGTTCTCCGCGTTGGACGTTCTATTTTTCTGAGCGAAGAGGGCTCAGGGCTTTGTGCGCCAAAATCTCATTGGTCATCTTACCGACAAAAGGCTACTAGCCGTTCTGGGAAGGTTTCTCCAAACGGACTAGTGCCCGAGATGTCGGGGAGGTCGGACAAACTCACCGCCTCGATCGGGCCTTGGCTCTTTGTTTACCGGACAACCAAAGAACCGTCGGTTGCTATGACGGGAGCTTCGATGTGTACGCCGCACATTGGATCGGGCTTCCGTTGATGCCCCATGAGCTACCGTTCCTTTCAGCCAGGAACTCCACTTGGATGTTTGATTGTCTCTTATATTGACTGTTCAACCTCTGGAGCCTGCTCGTGTTCCTTGGTCTCTTGCAACGTCTCGTCGCATTGTGTTTCGTCGTCCTTGTTTCCCCTCATCTCTCATAGCAAGCGCATTTGTATCATCATCTTCAGTCTATATTCTTTTTCTTGTCCCTGCTTTTTTGTCGCCTATTGACTTCCAAATTCCCCCCCTCCTGCGTCCTTTTGGTTTTTGTTTTGACGATTTGATATGCCCTTTACGACCCCCATTGCTTTGATTTTGACGAACATTCCTCTCGCACATTCCTGATATCCCTCGATCGACTTGCTTTATATCCAACATCGACAGACATACCCCGTTTTCTTGCTTTAACGACGATTAAGTTACATGATGCCTACGCACACACGAGATGGGTCCCGCGACAGGGAACTGGTCGTCAGAAATCAATCGGTGCCCATGTATGTGTAAACTCTATTGTTGAGCCCCCCTCTGCCGCTACAACTATGAACCGCGTCAGGCTGACCGTGGACTGTGGAAACGAAGGTGGGACAGTTCGGACCCCGAACGGGCACCCCCTCCGCTCCCCATGAATCCCAGTGCTTCTAGCCCTGTTACAAGAGGAAATGTCTCCCCAGGCATTCAAGCCGTGGCGGCGAATTTCCAAGAAAAGATGCGCGAAAACGCACCGAGCCCGTATACAACCAACCCCATGCCGCCGAAGTCCCCAGAGAAGTCCCTCATCAAGGGCCAATTCCACAGGCGCATGCAATCGCTACAGAATACAGATGCTCGCAATGAATTCTTAAACTATCTCGAGAGTCGGTCACCAGAACGGCCTCTCCGCGCGTCGACTTTTGATCAGAGCCCTAAGCAGCATGAATTAACGCCGGTGAAAGCTCCTGGCTCCGCAGACTCGCGAGATAAAGACAACGAGCAAGAGCTCCCTAACCTGCAGATTTCGAACCGATACCTTTCGAGGCCAATCCTGGGCGAAAGCACACCTCCGTCGGCGACAATGTTAGCTTTGCAGAATATGCAGCTGCCTACTGAGAGCGTCGAGCCATTGAAACCAAAGAGTAACGATGCAGACCCATTTATTGGGCCCAGGCGCGCCGACAACCACAGCTTCGAATCATTATCCACCCAGATACTCAGCCTCACAGATATTGCGAGTAACCTTCAGCGCGAAATGGCTCAACTAAGCCGACGAAGTAAAGACAATGCTACGGACCTGGTCAGCCTCAAAGCTGCAACTAATGCTCGAGACGAGGATATTCGCAGGAGCCTCCGTGATTTATCCTCCAGCCTAGCCGCAAAGTTCCTTGATCCTGATGCTGCCACAAGGTGGGACTTCAGTACTCTCCTGGGTTCTGAAAACGGTATTAACAACAGGGAATCGGATAGTTCTCCGAGCTCGAAGAAGAGCTATTCGGCACCACGAATGTCAAGCCCTAATCCATTTGCCGCAGCAATGGAGCGCGAACTGTGTGGATCTCCTACGCCTATTTCTGATGGTTCCGCCAGCATCGCATTACTAGAGAAGGTCCTTCGGGAGATGGGGACCAAAGAAGGCCAAGACAAGCTTATAGAAATGGTTGAAGAAATAAAAGCCAGGCCTGTCTCCGAAACCCACGAAGTATCGAATGACGAGACGATCACGAGGATGCTCGAAGAGATTCTCGAGCATGTGAAGGATGACTCGGGGAACAAGGCTTTGGTTCGCTCTCAGGCTTGGGCCGGCGCCGACAGCGTCCCTCCGCAGGGAGAGCCCGACGGTTCTGGAACAAGGTCGCTGGACGACGAACAAGCGTACTCGCCAGATATGGAAACCCACAACATCCGACCCGCCGAACGCTCTTTGGTGCCCGCCGATCCCGAAATGGCAGACGAGATGCTAGCAATCATGAAAAGAGTGAAGACTAGTGTCATTGAAGGAGGTGGCATGACGAACGAGGTCAAAGCCCTTGTGCGAGAACTACGAGGAGAGGTCCTAGGAATGGGAAGGAACCTGGCCCGACAAATCGAAGGCGTTGGATCTTCCCGCGCTATAGAAGACAGGCCGGACCGACCTACCCATGAAGAGCTGGCTGGTATCGTTGAAAACAACCTGCAGGAGCTCAGAGACCAACTCGCCTCGATCATGGATGAGAGTAGACACCATTCATCGTCCATCTCGGAATTCAGAGCTGCTATGGATGGTAACGAACTGTACTCTATCGTCAAGAGGGCTCTGGATGAGCTTGACCTGTCTCAGTTCCGTGCCGAGCCCCACGGTGTTAATATGGAAAAGGAAGAGATTCTGGAGACCGTTCGGGAAGCTTGGGAGACATACAAGCCTGAGATTGAGTTGCAGAATTTCGGGCTGGAACGAGACGAGATTCTGGAGTGCTTGTCAGAAGGGCTTAGAGACTATAAGCCGCAGCACGAGGACGCCGTTACTTATGACCAAGTCTTGGCGGCTGTCCAGGCTGGAATGCAGAGTTTCGCGCAACCACCCAGCATTACGAAAGAAGAGATCGTACAAACAATTCACGAATGCCTTGCCAATTTCGAACCCCCTGTACCTCGGGGCGTGGAGCGCGAACACCTTGATGGCATGCGCGATGAGATCCTAGAAGCCGTCACCCACTCAGTTACGTCCCAAAGTGCTCTTACAAGAGAGACGCTGGACTCTGGTCTTGGCCGTGATGAGATCTTGAGCGCTCTTTCGGAAGGGCTAGAAGCTCATTTCGGAGCGACCAAGGCCATCGAACATCCTCACATCACCAAGGACGATGTTGCTAATGTAATAAATGAAGCATTCATTGCACAGCAATCGGTGGTCAGCACCAATGTTCAACCCACTGTTTCCCGTGACGAGATTCTCCACGCCATCGCAGAAGGCATGGAAAGCCAGAACTCCATCACGAGAGAGATCGAACTTAACAGGGATGATCTTATGGAGGCTATCGCAGCTGGTTTGCAGGAGGCCAATGAGGCAAACCAGAGCGTCGGGGAACAGATGCTGGAACGTGTTCAGGAGCAGCTGGATGGCATAAAGGGGGAAATGGGCCAACATTTCTCTGCCAGTGAAGAGACCTCCGAGCACCTGCTTAATGCTATCAAAGATGGCATTGCTGTCGTGCGACAGGAAGTGGAAGGCTACGCCTCAACTGCAGCTGAAGCTTCCGGGAAGCATGAGATCATGGACACTGTCAAGGAAGGGTTCCGCCTGTTGCAGGCTGACATGGAGAAGACGATCACTGAGACCGCCGCGTCTAATGCGCCTCGCGGTAATCCGGATACACCGGAACTTCTTGATGCCATGGAGAAGGAATTCGAGCATCTGCGACAGACCATGAGCTCCTTGTTGATTCGCAACAACGCACCGAATGAAAAGGACGAGATCCTGGACGCCATTCGCGACATCTCCGAGCAGCAAAAGACTTCCAAGAGCGATGATGTTCTTGCAGCTATCCGCGAGCTGTCGGAGAAGCAGGCGGGTACGCCTGGGGAGGATATCCTTGCAGCTCTTCGTGAACAGTTGGACGAGCACAAGACTGCGAGCAGTGATGCAATCATTGCCGCAGTTGAAGCAGCGTTCGAACAGAAACCCAGCGCTCCAAGCGACGAGATCCTTTCTGCCCTTCGTGAAATCTCCGAGAAGCAGGACAACACGAACAGCGAGGAAATCCTTGCTGCCATCCGTGAAATCTCCGAGAAGCAGAACAACTCGAACAGTGAGGAGATTATTGCTGCCATCCGTGAAATTTCGGAAAAGCAGAACGATACGAACAGCGAGGAGATTCTTGCGGCAATTCGTGAACTGTCCGAACAACACAAGGCGGCCAACAATGACGATATGCTTGCTGCTGTGCGCGATATGTCCGAGCAACACAAGGGAATAGATAGTGAAGCAATTCTTGGAGCAATCCGTGAATTCTCAGAGCAACACAAGTCTACAAGTGTCGACGACATAACGAGTATCATCAAACAAGAGTTCGAGGAGCTCCGTCACTCAATGAACATGACTCTGGTCCGTGCGGAACCTACGGAGCCCAAAACGGACAAGGATGACATTATTGCTGCGCTGCACGAAAGATTTGACACCTTCAAGGACGAGCAAGCCCAGCCCAGAGAGGTTAGCGAAAGCGACGCCTTCACTAATGGTGAAGTGATTGAAGCCTTAAACGATGGCGTTGGCACCATTCGGGAAGACCTCGCAAAGCTCATGGAGAAGAATGTTGAGTTCGACTATTCTGAGCTCCTGGATGAGCTGAAATCAGGGCTTGGCAGTCTGAAGGCAGATGTTGAAATGCTGAGGCAAGCTCATAAAGAGAGTGAAGAAGTCGAGACGACTCGTGGAGGTGAACTGATGCTTGCTAGCAACACTCCACCCTCTGATTCCACCAGCAGCAACGATATTGAAGGTCTCAAGGCCCTTATCACTCAACTTCAAGTCAAAGTTGAGGCAATTGAGTCTGCTCCGCGCGCTGCAGAGGCTCCGGAAGACATGCTGAAGAAGGAGCACCTTGATGAAGTCCTCCTTGGACTACACGAACTTCAGAGCTCAGTAACAGGCATCGTTGCCCGTGATCAGCCTGCAGATGAAACAACAGCCAAGAAGGAGGACACAGACGCCATTGAAACCCTGCTGCGCAACACGAAGGCACAGCTTGATGAGATGACATTCCCTGCCCCTGACGAGATCGCAAGAGCAGAGCAACTTTCAAACCTTGAAGGTATCGTCAAGGAAACTAAAGAAGCCATGTCTGAACTTCGTACTCGATTCGAATCGGACGGCCCGACGAAGTCAGAAATTGGTACTTTGGAGACCCTGATGAAAGACATGTGGATTGCTCTCGATGAACTGAAGGGCAAGGGAACAGAGGAGGAAAATGATGCCGAGAAGTTGGTCAAGGCAGATCTGCAGACCGTGGAAGCGATGATCTTCGAAGTAAAGACGCAGGTCGAAGAACTCAAGCTTCCCGACATCGAGACATTGCCGACCAAGACCGACATCCAAGATCTTACGGCACTTGTTACTGAGTTCCGCGAGAAGGTCGATGCCGACAACGAGATGACCGGTCAAGCCTTCGATGCTCGGAAGGTTGAGCACGCCGGGCTTGCCGAGAAGATCGAGGAGGCTCGGTCTGTCGTGGAGGGGCTCGGAGACGAATTGAAGAGCAAGCTGGATGGTAGCAACGAGGGGCTCAGCGAGCTCAAGCAGCTACTTGAAGGCTTGGCAGCGTCTGCCGAAAGCTTCACGACGGTGGAGAATGTCAACGAACTCACGGAACTGATCAACCGCGAATTCGAGCGTGCCCGGGGCGAACAGGATGCGACGAAACTAGAGAAGGAAGAGCGGGATGCTGCTGCGATGGTCAAGCATGACGAGACTCGAGCCGCTATTATCGTTGAACTGGGCTCGAAGATTGACGAAAAGCTCGGTGAAATCGTGGCCAAGTACGACGAGGTCCAGTCATCTATCCAAAGTGCTATGGACTCCAAGTTCTCTGAGAGCGCGGAACGTGACAACGCGCATCTTGAGGCTGTTACCAATACCAAGGCTCTGGCCGAAGACATCAGGCTCGTCATTGGATCCATGGGCAACAGCGTTAATGAGGCTTGTGAGCGTATGTGCACGGATGCGCAAACCTTCTTCGAAAAGGTTGATGTGTCCTACAACAAGATGGAAGAGATGCACAATGAGGTCAAGACCCAACAGGAGCAGGCTCGCTCGGATCTCGAGCGTGCAGCAGCTGCAACCGATCGTGTCGAAAGCCAACTGCACGAGTTCCATCCTCAGGTGCTAGAGTCTATTCAGGAGATTCTTTCCATCGTCGGACAGCACTACGATCACTCCCAGAAATCGGCGCAGGACCTTAAGATGGATCTTTCTACAATCCCCTCTGCCATTACTCCGTTACTTCCTGCTTTGCCGCCGCCCGAGCCCGAGAAATACGATGATACTCCGGTTCAGGAAAAGCTCAATGACCTCCTCGAACGTGCTAAGAGCAGCCAAGTCCAAGAGACACTGAATACTCTCGTTGAACGCGTTACGAATGATCAAGTACATCAAAAGCTGGACGAACTTCTGACCCACACTACGAGTACTAATGGTCAGGTCTACGAGAAATTGAGCGAACTTCTGGACCATGCCACTAACTCTACCGGACCGGTCCACGATAAGCTTGATGTCCTCATCGACCATGCGACCAATAATGATCAGTCAGTTACGCAGATGATGAAGTTGGACGAGATGCACAAGGATATCATGGATACATCCCGCCGGATGAATGAAATGTTTGCCGCCCAGACCGCCATGGTGGCTGAAGACAACGAGCGGAGACGTAAGGAGGCCGAAGAAGCAGCGATTGCACTGGAGAGGCGCAACGCCCAGCGCGAGCAGGTTGAGGCAGAGATCTTGACCCTAAAGGAGGAGAAGGATTCTCTGCTGCACATCATCCAGAGCTTGAAGTCCGAGAAGGATGACCTTGCCAAGCAGACCACCAAGCTCAGCAAGGAAGTCGCTGGCTTGGAAATGGCACTCGAGCTCCGGCATGAAGAAATGCAAGTAATGGAAGATCGTGCAGACCATCTCGAGAAGCGGATCCTGGAAGGCGTTCTTGACCACGCTCGCAGTGTTCTCTTGAGCCGCCCGAACGGCATGAAGAAGGCGCGCGGATCTCGCGCCCGCGGGCCCAGTGTTGCCAGCAATGCCAGCACGGCGAAAGATGCCCGTAGCATCCTCGGCAGTAGCGTTGGGCTAGCGCTGAGAAAGCGAGCACAGAATGGGTCACAGGCGGGATCTGTCGCACCATCGACCACCAGCAAGGAACGGCGTATCTTCAGTTTGAGCAACGTTACAGGCAATCGCGGTGCAGGAGATCGGCAGGTGAGTGGCGCCAGTGGGTTTGCCAGTCTAAAGCGGAGCCATTCAGTTAGATCCAACGTCTCCCAGCGCAAGGCATCTTGGGGAGGCCGAAGCTCCATCGCCAATAAAGAAAACGAGGTCTTTCCGGAAGAAGATGGGGAAGAGAGTGACGCAGGCACGGAACGACGAACCAGCTACACAGGAACATATGCGGACAGCATGATCTATGGTACCAGTAGCCATGTCTCCGCCGATCGGCGGGTAAGTACCGCTAGCTCCACAGGGCTGCGTTCGGTCGCGGACGAACCGGAGGACTCCGAAGGGGAGGAGGACGCTCAGACGCCCAAGGCAGATGAGCCGGAGGATTTGGAGCTGGATGAGGAGGCCTCGAAGATGGTGGTCTACGGACAGCACAGCGATAGTGGTATTGGACCCGAGGTCACGAGTGCGGCGGCATGAAGCTCTAAGAGCACGAGGACTCCTCTCGGCTCTGCTGCATGACCCTGGTAATGAAGGGACGAGGGCAAGCAGCATGTTATGGAAGCCCTTCTGAAGCGAATCATCCGAGCATTTGGCTGAGCTGAGTGCTGTATAGATAGGGGGATGCTTGGTTTCAGGCATGAATCCGATAAGGGTTGGATACGGGGTACTTTCGTTTGTACTTTCCTATGTTTCTTACGACTGTTTATGCATGATGTACCTATGTTTTTTTTATTCAGCGAGGGAAGTTAATAATGAACTTGATATGCTGATATGAGGGAAAGCCCACCTGAGAATATTTCTTCTGTAGATGTTCGTAGTTGCCTGTAGATGAAGATCAAAGGAGCAACGAGTCACATGGGCAGCGGTCATGCAGCGCGGCTGAGTCAGCCCCAAATCCCCCAACGGATTTGCTTCTCGCGTCGCTTTTTGTGTTTTGGGCGGTTGGCTCCTTTGGTCCTTGCTGCATCAACTGTCGCTACTCGCTTCATCCTGGATGTGTGCATGCTTGCATCGGTTGCCGTCCTTGGCTGGCCCGACGGCGAGAGATAAATAGATCCTCGGTGCTGCCCCTGGCCACTCCTCATTTACTACTTCTCTCCTCTCGGTCGGTAAACTCCAACGTCTCCGGTCTCCACCATGGCTAGTTTCTAGACCAACTAACCTCACTAGTCTCCGCCCTCCTGCTGCTCCCTCCTCCTCTGTCTTGTTCTCCTGCTCCCCTATCTCCCCTCTGCAAGAGTGGATAATTTTCCGGTTCTCTCATCCTAACTTCTCTCCGCTTGGTCGGAGGAGCGGTCAACCGGCATGTTGGATCCTTTTCCACCCCCGCCAGCATGGCTGCGGGATTTCGTTGAGCCATGGGCGCTTCATTACAACGTTCCTGCTCTGACGGAGCATGCTCACGAGGTCATTATTGCTTTTGTCGGCTACCTTTTTATCCACTTCATCTTGTCCCCCGTTCTGTCTCCGGTGCTTTTCCCCAATCACTACCCGAAACTCAAACCCCGGACCAAGCTCAACTGGGACGTTCATGTCGTCTCGCTGGTGCAGAGCACCTTCATCAATGGCATGGCCCTTTGGGTCATGTTTGCCGATGAAGACCGGGCTTCTATGAACGCCTCTGAACGTATCTATGGGTACACTGGAGCCTGTGGACTGGTGTCCGCCTTCGCTGCCGGATACTTTGTTTACGATCTGATCGTCAGCACGATCTACGTTAAGCTCTTTGGGATCGGAATGCTTTTCCATGGCATTAGCGCCCTGTGGGTGTTCAGTTTTGGATTTGTGAGTTGTGACCTATTTCAGCTTTACAGTTTGCGTCAATAAGCTAATCATTTGGCTTGTGCTATCATCACAGAGACCATTCGTGAACTTCTACTCCCCCGTCTTCATCCTCTATGAGCTCTCCAGCCCCTTCCTCAATATCCACTGGTTCCTCGACAAGGTCAACATGACCGGCAGCAACCTGCAGTGGTACAATGGCATGATGCTTCTCTTCACCTTCTTCAGCTGCCGTCTCCTTTGGGGCACATACCAGTCCGTCGCCGTCTATCGGGACATGTGGTACGCCTTGAAACAGACCTGGGATGCCACTGCAGCTGCCACTCCCCTCGAACCCGTCGATCTCACCTCTCAAGTCTTCCAGGTCCGCGGAGGCAGCGGCAGTGAAATGGCTAAGTACGCCTCCTTCACCGCCGGCGGCGTCCCCACCTGGCTGGTCCTGACTTACGTGATCTCGAACGTGGTTCTCAACTTCCTGAACTACTTCTGGTTCTCGAAGATGGTCGAGACCGTCCTGAAGCGGTTCCGCGGGCCCGCCGAGAAGCCCGGACCGGCCGGTAAGCCCTCTAAGGAGGAGCAAATCAGCCATCTGAAGGAGGAGATCACGCAGAAGGTCGTCCTGGAAGCGGCCTCCAAGCTGGAACAGGAGGAAGGTAGCCCTTTCCTCGATGGAGTGTCTGAGGAGAAAGTCGCTTCGGCTGTCGACTCGGGGCTTACCGAGGAATTGAGGAAGAGGAAAGTCCAGTTGTCATCCTAGTCTGCTCCTTAACCTGGTTTTCGGAACCTGCTTCAATGCAGCAGCAGCAGCAGCAGCAATCCAAAGAGGAACAACATCACTCGCCATACCATTAGCCCTACAATAAACAGCCTCATAGCTCGCGAGGACATGTCTCACAGCTTGTTGACTTGAGATTTTACTCCCTCTCCACCCTACCACTGCCGACCAGATAGGTCAGCGAGACGGGCCCCCAAGCATCAGGAGCTATATTATTATATAACGCGACGTTATGTTATGGGAAAGCTAGTTGATTCGAAATCATGCATTCATGTCTTTCGATAAGGAGTTCATCTGGATAGGAGAATGGGTTTGCTCATTTATTCTGTTTTGTTCGATTTCTTTGTGCAGTTGCTATCTTGCTTAGATCTCAGTACAGTCTCAGAAATATAAATGAAACGAGGAACGGCATCCAATCATACATACCTACATTCATCATGATATATATATTTCACGGTCTCACATGAGAGTTACTAATTAGCAGTTACGGTTTCTTACTTACTGGAAATAGAACAGATACGAGTAAGATCTGTATTTCACTTAAAGCAACTGAATACATTATTGATGACAAGGGAACTAAAAGAGCTGAAAGAAGCAACCATCCCGAAATCAAAACCAACCAAGACAAAACACCACGAAAGCGCCCCCATCAAACAAGCCCTACTTAATCGACTAACTAAACTAGTATCGTTCGTAAGTTATTTTCTTCGCTGATCACCAACCACATTCCAAAATAATACACATGTCATATCACCGACTTAATACCACACCATCACCAACAATCTACCCTGTCAACTACCTAGTTCAAGAATCACCTCCCCATCGCCGCCTCCGGCTTAGCAAGCATATACCGCACCGCTTCCCTCGCCACAGTAGTATCCCAAACGCCATCCGTACCACCACGACGGAACTCAGGCCCACTAGCATCTTCGCCACCACCACGCGTCGCCTCTCCAAGAATAGTCTCCAAGTCTCTGCGCTGGGAATTGATCCAGCGGCGGACGAACGTAGCGGGATCCTTGCTGAGAGCCGTGTAGAAGGAGTGACGGGCGCGGGAGTGCGTCAGGGCTTGCACGATGAGGGCGACCTGGTCGTCTAGCGTGGCGATCTGGCGCATGGAGGCCGTGTATTGCGGGTTCTGGGTGAGGGCGAGCATCTTGGAGCGGAGAGGGTCTTCCAGGGCGACTTGGATGTCGTAGACGGTAGGGGTCGGGTCCTTGTGGTAGTCTTCGTCGACGCGGATGGTGTAGGGGAGGTGGATGGGGTCAATGGGGCTGGTGTGAGGGCCGATGCTTTCGGGGATTTGAGGGAAGAACATTTGGTCGCGGCCGAAGATCTGCGCGGTTGGGTCGGGTTAGTCTTGGATTATATCGGGAATGGGGATGGGGATGGGGAGGGGAGGTACCGATCGTAGACGATGGTCACAGCGGACGAGTCGCTTCTCTTCATCTTCTTGAAGGCCCATGGCACGGATGTAGTCCCAGATTCCGAGAACAATGCCGCTTCGTGTTTCTTCCTCTACGTCTAGTACTTCTGCTAGCTCTTTGCTTAGCTTGAACCGTTCTGGTGTCTCGTCGCGCACGAGACTGAATGTCACGTTCAGGTTCTCCTGTGACGCGCGGGTGAACTGCATCGAGTCGAAGTCTGCTGTGGGCGGCAGAGTGACAGTGTTAGGGGGTAATTGCGGTTTGGTCCAGGTGATTGGCTTGACTTCTTCCGGGCTGGCGGTGGAGGACTTATCGAAGTCGACGGTAATGGATTTGAAGAAGTGCGAGAAGCGCTGCTTGGTGCGCTTGTTGGACGACTTTTTGGTAGTGGCATTGGCGTTAGGTCCATCTTGCTCCATCGCGTCGCCGTTGTCCGTCTGCTCGGTAGCTTCGTCGTCACTATCCTCCGGGGCGGTCGGGTCGGTGTCGTCGTCCAGAAGACGTCCCTCGATGCGTACCTTGTACCGTCCGGAGCCGGGGTTGCTTCCGGGGGCGGCACCGTTGGCAGTCTGCCAGGGTTGGTTTTCGACAGTGTTCGAGATCCAAATGCGCATCGTGCGGTACTTCTTGACAGTCTTGCTGATGGAGTCTTGGATGTCCAGGCGCTTACGGACAATGGCTGCATCGAGGCGTTTCTCCAGGTCGCGGAGGCTCTTGTACTGCTGCACACCTTCGCCGATAATTACTTCCTCAATGCCGTCGGGGATGTTCTTGTCGGTGGGTTTGCGGCTGCGACGCAGGGCGGCGTCATTGGGAGGCTGCATGTTGCGCTGGGGAGGGATGTATTGAGGTGGAACGGCGTGCTGAGGCATGGGGACAGGCATCGCAGCAGCTATACGAGGGAGAAGGAGTTAGAAGAAATAGTTCCGCCGGGGTTTGATTGGGTTAAAGGGTGGAGGCTCACCAGGACCTGGAGGACCGCGACGAGGCGTGGCAGGGGAGCGTTGGGCGGCTTGTGGGGGGAACCCACGGCCGTAGTTGGGTGGGATCTGGGCATTCATGGTTGGTCCGTGATGAGACGGTGAGGCCGCAAGGGAAGATCCGCGAATTGGAGGATGGAGATCCTTGGGGCGATGAGACAGACCGCGCAGGGCCGGAGAGATGGGCGTGTATTGCTGGGCGGACGAACAGAAGCAAGTCACTTGCTTTGCCGGCCTCTTCGCGATTCTTTTGCCGCGGTCGCGCTATTCCTCTTTGGGATGGACCAGCAACCACCAGTTCATCGCTACATTCTACATATCCTCATAACATTCTACTAACGAAATTTCCTACTTTATATAAGAACAACAACTCTCATATATTCATTTGTAGTAATGCTGTTTCATTTCCAAGCCATTAACTCAATAACCCCCGCATCAGTTGCCGTTTCTTACTCTAGCAGCGATGCTTGATTAGTGTACAGCTCTTCCACCACATTGCTCAGCTTCTCGATCGTGTCCAACGCAGCATCGTATGCCTGGTCCCGCTCCGTCTCATCGTAGACAATCAGGCATCCAGCCCCCTGGTCGAGCACTCCAATAATCACCTTGTCCAGGATCATCTGGGAGAGCTTCCGCTCCACCTGCTGCGTGTCCAGCCCAACCATCTTAGCAATGTGGTCCAGCTCGACCCGGCTGAAAGGTTCAATAACCTTGATCAGGTTCTGCTCCAACATGGCATCGTACAATCTGCGGAGGTGGTTGCGGATGAATGTATCACTGCCCAGCTCGAACCGGTAGTCCGAGAGCGCCTTTTCGTACTCCTCCAGGGACCGGTTGGCATGTGCACGCGCCACAGCCTTCATGGCCTCGAGTCGCGGGCTGGCATACTTCTGAGCCTGCTTCGATCCCAGCAAATTTGTCACATCATCCACCAGGTTCAACATGATCTTGCACAGCAGCATATATTGGAGGGCCGCAGTGGCCTTTTCTCCCTCATCGAGGGAGCTGTACCCTTCCAGAGCCTCAATGAAATAGGAGAATGACGTGTTGAAATCCTTGTCCTCTGCGTGTAGCATACCACTCTGCATGTCGAGACCGGCCTGCAGGTTCGGCGGCGTGTAAACGGAAGCGGCCGATGTCCGGGCTGCCGTCAAGGCAGCACGTGCCTTGGCCTGGTTGCCCAATGCATGGTACACCCGCGACTCCAGCAGCTGCACCTCAACCAGCATGAGCTTGTCATCCAGGCGCTTTAGCTCGCGGAGGAGGGAGTTGATGAGGGTGAGCGCATCGTAGTAGGTCTGTTTCTGCATGTAGATAGCTACAAGGCGAGTCTGGAGGTTCTGACGAAGGAAGGACCTCCGCTCGGCGATGGCCCATTCAATGCATGATTGGATGACGGAAACTTGGATATCGAGTGTGTTCGGGATCTCGCTGAACAGGTCCAACAGCTGGCGGACTATCAGAGGACGGGTGGTCAGTAACCCTGGAAGCAAAACATCATCTCTGTCAATGCTACATACCCAGCTTAGCTGTCTTTGCCTTGGCAAATGAAGAGAAGGAATCGCGGCTGGTCTTGATGAGTTCGGCAATCTCGTGGGGCTTCTTCTGGTCCCGGTAGAGCTCTCCCAGCAACACCAGGGCATTCTCGTAATCGCGCGATGAGGCCTCAGACGAGCCGGTACCTTGCGCAAGGATTTCCTTGAGGATGCTCTCGGCCTTGGAAGGGTCGCTCTTCACGAGACCCCGGGCTTCGTCTATCCGCCCAGCGGTCGTCGAAGAGGGTGCCATGACTAGATCGGGGCTGTGAGGGGCGGCGGAGGAAATCTGGAGGGATTGCGGGTAGTTCTAAATCTGCCAACGAAGTGACAGGTAATGCACAGAGCGGGGAGGCCCTAGACACGATGAGAGATGAGATGATGAGGTATAGAGGACGATGGCAGGACAGGAAGCTTACAGGTTTGGCTATCGTCACTGGCGGTTGGAGCTGCAGCTGCCGCCCTCACCGCCCGCGGCTTGGCGAGCCAACCAGAATCGGCGGTACCCGCCCAGTAGAAAAAAAGCGCCTGGAAATTTTATGTCCGATATAGTTTTAGTTTTCTTCCCTCCAGCTTCCTTTGCAGAGAAAACCACCGGACGCCATGGTAAGTATATCCAAAATGTTTCATCGTCTTCCAAATAGATGCTAATATACCTATCAGAAAATCAAAGCTCTTTCTCGTCCTACTTCCTCGCAACAGGCTCCGGGAACCGCTGTCGTTCGACAGCCCCGAAACCTCGACCCGGCGCAGCATCCATTCGAACGGGCTCGTGAGTATACCCGTGCTCTCAATGCTACCAAGCTAGAGCGCCTGTTTGCTGCGCCCTTCCTGGGCCAGATGGGCGACGGCCACGTGGACGGTGTGTATACCATGGCCAAGGACCCAGGCTCTTTGGAACGGTTCGCCAGTGGTAGTGGTGATGGTGTGGTCAAGGTGTGGGATTTGACCACTCAGGGAGAGGTGTGGAACACCCAGGCACACGACAATATCGTCAAGGGTGTCTGCTGGACCCCCGATCGGAAGTTGCTCTCTTGCGCGAGCGACAAGACCATCAAGCTTTTCGACCCGTACAACTCGGCACCCGAAGCACCACCGCTAGCAACCTACCTGGGCCAGGGCGCTTTCACCTGCCTCACGCACCATCGGGACCTGCCATACTTCGCCGCCTCTTCTTCTCAGATCTCTATCTACGATCTCTCCCGTCCTTCCTCCACTCCGTCCCAGACCCTCCACTGGCCCACCAACGTCGATACCATCACCTCCATCGCTTTCAACCAGACTGAGACGTCCATCCTTGGTTCGACCGGTATTGATCGCTCGATTATCATGTACGACCTTCGGACATCGTCCCCTCTACATAAAATGGTTCTGCGCCTGGCGTCGAACGCGATCTCGTGGAATCCGATGGAAGCATTCAACTTTGCCGTTGCCAACGAAGATCACAACGTCTACCTGTTCGATATGCGCAAGATGGATCGCGCATTGAACGTGCTCAAGGATCACGTCGCCGCTGTGATGGATGTGGATTTCAGTCCCACTGGTCAGGAATTGGTCACTGCCTCTTACGATCGAACGATCCGCTTGTGGAACAGATCCACGGGCCACTCTCGCGACATCTACCACACCAAGCGTATGCAACGGTATGTATTTCACTTTCGCTCTCCTTATCCAAGCAATTACAGTGCTGACTTCGTTCTACAGTGTCTTCTCCGCCAAGTTTACCCCCGATAACAAGTACGTCTTGTCCGGCTCCGACGATGGCAACATCCGACTTTGGCGCGCAAACGCATCCGACCGCAGCGGTGTAAAGAGCGCTCGTCAACGGGCCAAGCTCGAGTACGACCAGGCCTTGATCCAGAGATACTCGCACATGCCGGAAATCCGCCGAATCCGACGCCAGCGTCACGTGCCGAAGCCGATCAAGAAGGCGCGCGAGATCAAGCGGGAGGAGCTGATGGCGATCAAGAGACGCGAGGAGAACGTGCGCAAGCACACCAAGAAGGAGAACCTGCCCAAGAGACAGAGCGAGCGCGAGAAGATGATCCTGGCCAAGGAGCAATAGATGTTCTGCCTGGACCGTCCATCTGGAGCATCGTGCGGAAAGGCTGCGCTCAGAGACCGAGTACATTGTGTCTCAAGTATATACATTGCATGGACATGATACAGTTGGGGTATATTCTATTACAGCTGTTGTTCAGCTTCGTCGTCAGTCCTCTTTCACGTGATCCAACTCAGTCTGCAATTGCTGGCTGGACGAATCAGCCCTGTCGGCTTTGGACGACGCTTGTGCTACTGCGCCGTCAATCCCGCTCAGGTACCGCGCCAACCGCTGCACGCTCGCCGGCAACACCGCATACCAGTTCACCAGCATGGCAAACGCGGGCAACCTTATCACGCCACCCCTGCCGCTGTCGACAGCCGAGACAATAGCCTGGGCCACCTGGACTGGCTCCAGAACGGGCGCAAAGAACCGGTTTGGTGTCTGGACGGATTCAAACAGCGGCGTTGAGATCTGGCCCGGCTCCACCAGAACCATCTTCACTTTTGCCTCGTCCCCGGATTGGCGAAGTTCGGCCTCGAGCGAGCGATGCAACGCGCTCAACCCAGCCTTACTAGCCGAGTAATCCGCCAACCCAGCCGCACATAGCTGCCCGAGCACGGAACTCACTGTGGCAATGGTGCCACCATCCGGAGCAGCCAGCATATAAGGCAAAAATACCTGATAGGCATGAACGGCGGCGAGTAAATTGGTGTTGATAGTTTTCTGGAATGCCTCGGGAGAGAGCTGTTGCAGAGGCAGCCCGTTGATTCTTGCAGCTGCGCAATGGATCAATATGGTAGGAGTACCCAACTATCCCGCAATCAATCAATGAATAGTTAGCCATCATCAATATACCCATATCCATACCTTTCTTCTTCCCCTTTGTACACAATAATAGGAAATTATACATACCTCCTGCCTCACCCTCCCCACAACCCCCTCCAAAACCCCCCTATCCGAAACATCACAAACATAACTCCCTCCCAACCCCATCTCCTCCACCTCCTCACCCGCTATCCCCCGAATATCCAAAACCGCTACCGTGGCGCCGCGAAGCGCATATATCCTCGCAATAAGTAATCCCAACCCGCTCGCTCCGCCCGTCACGACCACCACTTCATTGGAGAGATCGACTGTGCGTGGAGCTCCGTATGCTAGTTGCTGGTTGAGTGTGCTTAGAATGTAGATGAGGGTGAGGAGGGCGGCGTAGGCGAAGGCGATGAGGAAGGGGACGGAGGTGTAGGGGGTTGCTTGGGCGCGGAGGCACAGGAGAAGAATGTAGGATGGGATGGGGTGGAGGATGGTGCGAGTGAGAGTTGTGAGGAGGAGGTCGAGGGTTATGGGGGGGTTTGAATTGGAGGTGTTGGTGGTGGTGGTTGTGGGTTGGACGGGGGTGGTGTGGATGAGTTTGGGGGTTGTTGAGGTGGCCATTGTTGGTGTAGGTGTTAGGGATGTTGGGTTGAGAGGGTAAGTGGGCTTGGGGGCATGGTAGGAGGGGGCGGTTTGTGTTGTGTATAGCAGTGGTTGTTGTGGTCGTGATTGCGGTGGTGAGTGGTGTTTTGCGGAGGCTGCTGCTTCTGTGATGTGTTGGGGTCTGTGATTGGTTGGTTAGGAGCTGTCGGCGCTTAGATAGGGGGTGTGATAGCTGATTGAAGGGGAAGGGCTTACTGGGTGAGATTGTCAATGAGGGTTGACGGTAGACTTCTAGATTGTAGTGTCTCAATATTGGAGATCCTAACAGTTGGAGCTTGGAGGGAGTGAGGAGAAAGAAGCACTGGCCAGACGATTGCGATGTGGGGCTGCGGATGGTTCAGTTCAGTTCAGTTCATGGCCGAGTTAAGGTTGTGCAGAAGCTATGCATAGAGCGTTTGCCTTAATTCTCTAGATCGAATTTGCAATTGATTCTTGAAAGTTCAAATATACAAATATGTTCACATTGCCGTCCGCTGTTACCTAAGAGCCCATGGGCGTCCCATGATCGGGGATACATACAAGTGCGGCGAGTTCCGCTCTCACCCGAAACAGCACAATCACGTTTCTATCACTCACAACACTGAACACAATATAATATCATATACCAAATATGCCTCCGCCTACCCTTACACCCGTCAAGCGTATTCAGAATGTCCGCCTCCCCGGCAGAGATTCAACCTGGGACATTGCCATCTCGCGCCCCCATGATACTCCCCACAGCATCATCACATCCATCACCCCGCACCCCAATGCTCAATCAGATCAGACCGCACCACTCGCCCTCCCAGCTTTGACACACCCACACATCCACCTGGATAAAGCATTCATTCACAACTCCCCCGAATATGCAAATCTTCTTCCCTCCACCGGCTCCTTCGCCGAAGCGTTATCCTTTACCACGACAGCGAAGCAGCAATTTACGTGGGAGGATCTCCTGAGACGAGGAGAATGGCTGATTGCAGGTTCTGTCTCTGCAGGGGTCACGGCGATGAGGGCATTCGTGGAGGTAGATCATACTGTAAACCTCACCTGCCTTGAAGCTGGAATCGCCCTCAAGGATGAGTGGAAAGAGGCATGCGCAGTGCAAATCGTGTCCTTTGCGCAGGACCCGATATTCTCGGGTGAGCACGGGGACCATAACCGTCAGCTCATGGAAGATGCGGTGCGACGGCCGCAGGTGGATGTCATTGGGACGACACCGTACGTTGAGTCGTCGGTTGATGCATCGAAACAAAATATTACATGGGCCATTGAGCGTGCCCTAGAGTGCAGAAAGCATGTCGACTTCCATCTCGATTATAACCTCGATACCGGGAAGGAAGCACTAGTATGGTTTGTCCTGCGCACGCTGAAGGAGAAGGGCTGGACATTGCAGTCAACGGATAAGCGGGTCATGCTGGGGCACTGCACGCGGCTGACGCTGTTCAGCGATGAAGAATGGGCGCTTCTTGCACAAGAGATCCGAGGCAATGACCTTCCGGTCAGCTTTGTTGGGCTACCGACGAGCGACATGTATATGGCCGCTCCACCATCCTCGAAGAGCCATGATCGACCACGGGGTACATTGCAGGTTTTGGAGATGATAAACAAGCACAGTTTGGACACGGTGATTGGGATCAACAACGTTGGTAACGCATTTACGCCTTGGGGCTCGGAAGACCCCCTGTCGTTGGCGTGTCTTGGAGTGGGTATCTATCAAGCTGGGACCAAGGCAAATGCCGAGCTATTGTATGAATGCGTGTCCACCAGAGCTCGCGCAGCAATCGGGCTATCGCCACCAGAGGCTAGCCTTTCTTTGAATCAGGGAAGTCGTGCAGATATCCTGCTGTTTTATGACGTGGACGACACTGGTAGTAACGTGTCAAGACCGCGACATGGTGTTGCAGGCATCGTCTGGGACCCTCCAGCGAAGGCTAGTAGGGAGCTCGTAGTTGGTGGCCAGCTTAAGGCTTCTCCATGTTCAATATGTCCGAAATCTGCGTTTTGCTTCGCGTAGCGGCGAGTTGTCGGGAGGCGTCGTCTTTGGCGCATGGAAGGTTGCACAGCAGATAGTGTATTATATCGCTAAACCAAAGATCCACATGCTTCAGATAAGTATACTCCGCCAGACCACAAAGCGATGGAGGTGATCTAAAAAAATCTATGACGTCAAGTGCTCAGTGTTAAGTGTGAACTCAGAAAGAGTTGAACGTAAGGACAGGGGAGGTTGATGCTGGTGTCATGTTCCCCACACAGGAACGATATCATTCATTTGAGCGCGTACCTGCGCAGGTCCGTGTAGCGAATAGCTGAAGGTAGGACAAGCAGGGTCTTCGCGCATAATATCCATGTCATCCACATTAAGCGATAGCCGGAACCCGTTCCCAGCGCGTGGATACAACCGGTGCTCCTGGAATTCATATTCCGAGTCGTCATCAGAGATCTCCTCATACTGCCTTCGAGTTGTTGATGAAGATGTAGCTTCGGGTGCAGAATCCTCATTTTGTTTGTTCCCTTCAGTAGATGCAGACGCGGAATCCCTTGTATCATTGCTTGTCGAGACATTACCCGACACGGATGTCGACGGAGTCGGGGCATCGGAGATCGGTAGACGAAAAGCAAACTTTGAAGACTGAAGGTCCCTCATGTTCTCAGGAAACATCGGCAATATCGGGTTGTTGTCCGAGATAGTCATCAGCAGCTCAACGAGGGTGGCGTGCGAAAGACTTGACAGGAAGCCCCGTCGCTCATCGGCCGAAAACTCCGCTGCACCAACCTCGCCTTTAGGGATTGATAATAGAGGATAATTAGGGACTAATGGCCCAGATGTAAGGTTGGGATTGCTCCGCACGACCGTTGGTTGAATGACAGAAATTTGGACAGGTCGGCATTCTCGACAGAACCATTCCTTTTCCTTGACCGCAACAACGTCTGCGCCAATAGGAGGGTCGTGACACCACTGATGCCATGCAGCATTGCACTCGTCACAGAATACGATCGAATTGCTCAATGGGCTATGGCCCCTTTGACAATGCAAGCAAATGATGATCGCATCTTTCCCTCGGCGGTGGATACGTTTACGCTTTCGTGCGACGACTGCATTATCAGACGCGTCCACCGAGTTGCTTACCTCCTTGGCTACCGCAGGAGTTGACGGCGCAGGTACATATAACGAAGGCCGGTTGACCAGGCGGCCGGATTTCGTTTGCGTCGCTGTTGGTGCCACATCTGATTCGTCGCTACTGGAGTCTCCGGCCCTTATGATATCTTCCCCGTCACTATCGTTATTTCGTCTGCGCTTCTTGCCGCGCTTGTTACCATTTGCCGCACCCTTTCGCTGGCGCGAGCCAGCTGCTGCTTGCGGTTTCTTGGGCTTGGCTGCCGTCTGTGGCTGTTGTGGTGTAGGCAATGAGGTTGATGCTGGTGCTGCACCATCTGACAATGTCCCATTTGGTTTAGGGGCGATTTTGATTGCAGCTGTGGGCTCTGCTGGTATGGATGCAGTCAATGGTGTTGGTGCTGAATTAACACCGACCGGCGTTGTGCTCGGCTTTGGAGCGATATTGACTGGAATTGGAGACGCCGACTGCCGTGAAACTGCATTGACGGGCGTTGAACTTGTTGGTTTTAGGTCGACATTGACCGGGACTGGAGACCCCGAACTTGCTGGTGATGCGTCGACCGATATTATGCTGGGTGGTTTGGGAGCGAGATTCGGTAGGTTTGTAGGCTTTACTATGTCTCCAGCGTTTCCTTGAGGCACTGGGGAGGCGGCCTGAGGGACCGCCGGTGGCGCCACATTGTTCGAATACACGAACGGCGCCGTAGGCAATTCAATAATTGTAGAAGAAGCCCTCATTTTTCCCATTTTTGAGTTGCTATTCTGGCTTTCGAACGTCCGAGTGACTGTTGATGGGTTCCATGTAACAAATTTATCATTATCATTTCTCTGCTGCGGTCCTTTGAGATTCCCGGTAACCCGCGCCAGTAACTCGGTAGTAGCTGCAGAGAGCCGGGGGATCTCGATCCTCTTCGAGGGAATGCTCGACGGCCGTCCGGGTAAGGAGGGAGGAAGTCCCAGGGAGGAACCAATGCTGATGCTGCGCGAGGAATCCGAAGGGGGTGAGCCAGAAATGGTGGTAGTGGTATGGAGTGTTCCGTGGGCTGATGAAGGCGCTGTTTCTATAGACGCCTGGGAGGAAGGAGCTCCATTGTGCGGTGACATATCCCCAATCCGGGTCGATGTGCACAGTTGCTCAGTCGCCTTGATAGACTTGCTCAGAACACTGCATCTGAATCCTTACAGTTATCGGAGTGCGACGAGAGAAGTCATCATGAACGGACCCAGATTTATATACCATCACGTGATCGTGAGGAATCCATCCCCCGCGCCCTTGACAGAACCGCCTTTCATCGTCAAAAGCAATGATGCTCCTTAATTGTGTAATTGCCAGCGGCACACTGTTCAATATGCATGGCTGACTTGATGATTTCTCTTCTATCTGTCTCTATATGATATCCGGGACTCTTCAGCGCGGACTAGCCGGTAGTCGCACAAAAACTAACCATGTAGGGATCATTCCTGCAGATGCGTGACCTTCCGGACCACCGGCTCTTCAGCGCAGTCTAGAGCAATCCACTGGCGAAGTGGGTCGAACAGAGCTACCATAGGATATAATCTATGCTACTACGCCATCTTTCTTCAACCGAGCAATATCGTCCTTGCCATACTCGAGTAACTCCCCCAATATCTCGTCCGTATGTTGCCCGAGGGTTGGGGGCGGTGTCCGGATGCCAGGGGTTGCGTGGGAATACTTGATGGGTGTATTCACCAACTTGATGGGACCGCAGGCTGGATGGTCAATTTCTGCAACCATGCCTCGTGCTTGGACTGCATATACATTATCAGCGGATTGATAAACTCCCTGGAGACATTCTAGACGTATAACGTACCGTGAGAGTGGTTCAACGTTCCCTGAATATCATTGACTGCGGCATAGGGCATGCCGCTGCCCTCCAAAATCTCAAGCCACTCTTGCGTGGTCTTTTGCTTCACAGTTTCCTCAATCAGGCCATCAATATCCGTACGATGCTTTACTCGATCACTGTTGGTAACGAATCGGGGATCGGTCTTCCATTCCGGGTGTCCAAGTCGGTCGCACAACACACCAAACAGCCTATCGTTCCCGCCTCCGAAAAGAATATCGCCATCGAGCGTCTTGTAGCTGCGGTAAGGCACAATGGATGCTTACAGACAGTCAGTAGCTATAAGTCCAACACATGGTATAAGCTACTCACGGTGTGCGGTTCCCCATCTTCCCGAATCCTTCTTGCCACTGATAAGAGCGGAACTGGCAATATTCGCCAATGTCGCAACTTGACAGTCGCTCAGACACGCATCGATATGCTGTCCCTTACCAGTCCTCGCCCGCGCAAGCAAGGCGGCCATAATGGCATTCGAGGTGTACAGGCCAGTCGTCAAGTCGGTCACAGCAACGCCAACTTTCACCGGCTCGCCCTCTCTACTACCCGTGATATGCATCAAGCCCATCTCCGCTTCAACCATGACATCGTACCCCGCACGATTGCTGTATGGCCCGGTCTGACCATATCCGGTGATGCTGGCGTAGATAAGTTTGGGATTGATAGAGCGCAGAGTCTCATAATCCATGTTATATTTCTTAAGGTTACCAGGAAGGTAGTTCTCGACGAGGACGTCACATTCTTTCGCCAGCCGGTGTAGAATCTCAACACCGGACTTATGAGCGAAAGACAAACCGATTGATTTCTTGTTGCGATTTACCTATACACAGTGGTCAATTGCGCTTCTGGAAGTAGGGCAGTAGCGTAGCGCATAAACATACTCCAAGATAGTAGGCACTCTCTCCTGGGCCTTCAGACCCATCCGTGTACGTGGCGTACGGGGGACCCCAAGCTCGAGTATCATCACCGCGCACGGGGTGTTCGATCTTAATAACATCCGCTCTGTACGTTACCATTCCAGTCAGCATCCCCGCAGTCTTCTGAGTAATTGTGCAGATGCCGAAGAACATACCCTAAATCTCCCAAAATCTGGGTACAGTATGGCTGCGGGGAATGTTAGTTACATCTCCAACCCGGCGCTGTTGGAGACGACAAGCCTACTACTCACACCAGCCAAAACTCGTGTCATATCCAAGACTCGTATACCTTTCAGAGGAAGTGTATCATCAGAAACAGCAGAAGAATAGCTGCGCCATTGCGTTGTCCGCCGGGGAACATAAATGCTGCGACGGGCAATGCAAGCCCGCTGTACCCTCAGTGCGGCCGTGGGATTCATGACTGAATTGGAACGCTGGCTTAAATATACGATTTCAAAGACTATGATAAACCATAAAGATAATGATAGTTGGAGCAATATTCAGTCTAGAAGACAGTGGTAGATAAATAAAATCGCCAATGCAAGGTTCAATTAAACTACAGGGGAGATCAAGTAGAAGCGCTGGCTCTCATTCGGGGACCTCGCCGACGGAGCTTCGCAGCCGAGGTCAAGTCCGCTTTCCGCTCGACTTTCCTTCTTCAACCGCTTGATCCGCCCGCTTCCACGGTATCGCATCTACAATATCATATTAATATCCATTTCCACCATGTTCACCGGTCTCGTTGAGAAGATTGGGAGTGAGTCTCTAATCCTGCGGCCATGACCACATAAACAGCAAAACTAATCACTCTCCTCTATCGCAGCGGTCTCGTCCCTCGAGCCTCTCGATACCTCGTCAAGCGGGGGCGGGGGTACATCATTGACTATCACGGACTGTGAGGAGATCCTCACAGATTGCCATCTCGGCGACAGTATAGCCGTCAATGGTATGAACTGCATTGCATGATACCAATTGACACACTCACATTCATTCCCATTGCACTTGATCCCTTTTTCCTCTGCTCTTCCCTCGCCATCGTTGCCCCTCCCCCTTACCCCCACTCCCCCCCAAAATCTCGAAACAATAACCCCCACCAAACCCCCCCGAAAAGAGAAATCCACCAAGCCAACATAATCGCATCAAACCAGGAACCTGCCTTACAGTAACGGCCTTCGACAAAACCTGGTTCAAGGTCGGCGTCGCCCCCGAAACCCTCCGCCGCACAAATCTCGGCTCCCTGCAGACCAACTCCCGCGTGAACCTCGAACGCGCCGTCCTGGGCGAAACGCGCATGGGCGGTCATCTCGTGCAGGGCCACGTCGACACCATCGCTAAGATCCTCTCCGTGACGCCGGAGGGCAATGCGCTGGTGTTCCGTATGCAGCCGCGCGATATCGGCGTGATGCGGTATATCGTGGAGAAGGGATATGTTACGCTGGACGGGGCTAGTTTGACTGTGACGAATGTTGTGGATGGCCAGGAGGGATATTTTGAGGTGATGCTTATTGCGTACACGCAGGAGAAGATTGTCACGGCGGCAAAGAAGCCCGGGGATTATGTGAATGTGGAGATTGATATTGTGGGCAAATATGTTGAGAAGAGTGTGCAGGGGTATTTTGCTGGTACTGCGGGTGGGGATATGAAGATGTTGGAGAAGATGGTAGAGAGGATCGTGGAGGAGAAGTTGAAAAGGTAGGTCCGTGTTGTAATTACTGCATTAGTAGGGAGGGAAGAGATGACCATGCATGATGTTTACGAGCATTTAGCTATATGTGAAATAGTGATATGAATGAAGAAAATTCTTTTGCTTCCATGTACGAGTATAAGGAATAGGCAGGATTGTGGGTATATTTTGGTACTTCTATCGGTCATGGCCAGCCTGCTGAACGTCACGAGAGACTTCCGGTCATGGCTCGCAGCATTCTGATCGAGGCTCTTATATATCTCAGTCCGTCTCGTCCGTGGCCACCTACTCCCAATGCCAACGGCAAAGGGCACAAAGAGTCACGTTCACCATCGCAGGCTTCGTCACAGTGAAATGTAACTGGTCTCCACCATCACAGCCTCGCAGGCATGTGCCCAGTTCTCAGGGTCAATGTCCGAAGCAAGTAATGCAGTGGAATGTTGATGTAGCAGCTGGGCTATGAGCTGCTTGACATTAAGCATCCGGTTCAAGGTGATGAAGGTGCGGCTGTTTACTCCTCCATCGATTCGTCCTCGTCCTCAACCTCATCCTCATCCTCATCATCGTTCTCTTGCTCCTCCGCATTGTCATCTTCGAAGTCATCACTGAGCCATTCGTCCTCGTCATCCATATCAACATCGTCTTCATCGTCGTCTTCAACCTCCTTGCCTTCGGCTTTAGCTTGAGCCTTGGCTTGCTTCTTCTTCTCAATGTTTGCCTTTTGTTCCTTCTTTCTTTGCTCCTTCTCCTTCTTCTTCTGGTCCCAGTTCTTGTCCAATTTGGTGACTTCATCCTCAGACTTCTTGATGAAATCGTGCCACATCACGCGACCTTCGCAGAGGCCTTCTTCAACCTTAAGCAAGCGAAGCTTCATACGAGGGCCCAGCTCAACCAACTTGACCGCCCGCTTCTCGACTCCTGGAGCATTGCTCAGCTTCTTCTGTGCCTTCTCCTTCTCTCCAGCCTTCATGCGCTGCAGTTCACGCTTCGAGAGAACCTTCTTCGTGGTGCTCTCCGCCACCTCAACTTCAGCATCCGTGTCCATTTCCGTTTCACTGGCCGAGGTATACCCAGCAGCCGACGGATCCAGCAGATAATCCGCCGCATCCTCCAGCTTACCCAGGTTGGGCACAGCAGCTCCCTTCTTCTCCCTGTTCCGGATTTCCTTGGGATCAAGACGGCGAATGCGTTTCGAAACACCGGTCTTCTTCGTAGTAATGGCGTAATGACGGAGGTTCAACACATAGTGTTCTTCTTCCTCACCCTCGGGGGCGAGTTCACGGTTCAAGAGCATTACACGGCGAATGGAGGAGAGGGGAGTGGCTTGAGGGTTGATCGGGGGGAAGAGAGATTGGAAGATGGTCGTTGAGAGACTCTCCAGACGCTTAGGTACCTTAGAGTCCTCAGTGGCGTTGGGAGAGTTGAAGTTGTTCATGACCAGCAAAGGAGGCGTCTTGTGATCCTGACCACCACCTCTCGGGCGCTTCAAAGCTTTCTCAACATCACGGCATAGGGAGTAGTTTTCCACCTGGAAGTGCAAAGTCGGACCCCGGGGCGTAAGCGCCAAACGCATATTCGTGTTTCCAGTCGCCGACTTGGAGAAAAGCATAAGATGTGTGACTCCAAGGGGACCAGTCATAGTCGTGTAATCCCTTAGTCTGTTTGATTTGCGTTCCTAAAATCCAATACCATTAGTCGTAGTCCAGCTGAGAACGGGAAAGAATTCAAAGCTCACCTTCAATCTCACAGCCGTATCCGGCTCCATCATCGTTCGCACATCTTTGACCAACTGGCTCACACTAGCACCGACTTCTGAAGCGCCGACGCGGATAACCATCGACTTCGGAGTCTTGCTCATAGATGCGGCGCCGCCTTTGGCAGCAGCAGCCGTGGCATTTTGCGCGCGAACATGAGTGCGCTTCTTAGTACGTGCCTTCGCCATGGTGACAAAAGCCTGAGGATGAAAAAGAAAATAACGGAGGAATAAACAATCGCTCCGGATGGATGTGCCTGGGCAGTGACTTTTTTTCTGACCCGAAGAAAAAGTATGAGCGGAGCAAAGCCGCGGAGGAGCCCGGATCAACGATTTTGCGGTGCCTAAAATTATACTTATTTTACTTTCGCAATGATGTCGACAAGTTTTTGAATTTTCGCTGCTGCCAGATAATTCCATTTCTACACGATAAAAATGCCTGGAGTCAAGAAGCGCAAGGTCGCCCGTGAGGCACCTGCGCCTGCGCCCGCACAAGAGAGCGATGTCGAATCTTCCACCCCAGAGCAAACGCAAGAACCAGAAGCACAAGAGCAAGAACAAGAAGAGGGACAGTCCAAGACATTCAAGGAACTAGGAATCATCGAACAGCTATGCGAGGCTTGCGAGACCATGGGCTACAAAGCACCTACACCTATTCAGCGGGAGTCGATTCCTCTGGCTCTTAAAGGCCGTGATTTGATCGGTCTTGCAGAGACCGGAAGTGGAAAGACGGCAGCGTTTGCTCTTCCCATCCTCCAAGGTACGTTTCCAGCTACAACAATCTTGTATCGCCTTTTATCGGCGCTCCCAAATATGACTAGATCAAATAACTAACATCACCCCACAGCCTTGATGGAAAAGCCCCAACCCTTCTTCGGCCTCGTCCTCGCCCCAACCCGAGAACTCGCCTACCAGATCTCCAAATCTTTCGAGTCCCTAGGCGCCAGCATGGGTGTGCGAAGCTGCGTCATCGTCGGTGGCATGGACATGGTCTCTCAGTCAATTTCCCTCGGCAAAAAGCCCCATATCATCGTGGCCACCCCTGGTCGTCTTCTGGACCACCTCGAGAACACCAAGGGCTTCTCCCTCCGCAACCTGAAGTACCTGGTGATGGACGAAGCGGATCGACTTCTTGACATGGACTTCGGACCCCTCCTCGACAAGATCCTGAAAGTCCTGCCCCGTGAGCGCCGCACATTCCTCTTCTCTGCGACGATGAGCTCAAAGGTCGAATCCCTCCAACGTGCCTCCCTCTCCAATCCGCTCCGTGTCTCTGTCTCCACAAGCAAATACCAGACCGTCTCGACTCTCCTCCAATCTTACCTCTTCATTCCCCAGAAGCACAAGGACCTGTACCTTGTCTACCTGTTGAACGAATTCGCCGGCCAGAGTACTATCATCTTCACGAGGACGGTGAACGAGACGCAGAGACTTGCGTTCTTGCTTCGTGCGCTTGGCTTCGGCGCTATCCCGCTGCATGGACAGCTTTCACAGTCTGCTCGTCTCGGTGCGCTGGGCAAGTTCCGTGCTCGTAGTCGGAATATTCTTGTCGCGACGGATGTGGCTGCTCGTGGTTTGGATATTCCGTCCGTTGATGTTGTGCTTAACTTTGATTTGCCGGGTGGTATGTATACCCGGTCTTCTGCTATGGGAGTATTATTGGAGTCGGCTAATGTTTTTATGTATTAGATTCTCCCAGCTATGTCCACCGTGTCGGACGTACTGCCCGTGCTGGAAAGAGTGGTCTTGCTATCAGCTTTGTCGCCCAGTACGATGTTGAGGTTTGGCTGAGGATCGAAGGTGCTTTGGGCAAGAAGCTCAAGGAATACGACTGCCCTAAGGATGAGGTCATGGTGCTTGGTGAGAATGTCGCGGAGGCGCAACGGCAGGCGATTATGGATATGAAGGATTACAATGAGAAGAAGGGAAGCAGGGGCAAGAAGTTCGGTGGGAAGCGTTCCCGGGATGAGATGGATCAAGAGGAGGGTTAGGCGTGAAGTGTTTAAACCTCTTGGCGCCGCATTTTACGAAGTTAATACCCAAAATTGATGATTGTTCGCCTGCTTGCTGTGTCGACATTTTCATAAAAGTCTAGATGTGCTCCAATCAACTATAATGCTAGAAGAATGTATTTGAAACGTGAAAACAGATCTGAGAACATAAAATGCAACTTCTTTTGCTTCAATGCAAGTTAAACTAATTTCATAAATTCATTCGTAAAAGTTCCCAGGATGCTTGCAAAGCAGAACGGAGTTTTCCTGTTCATGCACTTGCCATTGAGTAAGTATATCTGATATCTTTTTGCAGGTGAAGCGGACTTTGCTGTTTAGAGCAGTCCGTCAATCCAAGGCAGCATGGGTTCAAGCAGACTGCAATGTTTCCTTGGCAGTGCCAGCCTCGCGGACGGCGTTGGCGACGCGGGTAGCAAGATCGTCCGCTTCAGAGCGGCTTGCTGCCTCGGCATAGACACGCACCGCATCTTCCGTGCCACTTGCACGGGCAAAACTTCTGCCCTTGTTGTAGCGGGACTGGAGAGACTCAATCTTAGCCTGCAGGCCGGCGGGCGACTCGAGCTTGCGCTCGGCATCGTAAGCCTTGAAGATGGAGCGGTCTGCAACCTCCACGCGGACAAGTCGCGAGGGAAGGTCGGTGTAAGTGGCAAGCCATTCCTTGGGGCTCCAGCCCTTGTGAGCAAGAATAGCTTCGACAAGGAGCATGTCGGAGATGGCATCACCGACCGCTTGGTTGATCAGGTCAGTGAGAGCCTGGAGGCACTCAAGGGAGCGCTGCTGGGCAGGAGACTGAGGCTCGGTGTTCTTAATGGTCTTCAAGGCGGTCTCAGAGAAAGTGATGGTACCGTGACCGTTGGCTTCAAAGTAGACGCCAACATCGAAGCGCAAGGCCGCATGGTGCAGATGCTTAACACCGGTATTGGTGCAAACGGAAGGCAGCTTCAGGACCTTCTCGATGTAGTCCGTGCTAGAACCATTCGCATAAGCA